CAATATCATGGCAAAAACGTGAAAACCACGCTCAATATTTTCAGATGTGCAACAAATAGAAGAATGAAAAGTTTGAACATAAGAACAGAAAAGAAAACGTGATCTTGAGAAAAGTCATGAGACTCGTTATGTAATCCGGCCTTTTTCTATGAAATGATTATTTTGAAGATTACTTTCAATGTTCGCGTAATGCTGATGGCAAGCAAGCATCAACCTCATCAAAAGCATCATTCCGTTATCCATCCCATTCATCAATATCATAGGGTTGATGCAACTTTATATGATCGCATCTCGTCACTGGCTCAGAGACCCGAAGTTTGAGCTTGCTTCCAGCTCCGCTTTTACACGTTTCAGCTAGCAGCAAGCCAAGTCCAACACCACAATGCGCATTTGAACGATGTCGTGAATTTTACATAGGAAACTCGATGATTGGCACTTGATGACCGGGAAGACAAGGAAAAGAGCGGTACAACATCAAGTGATATTATGAAAATATCTCTGATATATCTTTCTTGCTTCCCTAAGTGAGTTACATAACACACAAGGGTTCTCGAACATGTTGTTTATGTGCAAATACTCATACTCTGATACTACCCGTACGAATTTTGATGCGAGGTAGGCCTCCAGAAGCTACACATAGCAGGTTCAGATTTATACACTTTACAGAGAGGCTATGTTTGCTTGATCTTGTTTGCCAGCTTCAAGCTCGACGTTTATTTCGCAAGCGGGCTTTCGGGTTTCGATTTCTAAACTGTTTGATATATTGGAGTAACAACAAACGAGATGCACAACACGATTGATGTTGGATGAAGCTTCAATAATTTGGCTGAAGTGGGTAAGGCGGGGTAAGTCACTCGTGAGGTGATACTGCGTTGCTCGCAAAAGGTCTTTCTCAGTGGTTTTGACATACCGATTATTAATCATCCATTCGAGCTAAGCATTTTGTAAGGAAAAAGGTACGTGGCAAAATCTAGGAATCTGAAACTAGTCTCACCAAATCTTTGCGAGGTACATATTCATAACACATGGCCATTGAAAAGAAGAATGGACATCTAGCCCTATTCATAGTAGCTTGGCTGTCCATTCTATAGCGTCATTTTTGCTACCCTTGACTCGGACAAACCTTAAGTGGTTAATCATTCTAGTCTTCGAGAGTTTTGTTGCACTTCTGAATCTCCAGGATTATAGGTCATGAGCTTGGTACTACAAGGCTTGATGGCAGTGGTAGTACCACATACAGCAATACTTCTAAATGGGATTCCATGTGCCTAGATCTCATATAATGGATGAAATAAGTTGACTAAGCCATCCAGTTGTTACACGGCACTGAGAGATTGTTGATCAGATATCTGCCTATGTCTTCAAGTAAGAGGATTCGAACCTTGACTATGTACTACTTCTCCGCACTTGGGGCTTTAAGTGCGTATACTGCATATCGCATCCATACTTGGGATGACTATTCACTACAGTTGGCAAGGTCTGCACCTCTTCAATCACTCCTGTGTAAACTTACTTTTCTACAATTTTTTTGCCGATATCATAAGATATTCATAGTGAATCTGGTAATTTAGTGTTGCTCTTTCCAGGGTGCAAAGGACGTGCGAAAGTATTTCACATCCGTCATTGGTCTTTCCGTCTATCGTTCTGGAAGCTTCAACACCCGGACGAAGAATATCGTGCGCAATTGTTGCTTGTTTCACATCACCTTTATTTTTGTTCTGGGCCAATGATGGATTTCTTTCCTACTAGTGATTGAAGAACCTGTGTTGATTTGTTCAAGAATCCCCAAGAATGTATGGTGTCAAACTTCGTCTCTCATCGCATCGTTTCCTTACGGCACGGTTTCAATAGATTGGACCCATCAAAGTCAGACGCTCAAGGGATGGTTCTTTGTTCCCCAATCCGTTTACCTCTCAATCAGGCAGTCATGTCCTTAGAGAATCCTAGTTTATCTACCAAATCTTTAATTTTGGCCACTGAAGTAAGCCTAATCGAGATTACAGCGTCTTTCTTAACCCCGTCGTTTGTTTTGAGTTTGCAATTTGATATCAACCTATTGTTTCTTACCTGACGGATTCGCTTGAAAGACAGATGACAAGTTTCAGAGAGGATCTATGTTCCTGTGTCATGTTCACAGTACGTACGATTGATAAGAATAATTTGATAATCGATGAACATATTAATATTCCTTCCAGCTGTCATATTTTCCTAAAAGAATGAAGACATCCAAACCATCTTTAAATATACATCAATTTGTGTGAAAAACTTCTTCCATAATGATTTCTCTTACAAACTTTCTCCAAGCTGGACGATGGAGACCCTTATTGGCTTTTGCAATTCTCATAATATGTCTCGTTACAATTTCATCTCTCAATCACCTCCCACAATCATCGCTGCGGCGCCGAGCATTACATGGTACATCAACAACAATCCCATGCTGAAACATTTTCATTCTAACCAGTACAGTAGATAACTATATCGAAGAACGAGGCTTTTTAGAGGCAGTAAGCAGTGCCGCAGGGAAACTTCTCGGTGGAGGAAAGGGTGGAGGCGCCTTATCGACAATAGGAGAGTTATTTTCCGGGAACATATCAGGAATTGTTAGTGGATTAGCAGCAGACATAGCTGTGCCTGCAGGTTTTTTGGGAAATGGCCTCGCCCTGGGTGTTATTGCCGGAATGATGAATATGTCCGTACCAACTACGAATGCGACCGGATTTAACTTGGCAGCCCAGAATCTTGGCTCTGGACTCACAAAAAGCTTAGTTGGATCCATTTCGATTGCACCAGCGGGCACCGATATGAAAACAGCAAAAGCAGCAGCCAACGATCCAATGGCTATGATGATCGGAGCTGGAACGCTGAATGGAGCCGCTCTTGCTCTTGCACAAGGTTTAGGAAGTGGAGCTTCGCAAGCATTAAAGTTTACAACACCATCTGATAAAGCTGCATTCAATACCAGTGGTATCAATGGGGCAGCTGGAAATCTAGGCCAGGGTCTCACATCCACATTTCTTTCTGGTATCAATACTACCAGTCTTTTTTCAAAAGCAATGTCTGGTGTCAATATAAACGACCTGATACAGGGGAATGGCACTATTCTCGGAAGTTCCCTAAGCCAACTTGCCGCCAGTGCCGGCACTGGTCTCGGACAAGGCACAACTGTTGGACTTGGACTTCAGAATGCAGCTACAATGGAAACATCTCCCAATGGATCTGCTGGAGCCGTACAAGATTTTACCATGGGACTCACATCCAGCTTTTTGCAAAACGGCACGCTGTCGAAATTAATGACTTCATTAATGGGCTCAGGAAGTCCTTCAACTGCTATGGGTATGGGTGTAACGGAAGCAGACATGAGTTCGGGTTCCTCTTCTACGCCTTCTTTCCTCGCCAATTTGAACATCGCTGCGGTAGCACAAGGCTTTGCAGTTGGACTTCTTGACGGAGCTGGAAATACCTTGGCTGGAATGGCTACACCTCCAATGCAAACACTGATGTTCAATGATTCGGTTGGTGGAGCAGCGACGGGATTCGGTCTTGGTTTAGGTGCACAGGGTACTACACTTGTAAAGCAAGTACTTGCAAATCCATCATTCATCACAAATCTTACCAAGTCATCGACTGCCAAACGTCATCTCCTTCAAAGTCGAGCCATGATTCCATCTTCCAGCATCTCTGTCATTCAACGTCGCGAATCGGACTCTTCTTCTGGGAATAATTCTTTCATCAACGCTCTTAATTCTACAACTCTCGATCCTATTCTACAGATGGGTATTGACACTATTGGCTGTGCAGGTGTAGGGGGACTCGCTTCAATTGGATTTGGACTTTTCACAACGGGAACGATCGACATCAATAAATTGAGGAGCGTGCTCAAAATGAATAAAAACATTACGAATAATCAAACCTTCATCCTCGAAAATGGAGGCAACACGTATACCATTAATCTCGCCAAAATGGATATCCAAATTAATGGTATGCCAATAACCAGAGCAATTTCATCGATTGTTCTACATAGTAAGTTTTTGTCTCTCCACTCTAATAAGTATGATTTCAGAAACAGTCGAACTAACACCCTCTCAGTCGTTTTCGCAATCCTAACATACTTCATCCTCGCGCCAACGTACATTCTCATCCACAGCACCAAACGCGTAACAACCCTCTCCTCCCTGCCCTCTCCACTCCCAACCTTCAAATCGCCCCTCTTCACTACCTTCATCCCGGCCCTTCTCTACATCCTCTCGCCAATCCTCATCATCGCCACCGTCATCCTCGGTCTCGTCATCAAAGGCTCCTCATCCGCATCCCTCTCCGCCCACGGCATCATCGGCATCATCCTCCTCGTCCCTACATTCATCACATTCGCCACATCCGCCTCCGCCCTCCAACGCAAAAACCCCGGATTGAAAACCCTCTACGCATTCAGCTTCGGCACCACAATGATCGTAGCTGTATTGGTCCTCTTCTCCGGCTTTGTCGATCTTGCGAATTACAGTTTCTGCGCTGTGCAAGCATTGCCAATCGTGGTCTGGATTGTTATCGGAGCGATTTTATTAGGGCCAATGGGGTTAGCGGGGGGAGTTGTGGCGATGGAGGGATTACTTTCGAGACAGAGGGGGAAGAGAGGTGTTGAATTAAGACCGGGGATGCAGAAGGGAGATGAAAAGTCAGGGAGTTATTTCGATGATGATGATGAGAAGGGAAGAGTTTCGGGAGGAAAGGTATAATTCGATTGTGCGAGGACTTGAAGCGAAATGATTTTTCTTGTATGGTTATGATTGGATACCCGGGATTGGGCTGCCAGTTCAATTGCTTTTCTTTTTATCTGTATTCAAAACGAAGATTCTTGTATTATTATTGTTATTAGTAGATACCTAAGTTACTAGTTCTTAGGACTTTTTAATTCAATCGTCTATCAGGTATAGACTTTCAAAGATCATAAGAGTACTGCAAAAATTTGGAGCGAACGTGCTGAGCGTAGAATGATATGCAACCAATCGAAGAGAAAGACTCTATATTTGAGACTATGTATAAATTATGTACAAAATTCTAACGGTATATGTATGTAATGCGTTTCCATCAATCATAAACACCCAATTATCCAACCAGTCCCAAAGCGCATACTTCCGTAATCAACATCGTCTGGGTATCATCCGAACCCTTGGTCTAACATGCAAATTCCGACTCTAGAATGCAAACCAAGATCCACGCACGCCATGCAATAAACGACTTTTCTCATAAAAAGGAATCTCTGTCCTGTAGTCTTTCTCAAGCAAGAGATTTCTCTCCCTCTACATTTGCCTGTACAACCGCCACTCCAGCCTCTACATCTCTCGTTTTCTTCGCCTGCTTAGCTTCGAGTCTTAATTTCTCCTGTTCTGCCAATCCCACCTTCGTGGTCTCGTGTTCTTTACTGAGCACGTGTTGACCGATGGCAAAACTAATTGCCAAACCCAGCGCTGCGAATGCTACGTATATGATCCACTATAATCCAATTAGCATTTCTCATTACTTGATAGAAGCCTATCTCTGAATGGCCCCCGAATGATAACTCACCATAATCCTCAAACTTCCCCAATAAGCATCCCTCGCAACTTCTCTTCCAGCAGCAGGTAAATCCTTAACAATGTCCACACTGGCACCCGCACTTCCACCGCTCAATTCCGATGCCACGGCACTTCCCAGAGCTTTAATCAACTCCGCACTCTTTTTCTGCATTTCATTTTGGAACACTACGCTTCCAACTACCACACTGATACTCGTGCTTAGATTTCTAGTAAATCCAAATGTGGCGGTTGCGGTGGCGATGTCTGCTTTCTTGACCAGGGTTTGTAGAGCGATGAGTGGAGATTGGAAGTTAGGTCCCACACCAATACCGGCGACGATTTGGTAAATGATGATTTTAGACCAAGTAGCCTTGCGAGGAAGATTGATGAATAGACCGAATCCGAGTGTCATAACCGCGAGACCGAAATAAATGGGTGGGAGGTATTTACCTGTTTTCTTAATGAATATACCAGTTATCGCGGATGTCAAAGACAAAGAGAGAGCGAATGGTAGTAAATAGACACCAGAAAGTAGAGGGGTTGCACCAAGAACAGCTTGAAAATAGAGCGGGAGGTAGTAAGAAGCCGAGATGAAGACGAATCCATGGCAGAAACAGACGCCCAAAGCCGCAACGTTAGATGCATGTTTGAAGAGTCTAAGAGGCATGACTGGATATCGAGCGAATTTCCATTCATTGAGCACGAAAAGACCGGCAACAACGATTCCGAAGACGATCAGACAGATGACCGTAGCTGAGTCCCATGGTTTTGTGACACCTCCAAATTCTAGGCCAAGGAGAACCATAAGTGTACCACCGACAATCAGTAAACTTCCGAACCAATCTACGGCTTTTAGTCCATCCCATACGGGTGTTTTTGGATTGTCGAGATGAAGGTAAAAGAAAAGTGCGATCGCGACTGTTCCCGTAATCGGTAACTATTGATTCTCAATTAGCAGAAGAACATCCAAATTTAATACAGAAACTCACATTGATATAAAAACACCATCTCCAACTGACTTTCTCGGTAAATACACCTCCCAAAAGAGGCCCAATCGCACTAGCAAAAGCCCAAGTCATTCCAATCAATCCAAAGTATGCACCCCTCTTCCTCATGCTGAACAAATCGCTAATGCAGATATTGACCAAAATAATCAATCCTCCACCGCCAATTCCCTGGATTGCTCGCGCCACAATCAACATCCCAATACTAACACTCGTTGCTGCCAATAAACTCCCAATGAAGAATACTCCAGCCGCTATTAATAAAATTGGTTTCCGTCCCCATATATCTGAAAATTTACCCCAGGAAGGTGTAGAAGCCGCATTCGCCAATAGATAGGCGGAACCTATCCACGTATATCCAGCATTTGAATGGAAATGTTCGGAAATAGTAGGGAGAGCCGTGGTAATAATCGAGACATCGAGAGCGGCGAGAAAAACTGATGCGCAAAGTGACAACATGATAATAGTCGTCTGCAATTTCGTGCGCGAAGCTTCTGGGTCTTGGGGCGAGGGCCCAGGAGGAGCCGCAGCATTGGGAGTTGTGGTAACATCGACGCTATTTTGATTTGAGGTATGATTTTCGGAGTCAATGACTTCCTTTTCGCTGTCTTCTGGAGTTGCGACGGTCGATGCGCGGGAATCTGGTGAGGGTTGATGTGTAGGGGATTGTGTAGGTATTTCTTGTGCTTTAACTGTTCGATCAACAGCGTTCGTCTCGGTTGAAGTAGCACCTGCCATTTTGGCGCTGTCGTACGTGTACTATGTATCCAACCAAGTCCTCGGATACTTTTGTAAACTTCTATTGGTGTCGTCCAATCTCTTAGTTGGTTCGATGATCTGATATTGACTTTCGTCAAACTTCTATGTATTAAGCGTTGTAAAAGAAGAGGCAAGAATAGGAGATTTTTGTTGTTGTATATTAATTATGATTATTTCGCCATCCAGTGCCTGCAGAGTCAAACGACGTGAATGGAAGGAAGGATACGTCAATCATTATTATATAAACAATCTGCAAACATTAATAGACTAATCATTAGCTAGTTAGGTATACTAACAGACCAACCAATTTATTAGTCGTCAGCACGATCCAACCCGCCATCAAAACTACTCCGATGGTAGAGTAATGCGGAGTTCCACTCTGAATCCTCCTCAGAAACGGAAATTCTGGTGGATCCTCGTCATAGATTCTAGATACCTTTTTTGAAGGGGTTGATTGGTAGATAAGCACGTTTTTCTCCATTTAATATGTCAGTGACATTCAAAAGGGCGCTTCTATCGGACTTCGCTGCTTATCCTATGCCGATGTTTAATTCACCGTGAATACGTTCCCAATAAGTTCTTCAATTTGGGGCGTTTTTCCTTGTCAGTTTTTCTGCTGCTGAGGTGACCTCGGTGTCCCATCCAAATTCTTTTGGGTCAAAAATTGTTAGTGACTACCAGCATTCATTAGTTTGATGAAGGCAGAAAATTGCATATAGCGACACTGTTAGTTTTAAGAATCAGGCCCGGAGATAAAATTTCGAGAGTTCGGTCCCGACGTTTGGTAGAGCGAATGTGAGGTTTGTGTGTGGATTAAAAGATGGTTATTTAGAATGGTGCCAAGGGCCAAGATATTGGCATTGGCTTAGCTAATCTGAGCTAGACTAATTTAGTATATACATATAATTAAAAGTATAATAAATACTGTAATTGAGAAGATACTTTGCCCCAAAGCAAAATATATTTAGCTCTGATTTCCACCCCCAAGTATGTATGAATTTACTTATTGAAAGCTCTAATTAACTCTGCTGGGACTCTTCTATCTAATACTCATTGATTCCACTCTGCCTCTCTTCCTAAATATCGAACCAAGTACTCGCTCATTTCTATAAATCGTAATTCCATTTGGCAGAACAACCTCTTGTTTAACGAGTCCTGAATCAGCCGCACTTGTATGGCCCAGAATATTACTTGCGCTACCAGCTGTCCATAAGGCTATAACTATTGCAGCTACAAGTAATTCCTTAGCCAAAAGATGTTTTTTGGGTTCAAATATAATAGCTAATATTTAAATAAGATAATAAATATCAATTTTATTTATAATTATTATTACTTAAGTATTAGATTCTATAATATTTCCAAACCTCAAACTCTTATAAATCACTACCTCCTTATCTATAGGATTCTTAATTATAATAAAGCTAAGCTTATTAAATATCAAATATGAAAAAAATATGAAATTCCCTTGCTACAAAGGTTCATAAATTATATCATAAATTAGAAGAAATAATTTATTATTCTTTCTATTTATAATTAATATAAATACTTGAGAATAAAATGAAATAATGATTTTGTTTATAATATAGATTGGGATTTTTTTTTTAATCTTCTTTGATTATATTATAATTTTAACTTGTAAATCTGTATATTAAGATAAAATTAAGATTCTGTTATCTAAATTAATGATTTATTCTTCTGGGATAGTAATATTATTACCCAATAGAACTTTGGTATTTAGTATATCCATAATATAGATTTTATAATAAAAATAAACTATAATACTATTAGTTATTAATAAATAGAAATCCAAATTTACAAATTGATTTATATTATATCTTTGGAAATCTAGATTATAAATATTTATAGTTTTATTTATAATATGAATCTTTATAATAGAATATATTTTGAATAAAAAAGATTAATTAATTAAATTTATACTACAATCTATATCAAAATAGATTATATATACTTCGTTTTGAGAACTATTTAATAATACTTTGATCTCAGCATATCTTTAGCCTCTGAATACATAATCTAGCAGTGATTTATTTACTTCAATTATAAAATAAACTATTTAAGATCAATATTAAATTGAGAATAATTTTTTAGATTTGATTAATATAATATTTTGCTTAAATTAATTAATAAATTATAAAAAATAAGATAAAATAGCTTTTGAAATATTATTAATCTTGGATTTCATTGAATATTTTGTTAATCTATGTTTTTTATATTAATCTTTGAAGTGAATATATAATTTATTTCTAATATAAAATATCTTTTAATAGTTGTAATATTAATATTTGACTTTATTAATCTTAATATCTCGGAATATTATAAGATTATCTGATTTATATTTGAAATTAATATTCAAAGGAATAAGTCTTGATTTCTGATTTCCTTTGTTAAATTGAAAACCCTTAATATTATTTTGATATATATTATTAGATCTTGTATTAATTAATATCTTAATCTTTAAAGATTTAGATAATATTAGAATAAAATTTTAAATAAAATAAATATATTATATATCCATTTCTTTATTATAAATATCAGAATCAGTATTTGATTTCTTATAGTCACTTTTTAACTTTTAATAATAAACTTGATTGTACATATAATTATTATGATCTTTTACTATTTTATTTGTAATAATAGTTTTCTCTATTTTATTCTCCTTAATATTATAGATTCTTATTCTATTAATTTTCTAATTCTATTTAGAATCCTATTTTCAATATAATTTTCTATTTAATAAAGATATATTTTGCTTAATATTATTCTTTATTTTATTAATATTATATTTCTTATAAAAATTAAAGAAATTCTTAGAAAATAAAAAGAAATAAATAGATTTATAATTATTTTAATATTATAGTTTATTAAAAGAAAAGTGCTTATTATTATACTAATTGAATAAATAACTATTAATAAAATTGAGGTGATAGATATTAAATCAGTTATTCTTTTTTTATTCGATTTGTTTTATAAAGGTTAACAGATTTGTTTCTATTATTAGAGCAGATATATGAATATAAAGCTCTGTAGTTAGGTATTGATGAGCAATAAGTATTTGAGTATATTTAGACTCAATGGTGCCCGCACTTTAATTAAAAATCATAATATTCTAAATAAACTCTTTAGAATCTTTATATCAATATACATCTCTAATGGTATATTTGAGCTTTTCTAACTTTTCAAGTATTATACCTAATAATATATGGAAATATATCTTTAATTCAATATATCAATTCTCAATATTAGTTTTTAGTTTAGTTTATATTATATTGAATATTTTATTAATATATTAAAGTTCTGCTTTTCCATATAGACATTAATCAAGCTAGGAAATAATAAGGTAAATAGTAAATGATTCTTTAATAATATTTAAAAACTTGGTTTTTATATAAGCAATAAACAAGAATATATTATAAAAGATCAAAATATTATCCACCATTCTAATAAATATATTAGTTTTATTATTCAGATCAAAATAATCTAAATCTTAAGAATGGAAATGTAAGATAATTATTGGTAAAGGATTTTGTTATATAAAAGCTTGAATTGCTTATAGCAATTATTGAAATTGTTTTATAAAAAAGATTACAATTAAAGACTCCATTTTGTTTAGTAGAAGGCTATCAATGATATTATTTGATAATATAGATTATGCTAAAAGGGATATACTAAATATTACAGAATAATAATCTTACCTTGCAATCTACAGTATAAATAAAGTATTAATAATATCTTAAACTACTTTAATTATTTAATTATAATTATTGAATTAATTAATAAATATATTAAATATTTGTTAAGAATTATTTAATAAAGAAAAGGGATTATTTAATAAAAATTTGTATAAAAAAGTAGATATTATTTAATTATTTATATTTAGATTTAGCAAAATCTAAATGATAATATTCTATTATTAAATTAATAATTTGTTTCAAGTTTTAGAATATTCAATAAAAAAAGAATTAAGTAATTTTGCTTTTAATATAATTTCTTAAAGAGTTATATCAAATCGAATTTTTGATTTAATAATAAAACTATCTTATATTACTATTCAAGGATATAATACCCCACCAAAATGTATTTAGATTTATAATAATATTTAAATATAATAAATGAAATGTTTTTTTATAACTTAAAAGAAATATAACAAAAGATTTAATTATAGAATATACAATATAATAAAGAAAACAATCTAATATAATGATTAATAATCTATTTTAATATCTAAAATAAAACTTGTTATTATTTGTAAGATTTATATATGAATTAAAAGATGGTTATTTAGAATGGTGCTAAGGGCCAAGATATTGGCACTGGCTTAGCTAATCTGAGCTAGACTAATTTAGTACATACACGTGATTAAAAGTATAACAGCGAAGAATGTAAATTAAACTTTTTTGTCCCAAAATCTGAAGCGTTCGGTCCCGAATTAAGGAGTTAAGGAGAGAGTAGTATATCAGTCATAGTTCACGTCCGCCCTCCGCCGTTGGAGCTTGTCAAATTCCTGCTTATCTAGGCGGAGTGGGGTTGGCAAATGTTCCAGAAAAAAAAAAGGCAACTTTCCACGATCAACAATCCCCAGATCTTGGCTCTTGGCTTCAGAAAAGCTTTCCTCATCTTGTGCAAGGAAGAAAGATTTGCACCAAGGAAGTGGAGATTATAGCGAGTGCCAAGTGTGTGTTAGCGGAAGACTGTTTCCGGAAATTAATCTTATCTGAGGTCTAATGTATTTGTTATTTTCATGTTGGAATTGACGATATCTATGACTACTAGATGGAGCGAGTTTTTGACCGCAATTTAGATGCAGACAACGTCGGGTTTCGGCTTTTGAAGAACTACCGAGACAATTCTGACACCCCAACAGGATCTAATACTGGCAAGGTCCAAAACGATATGCATGAGGGCGGATTCTCACAAATTCTGGAGATTTTAGCGTAGGGCAGGGAAATTCACCAAATAGGCAATTATGAGGCCATAATAGGATTCATCGTACTCCAAAAACTTGGATTTGGTGATGATTTTCAGTCCCTGATATTTGAACTTTAATCAAGTCCCTAGTATAAGAACATCAACGCTAAAAGCTCCAGGGCTTACTCAAGCAGTGCTAACTCCTCTTAGGTAAGTTGCCCCGCATGTTCTACGACTGCACAAAATGCATTCGTGCATACTCATGTCCTCAATTTGAACGATTGTACGTGGAGCCGGAGAGAACAGAGTATAGATCTCTCATTAGGTCGTAGTCTCGATCTTCAGGCAGCTTGACAATGTTCGTTTTATCCTACCCTCCTTTCCTGTCTGTCGTCATGTCTAGACTGCTTATCAGCAGTGTCCATGAGCTGGGGAAGAAATCCTAAGAAAACAGATACCGCTAGCCCTGCTTTTAATTAGCGTAGCCACGGAGAAATCTACAGATCCGGGGAGGTGCTCTAACATCAAATTGAAGATGCACTGCTCGACACGTTTGACAAAAATCCGAGTCGACCATCCAGAGAATGACGCTTCAAGCCCTATCTTTTATATGACAGATGCACGACATGATCCGGGGATTGGTGATGGAATTCGCCAGCCATGCATGGTTAACTTTTACAATATTTGATATACTGCCTTGTGATCAGTTAATTTTTTCGCCGACCAAATATTTTCGATTCCTCCTTTCTCAATAGTAGCTGAAATCTCAAAGTATTGATATGATGTATTTGGTCATAATCATTCGACACATTACTGCACCGGTATAGATACCGGAAGGCCATTGAAGTTATTTTTGTGAGTCAAATATAGAGATTGACAGCTTTTAGTCTGGAATGCATAACATGTTCGATGTGAAGACTTTCTCATTTGTGATCCTGGCTGTCGATTGAAGTGATGAAGACAGAAATGAATCTCGAAAGCTTGGAGGAGGCATGTCACGTCACGTGGGATACCAACATACCGCCTTTTAATTTGCCGAATCAGCCACGCCCCTTCATCTTAAGCGTTGCGTTCTTCAAATCTCCTTATAATTCTTCGATGTCAAAGATCAATATCCGACCTCGACCTTCGGATACATACACGATCCAACATTATTAAGTGCATGTTTGTCTAACTCTACAAGATTACCATATAAAATAGGTATAATTTGAAAGATTCACGGTGGGAAAATTGTAGCTATGTCAGAGATTTGGAGAGGGAAATTTCAGCTCAATCCCAGGGAACTCATACCCTAGAATATCATGCAAAGATAATTTTAACCTTCAAAACACCAACTCTCTAGGTTTTAGTCATGATGAAGCAGGAAGATAAGGCAATCATACTTAAAGTAACCTTATGAGTTTCGAAATCCTTCGATTTCTCAGTCTGAAACAGCTCAAATCGATTGTCATTAGGCAGGCCCAAACGCTCGACCACCGCCAAGAACATCAAAATAGCCCCTTCGTCCCAACTCCGGAGTGTCATCTCAAGTATGAAACTCAGTAAGTCAGTAACCGTTAACAAGTCAGATGGGACGGATCCATTTTCAATGCCTTTTCAAAATTCCACCTATAGCATCTCAATTCATGTTACTTTAAGGTTTAATTCTTGCTCATTGTTAGCCTAGTGCCTTGAGATCTTATCTGATGAGTGACAAGTGCTCTTCGGATGAGTTTGAAGGTATCAGATTTGATCAATTGATCCTGGCAACATATGTTACTTCAGATGTACTGGGCGTCTCATTCCCCGCTATTCTGTACATAGACGCCTTTGTCGTAGGGATTGATGTCATATCCCAGGAGATCAGATGTATTGTGCCTGTCAAGATGACCTTTGAAATAAGGAAGAGTAAGCAAAAAAGCGACGGCATCAAGAACTATAAGATCACCAGATATTCCCTTATTACATTTCTATTTCATTATCATCATCATCTTCTTCTTCTTCACCTTCGCTACGCACATTCATTCCAATACTTTCTACAACAGCTGTGCTGTCTATTGAACTGTTAATACATTTATTCTATATTACGAAATTTATATTACGAGTTTCTTTCACTTACTACTTACTTCAACTATCCATTCTTTATAACACCCAAGCAAACAACCAAACCAATCAAAATGCGTTTCTCCCTCCCCGCTCTTGTCCTCTTCCTCTCCGTCGTTAACTGCTCTCCTCTTCCCAAAAAGGAAAAGGACGCCGCGGCATCCTCCTCCACAATTTCATCGGCCACAGTAGCGGCATCCTCCGCAGTTGCATCCGCCACTGCCGCCGCTTCCTCAACTGCCGCAGCCACATCGGCCGCATCCAGCTCAACTTCAACGGCTGCAGCTGGAAGTGTCTTGACCTCTTCGGCATACAATGATTTCCAAATCTCCGCGGGGACCGCCGGGTCCGCTAAAGATGAAGCCAATGCACTCTTTGCCGGTATCGATATGAACAATCTCGCTGCTGTTTCTGCATCTGATCTTAAGATCATCCAAGGAGTTCATGATGCTGCTGAGGATGCTGAAGTTGATGGATTCAACCCAGCCATTGCTGCCGCTGACGGTGATGCTGCTACTGCTCTTCAGGTATATATTTCCTTCCGCTTTCCTTCATATAACTACAGTACATAACAGTAACTAACAAAACTTCTAGAATGGTAAAATCAAGAACAAAGTTCTCAAACTCACCGCCGAAGTCCTTGCTCTTCAAATCAAGGTAGCTCAAGGAAAGGCTGGAGATCCCGCTCCCGAACAGACAAAGTTGGCCAATAATATTAAGTTGGATACTGCGGCTGCAGGACAAGCCAGTACTCCCGTTAGTTTCGACGCTACGAGCTAGAGGATGTGATAAGATGGTTAATTGAATGTGTAAAGATTTTGGATATAGGGGAAACTGTTCGCGTGGACGCGAAATATGATTATCTTAATACAATTTGTCATTTAAGACAGATGTATACAACGGGCTGATATTCGGTAGATGGTGGTTGGTGGGCGCATGGATTTTAAGAGATGGTTATTCATTACTATATAGTACAATGATAGTAATCATATTATGAAATTTATTTGCTTACAAAATTCTTCGGCTTGAGAATGGGATTTGGGAACAGTTTCCTGTAGATCCAGACCATGATAGATCAACTTTTTTTTGTTAATAACATATTTGTGATAGGTCAGATAGACTTTCTGAGAGACACAATTGGTAGTTAGTCATAACCACCCTTCCGATAAGCGAAAGAAACAAACTCATGTACACGTGGGATCTCAGGAGAGCTCAGAATCCTGTTAGTGCATGAAATTGCTCTCAACGCTAGCATGCGAATTTGGAGATATCTGCTTTGGCTATTCTCTTCAGCGCACTCGTACTCACGCTGCCAGAAATCATGCACACTCCGAACTGGATGCACATAACACAGCCTGGCAAACTATATTGGGAATAATTTCCCAATGGCGAAGTTGCATATTGTCTTGCCGCACAAGTAGGAAACGCGGTTTGATTGCGGGTAAGTATAAAGTGGGGTAGCCAGCATTTACCCCAAGCAGGCTGAACTGGCTAGTGCGAACCTTCAGAGCAACAGTCTAGATGAACTACTGCAAGAGTCAGTACATGATACGATGAATTGGTATCTGTACAACGCAGAGTACAGCTTTGCAGTGTGTAATGCGAGGGATCTTGGCCGTACCAGCAGTTTCTCAACGTGAACTTGTAGCATGTAAAAAGTTGCTGTCATGTGATACTGAAGCTTCTCTACCTTGCTTGATTTTGAAAGAGTTGTTCTTTTCATCTTTTCTGCATGTGTAAGACTCAATTCTCAGCCTCAATTTCAAGATATTTCGAAATCTTTAAAATATATCCTTTTCCATTTTCTTTACAATTATGACTGTACTTCACAAGGAAGGACAAGCGGCACCGGCCGAGCGGAGGATAGTTGTCGAACCAGGTACGAGTCTAGTACGTTATGTGTAATGCCACAGAACAGCTTCTGTTATTTACTTCCGTTTTTGAGTGGCTGTACTTTACGAGCTCACCGAGAATGTTTCTATTGCTGTTTACAGAAATTTTATTCTGGACAACCACATATAATCTCTCTGATCACAAACATCACAGGTGTAGATGTCGATTCTTCATTTGCAAACCATAAGGTGATTGTTCCTGAGGTCGCAACACGCATACATAATGGAAAGACGCGCAACATACCACTAGAAGTGTTGTGGACTCGAAAGTCTGCAGAGCACACACCTTTGGCGAACCACATCTCTACGATAAAAAAGGGATCGTACGTGGCAAGTGAACAAACTCCTTATCAACATGGAGGCGAGCAAAGCTGGAATTTTGAAAGGTTCGAATTGAGAAAAATGGTCGAGTTCGGGATGCAGAGCAGACCCTCTGACGCCCATTCAATGGAACTGATGGAGATGACTTCGAACGCAATTGATTCGTTGAGAGAAATTATTCGACAACGAGCCAAGCCAAGCAATCCGCTGGATAAAAGCAACCGTGTTAACAGAGTTTGGGCTCAGCCAGTTAGTGTTGCTCAAGACGACACTGTTGTTATGATGCTTCAAAGAGCCAGGATGGGAGCTAATAGTGGTCACAGCACCAAATCCAAAGTTGTCTCTTGTCCTTCTCCGCTCTATGCAGAGGTAATGGATGAATTTGGGTTGATAGGCGTTGCCAATTATCCTGTTTTCATGTCAACTTGGTGGATAACCCTACTGATGCACGACTTTGATGATTGGCATCAGGATTTCCTTGCTATTCTGGACTAAAATTTCTTTCTTGAATACAACCTAGATCAGGTTACTGGTGTCCGGTTTTTATCACAACTAGGCAGAGATATGGCAGCAATTTGGGATATGCCAGAACTTTCACGCAAGCTCCAAATTCGTAGATCACACATGCTCTGTTCAATGGCATTCTTCAATCTGAAGCGCCGACATGAATCCGACTTCCTCAATCAGGATACAGACGGACGTACGGTCTGGATCCACAAAGACCGAGATATTTGGCGAGATTTCAAAGCTTTAGATTCAGCTGGCTATTCGCATTACTTTTCATATGCTCTTGGAGCTCCTAGACGCGACGACATGATGCTGGCTGGTTTAGTCAATGACTGGATTGATTTGGGACCTGATTTGCGCTACCAGGAGTGCAACCAATCTGTTTTTGCGCTCACTCGAGGATCATTGACAATCAATGACCTGACAAAATGCTATGAACGGACGGTGTGGATGCTGAACGCGAGTTTCGACTCAGAAGAGCGACATGTGGGGTGTAATGGCATTGTCGGAACCTGTATATGGCAGCTCAGTAACCACCGCCATGACTTGTGGCGCTACTATTCTCTGGCTTATGATAACTGCTCAGTTGCGCAGCAATTGGATCTTTACAAAATTGCAAATCTTGCCGATTGCTATGCTTCGGATTTCACGCCGAGGACATTATCTGACGCCAAGGCGATATCTATTTCGCGTCAAGACTATCCATACCGCGTCCGCGTAAATGAAATTGAACACAAAGGTTCAATTATGCTCCACACAGCAGTCTGTGATGCCGTCAAATCTGAACTGCTCCCAGCATCCGTCATTGATTACCAAATTGTTCTTCCACTCCTTCTTCGCACCGGACAGATAGACGAAGCGACTTTCCTGAGTTATATGGATCATCACTATTGTGATCACTTTGCTGATATCATGCGATATGGACATGCTGATAGGTTTAGCCATGCGTATGCACGTGCTATTGCGGCGCTGGTTATGGAAGGGTGGTGGTCGGGAATTTATCTTGCTATTAGCATTGGGAGCCTTATTGAGGCTCAACCTGATCACATTGCCAATGACCGCCCGCATTGATTCGTGTTTTCCAGAAATATCTGATGTTTCGCAGGATACATGTCGAAGATACTTTAGTTCTGCTTCACAATGTTCTGTTTGTTGCGGATAGATTAAATTCAATTGCAGCTTTCTCAAAAATCATTCAGAATTCAATCATGGTCAACTACACAGCGAATGCACGGCAAATCTGATTACAATTTTTTTTATTTTCATGCTTCAATTCGACCATACTGAGTGTAGGAAGTATATGCTAGTAGAGGTGATATGCTTTCGCTGTTTTGAGCTTGTTTTCAGCCTGACTTCTTCATCGAAGAAGTTCAGCTATTTCAAGCATATCACTAATTATCGGCCCATCTATCGCGCTTAACAAGCACTTTAACAGTCGATTTATTGACCGCATTGGCACGATCTGCCCACTCCATACTCCTAGCGTCTGTCTCATAAAGCTCCATTTCGAACCGGGAAATGAAAAGCCCAACTACTATATGTATTTCTTTATTCGCAAGGCTGAAAATTCGTTTAGCAAGCTGATCGAATTCGTCATTCTGGAAGAAAGAAGAGACTTACTTCATACCAAGACAGCTTCTCGAACCTTTGCTAAATGGGGCAAAATGCTTTTCTAACACTTTCTTTTCGTCCCTGTACCATCTTTCGGGGTCAAATTTTTCAGGTGAAGGAAAGATAGATGCGTTGTGATGGAGTGATAAATTGGTTTGTGAGATGCTTGTCTACACATTTTTCGCACATGTCAATAGTCTTTTCTCTCTGGTTACTAGGGAAAGTGTATACGTACACCTGCTGGTATGAAATGTCCATCCACAACTACTCCCCCATCGGGTACAATACGCGGGAGAGTACCTGGCACCATAGTGTGAACCCGCATGCTTTCCTTGACAACTGCCGTCTGTTTCCGAAGTTTAGCAAATCAAAATCATCATCTGAGGGGATTTCGCGCAGATGCGAACGAACTACTTACCAAATATGGTAATCTTTGAACCAGGTTGCAATCAAAAGTTTCGTGGGATGTGATGCCGTGAGAATTTAGTTCACCTAGTAAATTAGAAGAAACAGATGCCGAAGAGAGAATATAGTACAAAGCATTTGCAATCGTGCTTCCTGTTGTGTCAGTACCTGCAAATACGAATAAGAACGCCTCGTCTACTAAGTCTGGTATTGAAAATTCGGAACGCGGTTCCTCGGGAGTTGGAGCGAGAAGAAGATCGAAGACAGTATTTGATGACGAGTCATTTTTGATGATTTCGCGTGAATTCTGTCGTGCAACAGCCATTGTGGCCCATTTTCCACATTTCTAAGCATAAATGTGATGAGCATGAATATAAACGAAAAACAGTGCATGGGAAATAAAGGGATAAAGAAAAGTGGAGTGTATTTACATCTCTAATACTTTTAAACCCGGGAACTGCCTTCTGGGCTAGCGACTCAGGTAGGTTTGTTGCCAGCCACCCAACGGCGGGGAATGCTTTCACTGAAACGATAAAATTAAGATTAGAGAAAAAGACTCAAGATAGACATTAACTGAACGCAAGTAGGCAAAAAATTGGGTAAGAAATCTTACTTATCCAAAAATTGTTTAAGAAGCCGTCCATGCTTGTCAACAAATCCGGGTGCTCTTCCTGTGAGTCAAGGAGATCTTGAGGTTCATCAAAGAGTATCTTAAATAATACTTCCGACTGTTACTCAAGACTTAGCATGATGATCCGTGTGAGAAGAGGGATAAGAGAATTTTAACTATATCAGAGACTAACAGAAATAGAGCGACAGAGTCGATGCATATCAATAGGTCTTTTCTCTTCTCCACGCTTCATCATGATGTTGGCCGCTTTCTGAGCAATTGTGAGGATATCTGGTGCCATCGAATCTGCAGCTTTTATCGAGAATAAAGAGTTGACTTTTTGTCGCCGTAGACGGTGTTCGTGTGGGTCTAGTATGGAAAGAATAGACTCCGACACGCTTATCTGCTTATAGAAACCTGGGTCCTTTCGATAAATTGTTCTGTTGTTGAACATTCTATCATGGCTCAATATCTATAGTGTGAAGTTGTTTACCTCGAGTCTTACTTTGAATAAAATTCCGGATCATTGACATGGACATGATTGGGGGCAATTCGGACAACCGAAGAATCTAAAGGATACTATTCAGCCAAATGGTAGCCTTGGGTAGGAAAGATAAACTGACTATAGTCTGTATGCATTTTTTCAAAACTCCTGGTATATATTCCATCTCGAATGGCGTTGTAATAAAATTCATACCAGGATGTTGCGGCAGCTAGCCTTGGTCCTGGGATTTTGGACAGCGGATGGAGGTATAGACGCTGAAAGGCACAGCATAGAGAAGTAAAACCTACGACGATTACAATTAATTGCAATGGCAGAAGAATTTGCGATGAAACTAAATACGTCGAGCGAGAAACCTTAGTAGTATCCATGCTTTGAAGTTGTGTGAATGGCAAAGAAAACGAAGTATCTCTGTTCGAACGAAAGAGAACTATGTAGGCTTGATAAAGATAAGAATCAAAAACTCGAGATTTATCATGGGGGGACGAGATAATTATCCGTCCTGACATGTTACATTGTATTGCAATGAAGGTTGGCAGATCTTTCTGGGTCGGTACATGATTGTTCAGCTATCGGAGTACAGTTGCCGAACGCCATGCCACGACGCACCATGCGGGTGATATATAAGCTAGCTTTTGGACTTATCTTGAAAGCCTATCTCGCAGCATAATCGGCATTAACGTCGTTTATTCTAGTACTGTCCAGTAACCAACCTAGTTTCTCGATCAAGGCAGATTGTGTTCATAAGCGAAAAATGAAGGGGCAACATGAACGACCCCGCTTCGTGTCCAGATCCAGAATGATCTGCTCTCCATGACCACTGCTTACTTTTCTTCAACTGAGAAGAGCTTGTGACAGTATATTTGCCTAGGAGAGCTGCAACAAATAGACCAAGGAAGAGATGTTCTGGGTGTTCATGAGTCGAGACCACAAGTTGCACCTTCCACATTTAATCCACTTTGCATGCCAAGGAAGTGGGGTAGATGACCCCGCTCTTTTGGAAAGATCATATTCCCGTCTTATTCCATATTTCAGATCAAACGATCGAACCACTTTCCTCCGTCTCATTTCCTTATGTCTCTTCACTCTTTTCACAATCCCGGCTCCACCTACTGTGCGCGAAGGCACGTGCTGATCACGAGAATCTATTGTATCTAGTACTGTTGGAATCACCTCGGTGGTGATTATGACGTCTTCATAATAGGTATACTGTATTGATTGATATTGTGTCTAATCATTCTAGATTCTAGAGCTACGAAAGCTATATGCAATACGTGCGTGCGTTAGTGAGCTAGCGCTCACGTGCATATATTCACTCGTATCGCAACAAGTACCTAGGTATTTATAGGTCTTCTTAATCTGTCCCCACCATTCTATTGTCTCCTTATGTATTACACGAGAATCTAACCCAACCTCCCTTCTCTCTCTTCTGCCAAAGAAGCTATATTGATAGTAATATTTCTACGGCTTATGCGAAGGCTTACTCTATGACCCTACCACCTTCTACTCTTTTTATACCATCTCGATCCTTTGTCTTGTAACAGGATGGCGTCAGTGACTTAGTTTTCTACAGAAAGTACAAAAAAAATCATGTTCGGTGGAACACAAGTTGAGCTGTATTTTGAACCTATGTGTGCTTTTCTCGATGAATATTCGTTGATTAACGATGGACTCATATGTCAACAAATCAAGAAGCACGTTTATCGTTCACTATTATAGAGGCCATCAAAGACTTTATATACCATACACTTCTGAATCTGTTAGACCACTTGTTGACCTTTCTCAGCAAAAACCCATCCCGTTTCCTCATACTTCTTTATTCTTCTTATAATCTCCTCCACATCCTCCCAAATCCTCTCTCTGTTTTGTAACCCTCTCAATCTTCCCTCCTTCAATCCTTTGGTAATTCCCAAATACAATTGATACCAATCCAATTTCTTCGTATCAATCCATTCCTCAAACCCCGTCTTCAACGCTCCCTCAATACTCTCATCAAACGCGGGCTCAGCAGCCTTCCATTCATCGTACAATTCGGGAAGTTCTTCCCAAATAAGTGGACGCAATGCCACTAATTCCTCATTATGCTCTTTTCGTCGTTTTTCACGAGACTCGAGGACCGCCCCAGAAACTGTAGCCCAGAAAGATGGAGGTGTAGAATCGTATATCTCCCACAACCAAGGCATTTCACAAATGACAAGTTTATAGAAGAAACCCTGAGAAATTTGGGTAAAAGCCCTGGATACGAGACGAATGGATGCAACATCTTTGGATGGAAGATACGATATAATCTCATCTCGAAGTTCTTGCGACAGCTTGAGGAATGGATCGTGAGAATCATTACGTGGGGATCGTCGGGTTCGAGGCTCCGAAGGGCGAATAGGGAAGGCTGGCGAGCCGAGAGAGAAATGTGAATTTGTGGTTATTGCTGATTGAAAGACAGAACGCAAAGCTGGTATGAAGACAGGATTTGCGGCGAGCCATTCTGTGCCGATAATATGGTTCCACCATTGTTCGCTGCAGCGACGTACAGCTTGATCGCGAGGAAAGTCAGTGTCATATTTGTAGCAGGACTCCTCATCGCGCCACTTCATTAGATCTTGAATAGAAGTCTGATTGAAACTAAGCCGTGATGCATGTTTATAGACCTCGAGACAAGTTGGATGAAATGGCATTGCCACTTCCCGAGTATTTGGAGGCACCTGTAGATCACGAGGTCAGTTTTCAAAACCTATACTCTTAAGATAATGGTGTGTGAATAGAATATTCAAATTTCTAAGATGCAGTCTGGTCATGAGAGCATGCTTGATTCTTAGAATTGATGGTAACATCTCCTTTTCTTGAGATCATGAAGATTTGAAAAGACTTACTTGCCAAATCATAGTATCTGCTAATACATCGTTGGCGAGTCCATGACGGGCTGGAGTTAATACGATGTCACCCATGTCCCGTGAAGGTACATGATCACCAATACCGGAAAGAAAAACATCCCCCTCGAGTTCGAAATCTTCGTCATCAGGGCTAGGACTCCAGTCATTGCCCTTGTAAACAAGGCATTGTGCCGTGGTACACCCTCTCATTTCTTGAGCAGTGATGAAATTGCCATTGTATCCTTTGCTCCCTGAGCATTTGGGACCTGGCAGATGTGTAAATTTATTTTCCCACTGCACACTTTGTGCTTCTTCATTAGTCATCATGATCTTCTCGACTTTCGGAGCATTCAGCAACTTGTGTTGATCGAATCCCGATAACCATTCGTGATATAGCCTTGTTTCCTCATCTGAGTCGAAATTACCATCACTGTTATGGTCATAAATTCCCATTTCATTGCCTATTTGGGCATCCTGGCGGTCTTCCGGCGTTGAAGATGCTTTCGAAACATGGCCTTTGAAGGAACTCTCATCCACGTCTGAATCATACTCCAAATGCTCATCATCCGATGCACTTTCATAGGAATACAACAAACTATCATCCTCAACCATGGGTGTGTTATCCTCGTAAAAAGGTATATTGTTTTGCATATTGCGCTCTCCATTTTGTTCTGGAATCGATTCTGTTGTACGATAGAACAAACATCCGTACTCGGTACCACAATTTTCATCCCCTGCCTTATACCCCCCATCCGGATTATACCAGGAAGCACTTTCGTCATCGATTTCATCTGGAGTCCGATCTCGTCCTATATTGAAGCTAACACCACAGATTTGACATGGAATCTCTGAGTAACCTGAAGTCGACATGGTTAATGTTTTGGAAGTAGCATGCGTAAGTAGTTCTAGCCGAACTTACCCATCTTAGATGCTGAAATCAAATGAAATTCGAGATAATTATCAATGGACGATAAACTACTGACGAAATCTCTGGATATAAGAAGAAGAAAGCAACAAGTGATAAGAGGGTACTTACTTAGTGGTCGCTAAAAGGCTTATTTAAAAAGCTTTAGCAACCCCGGAATCTGGGTCGATTGAAGATCTACTCTAGGCTACTGGTAAGGATCTTTAGGCAGTGTATCCACAACATTCTAGGGCCTCTCAGGCCTCAGACACTATTTTTCTTGTTAGTACCAGATATAGCTACTTTGCCTGTATATCGACTTAGGCAAATGTTGCTAATCGAATCCAGATACGAGCCAATGCCCCCTAGGTGTATGATTTTATAAGTTATCACTCCTTCCCCTGCCACTGATGAAGATGGTGTCATGTTGAGGTTTCCTTTCTGGCAGGTTTATCAATTCTAATTTCCACTCACTCACAGTCTCAACATGCCACGATAAGCTGCTGCTGCATACCTGGAAATCTAAAACCAGCATTGTCTACCCGGGTCAGGTGCATTTACGTAAAATCGAAAGTGCAAAAAGGTCAACTAATTTTCCAGTTTCCTCAAAACACCCTAAATCTGATCTCTCCCACAGTCAACCCACCACCAATCCCCCCCTCCTCAATCCCCAATACCACGCCCCAAGTACCACACCCACATTCAGAAAATCAAAAACCAGTGCCCCCCCAAAGATAATCCCATCATACATCCACGCATTCTCGCTCGTCATGTGAATTCTACTTACCGCAATTGCCCAAGGTAACATCCATAATAAATTACTTCCCAGACTTTGCACAAAATAAAGCTTCGGGACAGTAGCCAGGAGAATAGCGGCAAGTTGTGTGGTGACGGCGTAGAAGATATAACACCAGTCGATTGTTCTCCACATGTGCTCTGTGATTTTCGCTACAGCTGCGGATTCGGAGAGGTAGACAGAAAATTTGCGGATGCCCCAGAGGGAAAGGAAGATACAGAACAGGCTTTCTATGAGAAGCGCAATGACACTGGATACTAGCGCGTGGTGAACAATTTCTATGACTGTTAGTATTATTTCACCCCTCACCTTTATTTCAATAGATGGAGCTTAAGACCTACTTAGAACATCCGCCTTCTCAGCTCTCGGCTTCCTGGTCTCAACCCCAACACCCTTTCTCCAAGATCCCCATGCATGACCCACGAAGGTCGATGTAGATGCCTGCAATGCGTTCACCGGAACCATGACAATACCCCATCGGATATTATTGAATACACCCCATGCAGTAGCATAATCAAGGCCCATAGATACGATCCCATGGATAAGCCATAGGTAAATAGCATTGCGAAGAGCCGATTCGAGGAATGTCCATTTTCCTGGTTTGAAGAGTGTTTTGAGTGCTAAAATGCTGATTCTGGGTTTTGGCTCCGTTGCGTTTCCTGACTCGGATGGCGATAGTGACCTCGATGGAGACGCCGAAAAAGATGCGGGTTCGCGTGGAATGGAAGGTGAAGAAGTAGACCGTTGCATTCTCAAAGCAAGATAAATAAAATATAGCAAGCCACATCCTGCAGAAGCAAGATCACATGTCATCCTGATCAACGCCTGTGTATTGACTGTTGGTGTGAAAGAGCCTACATGGAACCTCGAAATGATAAGCAAGTCCAACAAGATATTCACCGCAAATTGTACAGAACTGATCAACAACGGTACATCCGGATGATCCAACGCTCGTGTTGAATTTGCAACAGCAGTGCTCATTGCACTAGATAAAGCTTGTACTGACGAGATTCTCACATACGTAAGACTAGCTTTTCTTACAATCTCAGGTACGAAAGCCGCAGCGAGATGTTCGGCACTTGCGAGAAAAATTATCATGAGCAGAGTGCCGAATAGAATTTGGAAGCAAATGAGGGTGTAGGTAAGTGTTAATCGTGAACGAAGACTTCGATTTGATTCATCAGCTATGATAACCCAGACGGCTCGAGGGAGCCCTTCATTGAGTACCTCTACTATAATGCCGATATAGGTGTATACATCTGTGGTTGCAACTTGGGTGGAATCGATGTTGGCTACCCATAGTTTGCTGAGGGTGGAGTAAAGAGCTGGGAGGATGAAAGCTCCCGTGTTGAACAGAAGTGAGCCGGGATAGCTGTGGATTATTAGTACTACTGAGTGAGACAAGAAATGATGGACTCAGCTCACGTTTCCCGGTCAAAAATGCTTCTCCATTGAGGAAGAAATTCCGTGATCCATCTCCATTTGCTATCGAAACCCGTGGCGCTTTCTTCTTGTACCACCTCTTCGGATTCTTCGTCCACTCTCCCGACCGCCGCACTTAATCCATCATCTTTCGTCGGTATCATCCTGTATCGAACTTTGAAAGATGAAGAAGACGAACTCATGTTGAGCAACGTGAACTATTAACCATCCTTATCACTGCCATTTTTAAAATCAGGAATGAGGGAGAATCTGCAAATGACCCATTGAGGAAGAAGCATCGTGATGCTACTGTTGATTGTGGCTTTATGCAGGGAAATTTTGTAATGATTGACAAACCAATGAGATTTCTGAAATGGATTGTGGTGGTGTCTTCATTTGTGATGTTTCTACTTTACGATTCTGCACCTTTGGTTTGCTAAAATCCTTGGGTGATTCTGGACAATCACATTCAGACACACAATCAAAACGTTACATCGAGGACTGTCAAGCATTTTGGGGAGGGGATACGAATCTTCTGTATTTGTCCAAATCATATCGCGATGATTGATTCTCTGCTTGCCAATGTGGGTTGTTTTAAGGAAACTTCCTCTGCACAAAGAATGCTATGACATATGCACTGGAATATGTATCAACTCCTATTTGACAAATCTCGTGATATTTACTATTATCATCACCATTCATCTCAAGGAAAACCGATGATAATGGATTCAATAAGTATTATTCAACCACTAAGAACCCAGTTAGAATATCCTCGAATATCCCACTATCGATATAAGCTTACAAACAGCTTTGTGCAGAGCCCGAAGTCCGGGCGTACAAAGTATGCATGGTATTGTGGCCAATGAAACGCCGCTTATAGTCAGGAGCTCCATTGCGGGGTTCCACCTACTAGCTTCTTTAACAACTAACCTCATCGCTGCCATAAGCTCTGAAGCTCTAAAGATTTTGTATCGCCGACGACTATCAGATTTTAGCTTTTGATTAGTATTCAGAATGCGTGCTATCCCCGCATCGGCTTTAAGGCGGGGTAGCTCTTTCCTTTATCTTTGCTCTGACGTCTGCCCACATTCCTAAAACAAAAACATACATCATTCCTTCCCTCCTCCGTTCAAAGTAATAAACATAACGAAGTCCTCCCCCTCTCTCTTGTTTCGACAAGCACAACAACAAAATTCTCTCGGCCAACTCATGAACACCACAACCACCCTCCCAACCACTCTAAAAAACAAAGCTCAAGCTCTCATTTCCACAATGTCCCTCCCCAAAACCTACAAAGCTGCTGTTTTCGAAAAAGCCGATAGTCCACTCGTTATCAAAGACGTCGAGCTCCGACAACCATCCGCAAATGAAGTTCTCGTGAAAGTCATTGCATGCGGTGTATGTCACTCCGACGCCGTTGTTCAATCCGGTGGCTTCGGAAACGGGTTTCCGATCGTCCCGGGCCATGAGATAATTGGTACTGTCGCTGCTGTTGGAGAAGGTGTCCAGAAGTGGAAGGTTGGGGAGAGAGTAGGAGGTCCTTGGCATGGAGGTCATGATGCCACTTGTAAACAGTGCAATCGAGGACAATTGTATGTTTTCTCTCTCGCTATTATCTTTCTTTTCTGCAATATGAATTGTGATTTGCTAACGATTCGATCTCGCAGTCAAATGTGTTCCAATGGTGCCGTTAATGGTGTTACTCGCGACGGAGGATACGCTGAATATGTTCACCTTCGAAGCGAAGCCGTAGTGAGAGTTCCAGAAGATGTTGATCCTTATGAATATGCCCCAGTTCTCTGCGCCGGTATCACGGTCTTCAACAGTATGAGAAAATTACAGATTACACCTGGCGAAGTTGTTGCTATTCAAGGATTGGGTGGTTTGGGACATTTGGCTGTACAGTATGCAGCTAAGATGGGATTCAAGGTTGTCGCTATCAGTGGTGGTGACAAGAAGAGAGATTTTGCTCATAAGTTGGGTGCTCATGAGTATATTGACGCATCAAAGGATGATCCCGTCAAGAAATTGACCGAAATGGGAGGAGCAGCCCTGATTGTTTGCACGGCTCCAAACCCAAAGTCTATCTCCCCCTTGACTGGTGGATTGGGTGCGGGTGGAAACTTGCTCATTTTGGCTCCTTGTGGTGGTGTGGAGATCAACTCGATTGATCTCATCGTGAAGGCGGCTTCAGTTTGCGGTTTCCCATCTGGTCATGCATTGGATTGTGAGGAGGCTATTGAGTTCACAAAGTTGCATAATGTTAATTGCATGATTGAGAAATTCCCATTGAAGGATGTCCAGAAGGCTTATGACCACATGTTAAGTGGTGATGTTAGGTTCAGAAGTGTTTTGGTCATGGATCAATAAGTATTTATGGAGAAACGAAGAAATGAATGATGGAATGGAAAAACTTCAAGGCGATCTGTCGCTTGACATTCAAAAATGCAAAGGCTAACGAAACGAAGATTCAATCAAGTAGTCATTAGGTTTTCAATATCATGATATCATTAAGTTTCGGAAGGGAAATCTACATCTGCTCTGCTTCAAAATCTTTGTGAACATTTCAGTTTCTGCCTCGAATATCTGCCTAATCAGTGGTTTTGCCAGTGAAAAATCAATTACTGTAGTAAGATAGCTTGATATTGACCTTCCTAGTGAGGAAGTTTCTAAGACTTGGCGACCCGGAAATTGAATTCATAAGTCATGGGTATCTTTTCGAGTTTCAAATGAGGAAAATCAACCACCCTATTCCTACTTCCTTCAGCAAGTTCTTAAAACATCTCCAATTTATGTACCTAGGTATCAAGCGCATTTTTGGTAAGCAAAGAGAGCATCCATCCTAATTACAATTTGACTCGAGTCAACCATCGCGATTTTATACTTTCAGATATGCAACAAAGACCATAGTGAGTTATTTAAGTATCCAATCAGTCGAAGGGCGAGTTGACTAGAGCGATTTTGATAACCCAGACATGCAACAAACGGTCCGCTGAACCATTTAAATAGCTGGAATCTATAGATGGGAAAGTAACTTACATCTTTTAGTCTGGAATTGGAGGAGGATTTGCTATCATCTGCAGGATCAACTACCCAATCAACTAGGCTGGACTGTGCCCTGTCTGCCATCTAGTTTACGTCGTAGGGGAGAGACACGATCCCAAGAAACCTGTCAAGACTGGCGAGCAAATAGCATCTGGATCGCATCTTGAGCGTGTGTTGAAAATCAATCAATTAAACTTTGTGTAACCATTTACCCGCTGCCCTGCTCTACCCTGGCTGATATGTTCAAGTCCAATCATTCACCGCCAGCAGTTCATCAATCAATTCCTTCAAAACCTTGAATCAGATTCGATTATGATTATCATAGTACAAGCATTTGAGGCTGATGTTCATTTATCTATTGGTTGTATAATACAGGAAAGAGATGATTACTGACGTCGCACAACTGACGTCATTGTAAGCACCCCCTGTTTCCTCGAGAGAAACTTGGCAAGAAGCGAAATTCTTATGATGATGGGGAGAAGGATTGAATTGGAGAAAGGAGATAAGTATCACGAAAGTGCTCGTACTTTCGAAAAATTTCTCATTATCAAATCATCAAAAATAATATACACTATAAGCTTCCGCCAAGTCATATACTCCAGATATTCATTTATATCCTTGAACAGATATCAAATCTCAAAACAATCCATACCAACCATCAAAATGCCTCTTTTCGGTCGCCATCAAGAAGAATATGAGCCAGAGCCAGTCGTGGAAGAGCCCAAGCGAAGCTCATCTATCTTCCATCGTAACCGTGCCGAGTCTGTCTCACCATCGGAACGTTCCATGTCTACCGTCTCCTCCACTCCATCTCACAGTAGTCGCAATCGCGGATTCTTACACAAGAACCGAGAAGTTCAAGACCCAGTTATCGCAAATGGAGAGAGAAGCCGACAGAGCATTGATTAATGCTCGAGAGGCGGTGGCAGAAGCAAGAGAACATATGAGACAACTTAAGTTGGAGATGGAAGCACAGTAAGTCATTCAAACTTTGAAGGTGGCAAGAGCACAAGATACTAATCTGTTGTGCAGAGCAAAAGCACTGAAGGTTCGACAAGGACAAGCGAATAACATTTACAAGAGAGCCAAACCTCTTGGTCGTAAGTGACTATATTGATATCATCCATTTTTAGAATATCATCACTGACAACAGACATTAGGTCACCAAGTCCAGGGCTTGTGAAGAGCATCATATCCGATGTGACACTTGTCACTGATTGAAATTTACTCTTTGCGATAACTTGTATGAATATTTAGCGGGATCGGTGTTGGGGAGGATGTTTGTTTTTTTAGCGTGGAGTTGACAGGAGCGAGTGAGACTTTTTGAAATACGGTTGGGATAGAAACCACCAATGAATGTACTATTATTATGATCATGATGAGAACGAATACCATTGATGCCAATTCTTTTGAAACATGACGATAACGTAGATTTGGCTGATGATGTCTTTGCAGACATTTCATCGTGTTGGCCTCGTGTGTAGGTGCCTTGAACATTGTGAGCAGAAGCATGCCGTCGATATCAAGTGAGAAGAAACGTTTTCTTAGGTTTGGCAAGAAATGATGCTATTCCCAAAAATAAATGTTGTCATGATGGGTGAGAATGACAAACTTGCAGCTTTGCACTGAATAAAGAGAAACTTCTCGGAAAGGCACATGATCACATGACATGACCCCGCGCCTCCGCCTTTTTTTTTGGAAACAACCTAGTTCTCAAATGGGGTAAGACTTGCCTTGGCACTCCCCCCAAGATCACCGGAGACCAGGAACACGAGGACTCCTACAACCCTCGCAAGCTTCAATTCTGAATCATAATCTGCTCCCGTTCCTTTCCTTTCCTTTCCTCCTTTCCTTTGCTTTGTGACCTCGTGGACAATTTCATTGTCATTTTCTTCTTCTTTGCTCGAATGTATATGTCTTCGTCTCCTAAGGTTGTTTGAATAGAAGGATAAAAAGGTCCTTCTTGTTGGAATAGTTGCATTCCTTTTGTTTAAATCGCATTTCGTACATATTACTGTTACTCTCTGATCAGCGGTGAGGAGAAGCCTCAATCATGATTTCGTTCTCAATACATACCAATCCACGACCGCGCATATCTTTCCTTCTGCTGTGTTTATTCTGCGCATTATCTTTCTCAATTGGCGTATATGGGAGGTCAAACGATGTTGTGCGACAAAATGATTTGATTCAACGACCACTTACGAATAATGAAGACACCACAATCAATGGGAGCCCTCAGAAGCTCATCCAGCCTGAAGATACAAAAATCCTACCGGCGATGATAAGCGCGCTGGACGTGCTACAAGGAGACTACTTTGCGACATGGCAAGGCATTTATCCAACAGGAATTGATTGGACATCTGCAGTGATTGGTATGATTCTCTCTTTCCATGTTGAAATCATCTTAGAGCAAGAACTGACACCACTTTCCAAACAGGCACTTATGTTGCTGGTGCACTCACCACTATTACCAAGTCCTTTTCTGAACTTTCGTCACCGAAAATGAACGAGAACATCATCAATAAATACTTTACTGAAGTGATTGGATTTTATTTTGGCCAGGATGCCTTCTCTCTGCGACAGCAAGCCTATGATGATATGTTATGGGTAGTTCTTGGTTGGTTGGATACCGTCAAATTCATTGATTTGCACTCTGAATTACACTACTCGAACGACTCTCAGCCAGAGTGGTACGGACAACAATATAAACCTGCATTTGCCCACCGGGCGCGACTATTTTGGGAATTGGCATCGCAAGGGTGGGATACTACTCTCTGTGGTGGTGGGATGATATGGTCTCCATACCTTACTCCATACAAGAATGCAATCACCAATGAACTCTACATCGCAGCTTCGATATCGATGTATCTATATTTCCCTGGAGATGACAATCAATCCCCATTTATTCATTCCGACCCTACATATCCACCTCGCGATGCGAAATACCTACAGGCAGCCATTGATGCTTACAAATGGCTGAATGGTTCAAATATGACGGATTTGCAAGGATTATATGTCGACGGATATCATATCTCGAATCTTTCCGGCGGTGACAATACACATTGTGATTCTAGAAATGAGATGGTATATACCTACAATCAAGGTGTTTTACTTACCGGACAACGTGGTCTGTATGACGCGACCGCCGCACGATCATACCTTGTTGATGGTCATAAACTCATCGCGAATGTTATTAATGCCACAGGCTACGAAGTGAAGGATAATGTTGTCATCTCACCGCCACCCAAAGATGGCTCCTCATTGGCAAAATGGTTTGGTCTTGGTAGGAATGGAATACTAGAAGAAGGTTGCGATTCAAGTGCTTCGTGTTCTCAAAATGGACAAACTTTCAAAGGCATATTCTTTCATCATTTAATTGCATTCTGTAGTGATTTGCCACGAGAGCCTATTGCAGGGACGAAAGAAAGTCTGGAACTCGACAGAGAGTGGCATTCTAACAAATGTTCAAAGTACACAAAGTGGATCAGGCGAAATGCGGAAGCTGCGTTAAGTACCAAGAATAAAGAAGGGAAATTTGGTATGTGGTGGGGTGTACCGGCCACTCAGAGTTCATTCGCAGACTACACACAGAACCAGACATCGGGTGACTCAGTAGACTATCGAAATACTGGAGTTCCAAAGAATGCCGAATGGAGAGGAGAAGAATACCCCAAAGAAGCGAAAGCAAGCAAGATTAGAGAAGGTGTAAATAACGGTGGTGGGGTAGAAGATCCCAATGATCGAGGTAGAGGAAGAACTGTAGAAACTCAAGGTGGAGGATTATCTGTCTTGAGAGCATTATGGGAGGTAGAGTTGAGATAAATGCATATATAGCTGTTTTGTTGTATTTTTTTGAGAAGGATCGTCTAATCTTAAGACTTCGGCGTTTATGTTTATACCGAGATCTAAGTTAGAATTTCAATGAATACTTATACCGCAAGATACTGTTAGATATATTCATATGAGAGTCTACTCTACCACAAGTGCAACAACTACTTTACTATGTGATTTTATCAAATCTATTTTCATTTAAGAAAAGATTGGTTAGATTACTTATTAGATTGCCCAATTATCTAGTGATGGTCCCTTATTAATAGACCCTTGCTTGAACCCTCATTATCTAATACTAAATACCCTCAAATCTCAGCCACAATCCGAAGCATCAGCCACAAGCGAATCGCTGAAGCTATGGATTCCTTTAGCCTGTGACAACGTTACCATGAATGTTTCACTTCATTCAAACTGTCCTGATTTATTCATTGATCTCATTGTTCTGTTAAAGAATCACATAACTATCTCGGAGATAATTCATTGAGAGTTTCGAGGACAGTAATGCTTCGTATTCTCTAATGCTCTTTACCTAGGTATTGTCGCATAACGACCGCGACGCGTAATCTACCGGATACCATAGCTTTCACAGCTCATCAATTACTTGAACAATCATTCTTTGAACATCCTCACTTAGCAACTGTTATTTACAACTATCCCGTTGGGTTTTGATTGATACCAGTAGATAGGATGGTTGGGTTTAATGTATGTCAATCTTGGAAATCATTCAAAGCTGCCTCCGATTCTTCGCACAATCCCAACTCCATTCCTAGCTTTACATTACTAACCTCTCTTCCCTCCTCAGTTTTTCCGTATTCTAGGAGACATTTCCCATACTCTCTCAAAATGTATCCTCATATTCGCCATTCACCGTAACTCCTCTGCGGAAGGTATGTTTCCCCGCCATCCCCCACCCCTCCGATGAACAATTCCCCAAACTAACATCTCCCAGGTGTCTCCCTGATAACCCAATCTCTCTATGCCCTCGTCTTTATAACTCGCTACCTGGATCTCTTCTCTGGAATTTTCATCCTCTGGAATTTCGTCCTCAAAGTCTTCTATATAGGTTCCTCTCTTTATATTCTCTTTTTGATGTTAAGAGTGTATGCGAGAACTAGGGAAAGAGAAAAGGCATGGAAGCTTGGAGGATTGTGTTTTGTGGGAAGTGCTGTATTGGCACCGATTGCGATGATGATTTTTGAGAGGAAGTATGGTTGGGGTTTTATGGAGGTGAGTTTCATTTCTCAACATTTGAAAATTGGCAATATTAAACAAGATGAAAACAGGTCCTCTGGGTCTTCTCCATTCTTCTCGAATCTACCTGCATCCTCCCTCAACTCCTTCTTCTCCGTCAAACAACAGTTCCCACGGTCCTCGATTCTTTCTACCTCGTAACACTCGGTTCCTACCGTTTCTTTTACATCTTGAATTGGATTTGGCGTTCCTTAGATATCAATGATCGTTCTCCAGATGCGATATCAATTATTGGTGGTGTGATCCAAACAGCGTTTTACATCGATTTTGCTTGGGTTTATTACACAAGACAAAGAGTCAAGTTGAGGAATGGAGGAGTTGTTGATGCGGATGATATCAGTAGAGGCTGGTTATTGAATAGAGTGTTGGGCAACAAACATATGGTCGGTACGGATGATGATGATGAAGGGGATGAGGAAGCAAATACTGTCGGTAGACAAGAGCCAAATCGAAATGGTACTAAATGGGGAGCAAGAGGTATTTCAGTTAGTGCAGATGAGGGAGTTCTCGTAGGCGAAAGTCAAAGACAGGCAGGATATGAAGGACAAGAAAGTGGAGTTATTGGTGCGGATGTGGATAAAGATGCAAGAATGAAGGACCCCGATGAGTTGGCGAGAATTTTGGATGAGGATGAGGGGGAAGAAAGTGAAGAGGATGGAACATTACCTATACCTGGAGAGAATGGAAGTGGAGTCAGCAATGGATCGGAGTGGAGGGGATAGTGGGTGACGTTCCGATTGGGAATGGAAGTAAAAATTGTCAATTCCACGAGAGGAAAGGGCATTTATGTACTCGTATGATTCAACAGATATGAAATGGGACATGAGTGGACAGGCAAATGCATTAGGATCTAGGATGGATGATTCATGGATGAGGTTTAAAGGGATCGTTTGTTCATTTTATTTTTATTTGGAAAAGAGAAATACTTGCTAGCTAGGTAGCTATGTAACTGATAGTGATGAATACCAACTTCTCAGGAACTAACCTAAGTGATATAGATTGATTGTTGTGTGTGATGCCTGTGATTGTGGTTCTGGTTATGGTTTTGGGTGAGGTCATACTTGAGTTTCCTAAAAGTAAAGGTTTGGCTTTGACTGAAAGGATGATGATGGAATCAATGGAAATGATGGAGAGAAAAATTGGAGTTTCGAGAAACGTAATTGGTTGGTAGGTAGGTAATGAGTTTTAGGGTTATGGGTGGTCATGCTGGATAATCTTGGAGATGGATATTTAAGGACGGGGAGGGGGTGAATATGAATGGGGGGTTGAGGATGAGATGAGGGGTGGAGGATGAGATGGGATAAGAAGAGATGGAAAGAACTGGGAAGAAATGGGAAATGAGGTGGAGTATGATTATTTTGTGTTTTGGGATGAGATGGGATGGGATAGTATGGGAAGGGAAGAGATGAGGTTATATAGAGAATAGGATGGAAGATAGGAACAAATAGGAAAATATAGGAAGAGATAGGGATAGGGAGAAAAGAGAAGGGAAATGAAATGAAATAGAATATGATATATTTTAAATTTATTTTGGGATATGAAATGGAAGATGGGAGAGGGAAGTTGATAGTTGGAAGATGGAAGATGGAAGATGGGATATATGAGATGGGATATATGAGATGGATGTTTGGTGAGGTGAGGTTGGGTGGAGTGAGAAAAATAGATTATGAGGTTGTAATAATGGGTCGGAGATGGGGGAGTAGATGAAGGGAATGAGATGGTTGGATGGATGGATGAATAGAGAAAACCTATAGAGAGTGAAGAGTAAAATTAGTGAGATGAATGAGAGAAGGAGGAATGGGTGGGGAGATATTTCTAGGAAGGAGGTTAGCTGTGGAGTTGATATCTTTTGGAAATAGAAATGCAGGAGGAGAGGAGAGGAGTTTTAAGGTTGAGAGAAAAGGATAAAAGGATGAGGGATTAGGGCTGAAAAGGGAATATATGGAATAGGAAAATACGGTGTAGGAAACACGGATGGGAATTCAAGAGAGAGAACAAGAGAATGGGAATATGGAAGATACGTGTATTGGGGGTCGGGCATAAGCAGATATAAAGATAAGCATATGGAAGGGCATCAAGTAAATTATATGACAGATATAGATGCAGTGTTATATATTCGGGACTTGGTAGTGTTGGATAGACAAATGTAGATGAAGGTAGGATAGAGTATCAGTAGAGTGAATCTCGCGGTACTGGATTTTTGATGGCGTGGGAAGGAGTTTATTGTTACGTTTGAGGGGGTAGAAGGCTGAGGTGATGGAGTTGAGGTTCTTTAAGGGGTTGATGAGGATGGAGGTAGGGAGTTTTGTAGTGATAGGGTGGTGAGGAGTGAGGTTGAAGAGGAGTGAGGAGATGAGGGGATGAATATCATTGGCTATCTGTGTATGAAATCAGATTATGGTAAGATTACTGAAATTAGAGAATTGGGCTGCTAGTAAGGGATGGATAGGATGGTTGAAGAAATTTAAAGTGAGGTTCTTCGATGGGAGTAGGGAATTGGGATGAAGATGGGGAGGTAAATGATTTAGATGGTTAGACTGAGAATGTGTATGCAATAGTGGAGGAAAGAAGATGAGATGATTGAGATTAGGTTGTATGTGAGATGGTTTATACGGTTTGTTGTGAAGCGAGGAATGGCTGACAATGAAGGGACTTTTAGAGGATAGATAAGCTGCTATTACAAAGTAGAAGATAGGAAGTGAGTCATTATGAGCATGTTAGATCGGAGTGTCAATCAAGTATTCTGATCAGGAAAAGGAAAATTTGAGATTACGTGAATGAGAGAAATTGTGAATTTGTACAATTTCTATCTACACACATCCTATGTTAATTGACTAGGTGGTTTGGGTACATAGCATAGTTTTATAAGAAGGGCTTAGGTATTTTATTAGGTCCAATGACATATGGCCTGAATCATTTTGAATAAAAGCTCATTAGAGTTTCAGATTCAATTTATATATACTACCCTAGCTAATTTAATAAAACATCGTAAGCATTTATTCAAGAGATTCTATCTATAATTCTCAGACATGGTGGATGTGGGTCAAAGGATCAATCTAATTAATGGAAAATTTGAAATGAATTAAAAGGATTGTTCTTCGTTTAGTAGATAAACTTCAAGGGAATAGAAGTATTAGATTTCTTGTTTCTTTTATAGGCCATTTAGCCTATAAAGATTGATCTTTTATAATGAGAACTAGATCTCAGAGGGAAAAGACATTTGAATAGTATGTCTATTCATATCTAGAAAAACAAGATAATATGCAAGAAAGAATAGTTATTGGATGCATTGTGAACAGTCATTCCAGTTATTTTAACGATGCTTCAAAACTTCGTAGTGATTAGACGAGACTTATTTCATGACTATCTATATTGAGATATAAGTTCAGCACCCCACTTTTCGGCCATCCCTCTTTTTGGCCACCTCATAAATCTCATCGCTCTAATCAACCATCTCTTTTCAATCTTTAATAATTCAATAACCATTAAATCAATTGATTCAAAAATTTGATATATTATTAATTATATTATGGGTAATAGTTATACTAAAAATAATATTTGTTAGAGTAGATACTAGCAATGAATCAACTAGGTGAAATGTAGCACAAAGACTTTTCATTAATTCTTCTAAACTTATGAAAACTATACAATTTATATGTGTGTGCGGGCTCCCTTCGGCACACGGTAGGCCCGAGGGCTTACTATCACATGCCTAATGGAGCTCTTTAGTCCATGACCGTGACAATATTACTATAATATTTAATATTATAACAGAAGGTATAATTATTAAAAAAGCTAATTTGAATTATAGAATACCCTATATTATTTTTTAATATTATATAAAAGATTACTTTTCTTATCAAAAAGGTATTCAAAATATACAAAAGATAATTTTGATATAAAAAAAAGTATTAATTGAATAAATATTAATTTAAAAGGTTTTGAATATTAGTTTTATATATTAATAGATATAAGAAATTAGCGAAACTCTTTTTGAAATAAAAAAGAATAAGCCTATACTTGGAAAACAATAGATATACAATTTTCTATTTAGAAACTCTAAAATTCGAATCAAAAAACAAATCAGAATTGATAATCAATATATTTTAAATATTACTACCAAAATTATTAATAAGTTCTTTGAAAAGTTGAATTTACTAGCTATTATTCACATTAAGCTGGAAAACAGATGGAATATAAATAAAGCTGGTATTATAAAAGACTAGGGCTTGAATAATATGGTATTTGAGAGTGCTAAGAGATATTTTATTCAAAAGAAATAACTTAATATAAAAAATTGAATTTTTTTTATTGAATATATTTTTATTATAGAAAAAGTATTATTATTCCTTATTATATATAAGGGTAAAAGTATTCAAAAATAATAGTTCTTTATTAAGCTTGATATATATAAGGATTGGAAATTCTATATTATAAAAAATAGATGAATTATTAATAAAATAGATTTAGTATAATTAAAAAAGGTTTTTATTCCTTAAATCATTTTTTCTAATTCAAAAGAGACTAGATTGTTTATTTTAAATGAATATAGAAGCTACAAAATTATTCAATTTATACTTAAGTATTTTAAGAATAATATATACCTTTTATTTCTTCTTTTATATATATCATATATACTACAACCTTTTGATTTATTAATATTCTCTTTTCTAAAATATAAATATTGATATAAACTTAATAAATTAGATTCACTATCTGATTCTATATCTATAAGCAAAAGGAATTTTCTTATATACTATTAAAAAGCAAGATTAAAGAATTTAACTCTGAATAATATCACTTCAGAATAAAGAGCTTCAGGTTTATAGTTTCAAAACTGTGCTAAGCCTTTTTTATCTAGATTATTGCTTGAAAATAGCAATAAAGAAGTTCAGAGTCTGAATTCGATTTTAGATAATAATTTCATACTTCAATGGAATATAGATTCATTTTTGATTTAATAGAAAATACTACAAAAAGCAAATGATCTACAAAAATATATATTAATATTAGAATCTAAAAAAGAAATAGATTCATATATTTATCGATTATTTTTTCAAAAGATTCAAAAAGCATTTGATATTAAGAACTATGAAATTATAAAATCTAAATATCGAATAAAAGAATTAAAATACAAATTAGAATATATTATATCTAAAAAAAAAGAGGAAGATTAATACTAATTCAAATTCAAAGTTTTCTGGAATTAAAACTATATATCAAACTCAAATCGAAGCCAATAATTGTGAAATTGATAGAATAAACTCCAATAGTATATATAAAATTGATACTACAAAAGATTGTATTGTAATTGGATAGTTATTGAATTATTGAAGTTTAAAAATTGTATATATATATTTTATAAGGTGGCCGAAAAGAGGGGTGGCCGAAAAGTGGGGTACTGAACTTATGCTTCAAGCATTATAATTGTCATTATCGTTAGTATATCCATTGAGGATAATGATTTCATGGATAAAGACTTCGGATGGAAGTTTGGGATGATATTTAGGAAGTGAGGAGATATGTGCTTTTTCAAACTGTGAATAGGCAGTAGATTTTGAATCAAGATATAGTCTTTAGACTGCTACCAACTAATACGTAACGAATGAGACTTTTCCATGGTTTATTAGAGACATGATACTTGGTGAGGTTTTGCTGACTGGTATCAGATGGCTTTCGAGAGAGCTCGGAAAAGAGATGAATAGATTATTGCCTGTTTCAAGTCAGTTAAGAGGATTGTGTATAGATGGCTTGATGGATCTTGGACACTGGTATCTCCATTGCTGTTCCAGTTAGGTCAAAATAAAGACGAGAATACGGAGTACCATGTTTCTATTGAGAATCGTCATGAGTTTTCTATCAGAAATCGGATCAATATGTTGTTTTAAGATATTCATAGGGTGTGATCTCTATAAACTACTGTCTCATCTGCAACACGATATACTGATGATAAACTATATCTTTTAAATGAACTTCTTACTGTAGACGCCGACGTATATAACGAGTGGATACATATCTCATGATCTAGTCGTTAACGATATCTTTCGTTTCTATCCAAGGTAGCCAAAATCTCTCTGATTGTCTAGTAAGCTTTTGTAGCCCTGATTTAGCTATCACTTGAATCATTATTGTAAGTAGCAATAAGCAGGAGAAAACCTCATGCTCTCTATATACTGGTTAGATCTCACTAAGATGGATTTTGATTCCCTCTTCGACTTAATTTGGATAAACGGCAAACAGTTCCTTTTAGTTTGAAGGGATGAGGGACCTAGATACCTGCATAATTATAGTTTAACTTAGACTAAGATCTAAATATCACTGGCTGATTGTGATAGCTTCCCGAAATAACGTTGTATATAAACGACTTTTCCCATGTTATGACAGTGTAGATAGGCGTCTCGAAGTTCAGGATCAAGAATTTCTAGAGATGCTCTTCTCTAGTCTATGCTGTCTGGATGTGATGGCTCTTAAGTTGTTATAGAATACTGACAGGTTTCTATATGATTGTAGAACGTCGAGATACCTAGATATCTTAATCATTACCAGTAAAAAAGTATTCTTCTCTCGGAAAGGCATTTGGATATATCGAAAGTTCAAGCCGACTTAATTTGTCTACCAGCTTTTTCTGGTTGTAATTAGCTCCTATTAAACATGTAAGTAAGTGATATGATGTCATTATCACAACAAACATCCAAACTTGTGTGCAGCAGATGTGATGGGTTATGAGTTATTAAGATTACTATGAACAATTCGCTATCATCCTCCCAGTATCATTGATTCCATTCAAAAACTACCGCTGTTATTTAGCTCGTAGATGCTTTCATCCTTGAGAGCAGTCACTTCTTAAAGTGAAAACTTGTGGCTCGGTACATATCACAGATATGATTTTATCCCCACAATTTAAGATCGTTTAGGATCATCTTCGAATCCCGACTCGCTGCCATCATCAGTATCGTCTTCCATCTCCGAATCTCCTTCCAGTTCAAATTGGTCTTCTTCAATAGGTTCTCCATACTCTGAAGGTTCCTCCAGATCTCGCTGGATTTCCTCAGCAGTCACGGCATCTCGATTGCTCAATGCGTGATGCAACGCTTCATAATCGTCTTGATATTGGCGGAACCAAGCTTTTAGCGCGTACAAAACGTTTAAGAGTTGCTCATAGCTCCTATAATAACCACAAATTAGCAAATTTACCATTTTAAATTGATGGGAAAAAGTGCGACATACTCTAGGAGCCAGCCTTGGTAATCCGGCGTTGAGACTCTGTCTAACTCTATGCTAGAAGCTCTCTCATCACAGAACTCAATCTCCTTATCTAGCTTCTCGATCGCAATTTTGCATTGGTCGATTCTGTTTGATAATGTTCCTGTAATGATTTGATTCCAAGACCTGCAATCTTCGCGGCGTTCTCTGATGTACTGGTCGAAGTCGATTTCGAACGCTTCGATGTGATTGTTTTGAACTCTTTGGGTAGGGCTTACTTGTGACATCTTTGCTTTCTAGGGATGTTGGGTTTGGGAGAGAAGTTTCTTTCTAAAGATGTTCTATCGAGTTGATATTTATCAAGATGAATAGATGGTAAGATGGTAAGATGATCTAGATATTATGGATTGTTGGGTATGCTGTTATCTTAAATGATCAAGTATGTAAAAAACATGGAATTTAGAAGTCTTCGTCGGTGGGAGATCACATATCCTTAAGTAACTAACTGTGTACTCTTACGGTCAGCAAAACAAGGCTAAATGAGGAGCGCGAGTTCAAGAAACATACTCTGATTAGCGAGCGTGATTCTTTGATTTGGTTCACGGTCATATTATGAGTCTCCAGGCACATGTGCTTCTAATAATAGCTCTTTCCGGTTCATACGGTCTGGTTAAAGTTCTTAAATACCACACTTAGGCCTATATATAGAGATTTAGGAGTAAGGACAGCTATAAGTTATGAATTTATGGTGCTCGTGATAGTGCAGCGCATCTGACAGTAGAACCTAGCTTCCCCTGCAGCATGAGCCGAGATCCCCTAGCCGTCATCTTAGAAAGTACCGGATGGCTCCCAGTTACAGGTACTTCTCTTTACGATTATTGATAGATTTATCATTAATCTAGGAAGAGAGACAAGGTTGAAGGATGCGGCTGTTCAGTGGAAGGAGAATCACTGTGCACTTCTTTAGAGGCTATACCCGCCGGTAGTTGATTGATTTTCGTGCAATCCATCTGAAAATTCCTTGGATCTCAGCTATGTTACAATGCTTACTTGTTGATCTCTGCTAATCAGGTATAGATACAGGCAAATTGCACACAACATTACGTCTAGCTAGAAGCGACTACTAAGCAACTGATAGGATTCTTACTTCTAGTGTATATTACTCTGTGACAAGTCCCTTTGCAAAGACGTTGCATATTTAGGGAAATCTTCTGATTACCAGAGAGGTTGAATACTAGATAAAGTAATAAAATATATATATCATCAAATCACAGCATCGGAAGTCAATTTGCAGGTATTAGACGATTGAATGATCAAATTGCCTCTATAAACGCCATTGAACCAGTTCCCATTCGTTTTTGCTCCAATACTCCTGACTCCCTCTCAAATTACCGCTGGTAGGGAAAAGGGTATGGTTATGGTCCACTCAGTAGCTCTATTCGTCTGAAACCCGCTGGTATCGTCACCAAGTGATATTGTTCTGCGACAGTACCCTCCGTGGCTCGCGAATCAAGCATGTCCCGGCTCTAAATCAAGCTCTTCCTCAAGCTCTCTGGCAGTTTCCCAATCTCCATTGTTTCTAGCGGTCTGTAGATCTCGGTAGTCATCTCGAATGGTCTCGTACCACTGGCGTATCGGATACATCAATTCCAAGAGTCTCTCGTACTCACTGTTGTAGTGAAATGTTAGCAAATACCTTGTATTGATAGGTTCTGAGAATCTTACCTCAAAAGCTCGGCTCTAGCTTCCGCTGGCAAGCTTCTCATGTGTTGAATGAGGGCTATTCTGCGCTCGACAAAAACAATCTTCAAGTGGAGTCTATTGAGAGCACAAAACGTTTGGAGGATCCGATTACCAATTGTTCCATCAATCGCATCGTCCCAACGTTGAAGATCAGCCACCAGATCTTCATGATATTGGTCAAAATCGACGGTGAGCTCTTGGATGTAAGCTATCTGAGACATGGCTAGGAATAAGCTCCGAAAAAAATAAGGGCGCGGGTTTGATTTGAAGAGGTTGATTGGAAGAGGTGGTAATATGAGGTCTCGATAAATTTTTGACTGTGAATATGTGGGCAAGCTTTGAGAGTCTCCGCCGTTGAAAGATTCGTGCTCTTAATTATCTAGCTACTCACGAAGATAACCAATAAAAGAAATCGCTCTGAGACTTAGCGCAATTTACAGAACTACAAGCGCCTTCAAAACTTGGCTTTCATCACTAATGTGACTCAGAGATGCCTAATTTCTGGTGTAAACAAAGGAGGCTGATGGGAAAACGGTGAATTGATGAGTGATTAGTATGATTGCGTAAGTTTAGAAACCAAAAGTACCGTAGAACCTTGATAGTTACAACTAATTCCATGCAGAGATGCCTAAATTTTACTGTACCGTAAAGTAGGGAACGATGGAAGAGTGAATAAGTGCTTACTGTGATAGCAATAGATCTAGAAATAGTCTAATACGGGACCCGGCGTCTTGTGAATTGATTGGAAAAAATGTAAGCTACAGTGGATTTAGTTGTAGATAAATGATACATACGGAATTGAGACAGAAGGCTAGAATCTGGGTATGTAAGAGTAACAATGCCTCATACCAAACAAATGCGTCGACAGAATGGGCAATGAATCAGCCTTGCATGCATTTGATATTCTTTGAGGGGTTGCTTCATCCTCCCAAATATCAGTAGTCGCAACAAGTCTTCTAGTTCTTATACATTAATAACAGTCAACCTTCCGATCAAGTCATCACATCACGACTTGTGGGTTGTCCATATCTAAACAGTCATCTATATCTAGTGAGGGTCTGGTCTTTGAAACTTTGAGCCTCAGTACTTCTAATTGATTGTGCAACCTTGCTAGACACACAGCTTCAACGAGTTACGGATAACGGAAGGGAAATACCCATTACTAGTGCATGAAAGGTTTCAATTGCAAGCATTCCACTGTCGTTTGGATATAACAGGGAAAGGCGCAGCAGAGAATTGAATGAGGTGTAAGTCTTTGAATGGCCTCTACTTTAAAAATCGTCACTCAAGGCTGAAATATCACCCTCTGAAATTATTCTTTGTAAGAGCATTTCCTAGTCTTTTGATTGGTATTCATGATAAAAATCAGTGATTACAGATCAGGCAGAACTGAAAAATGATACTGTGTAAGTTTATGTTCTAGACAACAACAACAATGCCCAAAAGACGACCGAAAAAGCTCAATAGAAAAGAATTTGTAATTCAAGCAGCATAATGAAGGAGAAGGGAGTTTCTTTAACGAAAATAACCGAGAATGAGCAATCTTGGTGAGCAGCGTCGAAGCGAGAATTTCTCAAAAATGGTCAAACAGCCTCTAGGTACAACATAAAAGATAGAAACTATACTCAAGCAATTCGAATTCAATGATTAACTCGTCAAATTAAAAGGTGATAAATGAGGTGAAGTCTGGTTTCTCATAAAAATGACTGGATTATTGCTTGAACATACATTTGAGCTTTGGAACTTCGTATCACATGTAGAGGCTCAAATACTTTGGCAATCAAATCTCTATTACAATCTGCCATCTTTCACAGATCAGTTGACTTTGAAAACAAGGAAAGAATAAGATAAATGAGGGAGAGATAAATGAGAGAGAAGGCATTGATTGTGTCACAGATACAAAAGTGCCAGAGAAACCCACCACTGTGTTACCGTAGAGAAGAAAAAAATACATGAGAAACTCCATTTAACAATCTTTATCCTTATAACCCCATTTCCGAAACAAAAACCAATCCCGCAAGCAGTATTCAGTATGATCAATTTTTGTCTTGACCCAAATCATCCGTTACGGCCTTTGCTTTATCTCCTTCCTTGTGAACTGGTACGCCACGCTCTGGAAACTTCTCTCGAGGTTGACGAAGAATGCCTTTTTTAGAAGATGCTTTCGCTTTTGTTTCAGGTTCGAGGCCTTCCATAGTTGGTAGCAAAAAGGGAGGCTCGTCGGGTTTGAGTACTGTTGAGAGTTGATTACGGGTATCAAGCACTTCGGAGTCGACGGTTGGAGATGAAATCGTAGGGATTTGCGTCGTGGTAGATTGCTCGCGGAATCTTACGAGAACCCTTTGTTGATTGTATTCGTCGAGTAAATTATGGACAAAAAGAATCGTACGCAGCAAATCCTGTTGGACAACGCGCATAGATCTAAAAGCAGTATTAGTACTCGTGATATCAATAGGATCGAGAGAAAGATTGTTGGAAGCTAGGTACGCAAGTTCTTCAGCTCGATTTTTCGCACTGAGTTTCTCGATATAAGAATCAACCTCTTTAATTTGTGAATGTAAGGCTGGTAGAAGTTTCGAGAGGTACTTCTTCCTGCGGGGGTACGTCAATGAAAAGAGTTTCTCATTGACCACGGTAATGCCGTCGAGGACTTGTTTTTGATACGTCTCGATGAGGCTTGCGGCGGGTTTCTTGGTATCCATGATGGTTGACGAAAAAGACGAGAGACTAGAGCCTGTTTGTGGAAAGAAACATAAGCTTGAAGCTCTTAACAAGTAGGTTAGGTCGATTGCGAGCTAGGAAAGAACGGGATGGGTAGAAGAGAGATGTATTTTTCAAGTGTTTTGGTAAGAGTTCTTCGGTCTAAATACGTCTTCGGTTGCCTGAGTGAATGATTCGATAAGCAAAAATAAAGTGGGGGAGTGTGTGGTACACTCTTAACGTAGCTTATTTGTGGGAAGAAGCGAAAGAGGAGAAGTTTGACCTTTGAGAGTATCTCTGAAATACGACAAATAAAGACTGTGTTGTATGACTTTACATAAAAGCTCTGGTGGCTTCGGGTGCAGGGCTAATTCTGTACAACAACTATCTAAGTGAGAGTGGTAGCGATTATAGAGGGAAAGAGAGATTTCCTGTTCTCTAGGAAGCTCTGAACGTGAGCGCAATTTCAAATGCATCAGATGGTAGTAAATGCCAAAGATGTGGAATAGACAGTTGTGAACGTCTGGCATAAAACGCATAGTCTAAAACCAGACTTTATTGCAGCTCTTCAATATGGCTCAGTGTTTTAATAAATGAAGTCCATTTAATCTTTAATATCAATAGTTATACATCTCAGAAATCAACTTTGAATGATCAAGGTACTTCCAAAGATATTGATTCTCTCATGTCGCCGCAAATAATCGGAGCTTAGAAATTCATAGTTCCAAAAACAAAAGGGTGGAATTTTCGCAGTGAAGCCATAATCTAGTGGTAGGCTGTCTTTCAAGATCCTCAAATCTCTTGTATTAACATTCCTGGAGCTTAAAGTCACTTTATGCATGGGAATTCGATAGTTGAACAATATTTAGATGACTGTATTGACGCATTTTCACACGCGATGAGCTTGGAATAGAGTTCAAGGAGTATTTTGTGTAGGGAATGACAATTTTTTTTTTACAATTATTCAGCCTTTATTAAATAGATTTGAATGAAACCGAATCTTCCTTACTACTGTGGTGCAACAAATCCTATAATATACTATTCAGTAAAGGCCCCGTTTTGAGATATCAAAAACCTTAGAGGTGAAGTGAATATCCTCGTAAACATGAGGAGCAAGTAACTATGGCAACAGGGTGCCCAAGTATATATCTTGCCACGCGGTACTTCAAGTCAAAGACTTATGGAAACCCTTGCATCTTTGTATTTCACTACAATGCTGGCTTCTTGGAGACCACCTTAGCCCCACGAACTTTCTTCTCCAGTGATTTAATGTCAATCAGCTTACCGTATCTACTCTGGGGAAATTTATCATGGTCGCGGAGACTCTATAGTTAAAGACGTTATTAGTAGGGCTCTTGATAATCCATTGACACCACATAAACTAGCGGAATAGGACTCAATGACTTACAAGTGTGTCCCCGTAAGTTCCATGGCGTATCCCGAGATTTAGCATCATTTCTCTTCTCTTTTCCAAGCTTACTTTCTCACTTGCTACTTCGGATAGGAAAACTTCTACCTCTTGAATACGAGCCTCGATATTGCTGCGCATGACAGTAGACTCAGTCATTATTTCTGAGGCAATGCTAGGTGGTGAAAGGTCAGCGTTTGATTTTACTAAAGAGTTAGACTTATGAGGGGCTGCGTTTCGACTTACCTGATCTTTCGTGCCCAGTTCTTGTCGTTCGCAGGTTGCAATTTTCTTAAGAGAAATAAGTATTCCTCAACAGTCTTGATATCCACTTGAAACTCCTGACGATGCTTGCGTAGAATCTTCAATCTCGCGTCTAAAGTATAACGGAAGAGATTGTTCAAATCTTTATTGACCACAGAAATGATTTGACGATGCTTGAGGGCTACCATTTCCAGCTCAGGTTGAGAACTTCCTGATTTTGGACAATCTGTAGAGTGGTATTCGGCGTTTTGAGGTTCATCATTCTCGTCTTCAATGCCAACTCTTCGGCTTTCTGCCGGAGAAACAGGGTTCTTGTGTACCATCAGACGCTCGAGGGACTTTGTTCGTGTTTTGATGGCATTGATAGCTTCGCTTTTGGTCATTGCATCATAGTCCTGCAAAGTCATTAGTATTTCTATGCACATGGAAGTCTTTTTATTATGCTGATACGTACCTTCGTCGGACACATTTCCCGATTGTTATGAACATTGGAAGGCATGTCGTAGGTACTTTTTTGCTTGAGATGATATCTTGCGTCTACTGGGATGTTATATTCAACAATTCTGAAAAAGTATTGAAACTAATGAACGAGAGTATTTCGAAGATATTGAGATTTATGATCAAATCAAGAATAGTTTAAGAGGGTGGATTAGCTGAGGTGACACTAACATTTATTCACATGAAGAAAACACCCATATATAGATAAGTGCATCAAGATCCAATCAGCGTATTTACCCACGCTTAGCCGTGATCGATTTGAATCTTGCTTTCATTGCCGTATCTCATCTACTGTATTGAAACATAGGAGCAGCTGGGAGTGAATGGGCTATGAATCTAAGTTTTTAGGGGCTCATCAGCACAGAACATGCTTTAGAAGCTGTCGTATATGAATTGGTTAGCCGTATGGCGCCGCCAAATGCCTACTACAAATACAAGATAAGAAAGACATGAGAAAACTAAACATAAGAAATTCTCCAAGTTTGCTTCACTGTGCCATAATATGGCGGGTTTTAAACTCAGAAAAGAAAAGCCAGCCTTTGAAGGAAAAGGCGACACTGGAAATAAGAAGCGCACCTACTTCTACACGCCAGATATTGAAGCCATACATCGAAAAGACAACGAGATACATTTTCTCAGAGTTCTATCTTTCACCGCAATATTTACAACACTCATTTTAATTGCATATTATAGATGGAAGGTTGCTCAACTTGAAAAGATACTGAAGATAAAAGATGAGCATTATATCGGGAAGTTGACTGGTGGAGTGGTGTTGATGGGGGAGCATGGTTCCGTGTATATCCAGATCATGAATCAGTTTGTGTCTCTGATTTATATCATCGTGATCCTAGTCGCAGTGATTACCTGGTTGTACGTGGGGACCTTTAAATTTCGCAATTCACTCAAGGTATATTGACTAACATTTTAAGGAAGTATCAAAATCAGTGACTAATAATCGCCGCGAGTTCTGACCCAACTTTCAGAATCTTGATCTCATCCTAGTTTGTATGTATACTAGAAGGGGAAAAGAAACACTCTAAATCAAGCTATATGCCAGCATACTGGGCCAGATATTCAAAGAAGGTCGCACTTTCAAGAAATCAGTACCAGGGTCTATTGCTTAGTGTTAGCGATGCCAGAACGTCTTTCAAACAAAGAACTCAGAATGGTGAGATGGCAAAAGACCTCGAGCTTCACCAGGAGCCATTATCTATTGAGGTATTGATCTTTTTCCGGGGGAATATTTGAGATTTAGCATGGCGGATACATACGTTGGAGATAATCCACTTCCATAATTAAACAATCCCACGGGATTTATTTTATTGACGATGAGGTTCATAATTCTCTATCGAGTGCAATTCAAAACCTAACTTGTCTTTTCTACAGTATTATTTAGTGAAGAAGAAAGAATTGTATTCGAGATCTAGTATTGATAAGTAGGAACTGACAGCTGGTTATGCAAAATCTGACGAGACAAGAATTTTCGGGTGAAAAACAAGTTAACAGTCGGGTTGATCAAGAGATCACTTCACGTCAGCATTATGAACAATGGTCTGAAGGAAGAATGGCGGATAAAATCTCATTAAATTTATGATCTTGATGTTATGTTGATGCTATATATTGATGCTATAGATACTAAGCATAAACGAAACAAGTAGTGTGGCTTGTTTTGGCTATATACGATTGCTAGAATTGACATTTCTCCGGACTTCCAGTCCATCCCTGTGTCCTAACGAATACTGGCCATCCCATTACTCACAATTGTTTTTAGGATGACATATAATGATGCTAGATCGTGTTGCTGAAGTAGGAAAGTGGCTTCGAAATGATGGGTACTTCAACCCCTAAACCTGAAATTTTATTTCAAAGGACCTCTTCACTTTCATCTATTGTGTTTTCGCTGTCTGGGGGTAATTCGATGTTCTTGTTAGGACGGCCGCTATGAATCCATGTTAAAGATTCGGTAGCATCACCGAGCGCGGTGATGAGCTCGCCAAAGGTTGCTTTGCTCAGGAGGGGTGTCTCCTCCGGCGATTCAGTGATTAGAGCTGTGGCAGAAGCCATAAAAATTGTTGGTGTGTTGATTGTTTTGGAAGTTTTGGCCTAATTCAAGTAAGAGTAAGAGAAGGAACTTTTACCATCGTATGAATGATGAAATACTAACCAAGTTTGGATAGCGATTAGTCTCCAAAGCGATTGCCCTTGCCGGCTCTTTATGTGCAGGATTTGCTACTATCTTGGTAGTGGGACCATGAAGTCTAAGACCATGCAATCTTAGTATCTCTGGAGCTGGCTGGAACAGCTGATTGTGGAGTCCTACTAGCTTGACGTTGTGAACAGAGCGAGTAAAAGTGACAGGGCAATGATTGCGAGTGAGGAAGGCAGCGATATTCGCACTACCTCGAGCTTGGGAACCCATTCGGAACATTCTGTAAGTCTGATGAACCAGGATGAGAAATTTATTAAAGAGTTGTTGTGTATTCTTGTCAGGATTTGTTGGTAAACGATGTGTTATTAAAGGTTTCACAGTTGCAAGTATGTGTAGAAAGATAGATTTGTACGATAGAAGCATATAGGAATTTGTTACAAAGAAGACGGGAGCAGCTCTTTTATAATGAGACGCATGTGTCTAGTGCGGAAAATTTCAAGCTTTCGATTGCGTGAATGCGGGAGCTACTGTAGATCATTAGGCCAAATGACCAATCAAGCAAAATGCAAGGCAAACCTTATTTGCCTTGACACTTAACGCTTTCTAGTGCCGCTCAAACTCAAATATCACCAGGTAAAGGCGTTTCATTTTTCAAGAATTCTTTGCCATGAATGCTACTTTCTGTCTCTTCTTCCGTAGCTATATAACGGTAGTTTTAGGTGTATCTTGCTTGTCATTACTAAACTTACAGTGCATATCTGGAACATAAACCATCCTTAGCTTAGCACGCCAGTTATAATGGTGTGAACACTAAGCTTAGTTCAATTTGGTAAGCTCTTAGATTCACTAGCAAACTCTGGTACATAAATCACATGATAGCAAATCACTTCGTCGTTGATTTGTCATGATTCATCCGACATATGAGCTGTACAGAAATCTGTGAAAGTGTGGGGATTTCGGTGAAATTCTATGAATTCATAATAACATCAATAAATCCGTGAATGTTCATGTACTTCAGATTGATTCTCAAATTGACGGAGATACCACGATCTGACAAAACTCACTGACTGTTGCTCCCATGAAGATTCGATTGTTCATGCGTTACTCATAGACTACCCAAGTAAGCGAGGCCGAAACAGCGAGGCCGGTTCATGGATATGAAGTTGCTCTTATTTCATGCGTTTCAGACGAAATTAACTTTCTCAAATCCAATCACAGCGCTCAATAATCAATGAAATACCAAGGAAATTTCAGCCGCGTCTTTTCAATCGTTCCTGCGTGAAAAGATTGGGATTTCCGGAAATCTCTAATCATTACTTGTGGACGATGGCGGTAAAATTGACTAGTAGTCTCGAAGCACATCTATTAGTCGCCCTTCATTTGAGATCTCGATTTAATCGACCGAGTATTCTCTAATGAAAAACGTATCAGAATTTTCGAAGTTACATCCAGCAATACTGCGATCACAATCATCGCTCCCACCGGAATGCTAGCACAGTACCCGCCATTGGTCGAAGACGTCGAAAATTGTGAATGGTAGCCTGATGGAGCGGAAAAGATATTGCTGGGGAGAGGGGTACCAGAGACGTTTTGCAATGTTGGTTTCTTGAATGTGAAAGATAAGCTCAGCCAAAGAATCGAATTTGTCTGCCATAAAACCTATACTGGGATGAGGAATTGGAAACCGATATTCAGATTCAGATATGGAACAAACTTCTTGATAGATATCTGCTCGTGGAATTTCTGCATTGCTAAGACTGGTAAGCAGCTCCAGTAGATTTCTCGTGGATGCCACTAACAACCCGAATTTGTCCTTGACAAGTGTAAAGTGCTTTACTCTATAATGGTTTTATTCCTTCATGGTCATGATTTAACTCTAGGAAGTTAATACTTATACAGGAAATCGCTAGAGCCTCACAGCGAGTACAGTACCCTCTGATGATCACATGATTGATATGTCGACAAAATCCTATTTGCCAGACGCTAGTATCCCGAGAATAATTTGAGCACACGTCGGTATCAAGAAAATATGGACAGATCCATAGTTGATTAGATAATTTCTGCAAAACTTGTTAACTCAGGGAGATGCATGGTTCTGGTGGGAACAAGGAGAGGACTTTACGTGAACTCACTGCAAATTCAGTACAAGAATTTATTTGAAAAAGCGAAGATTGAATGGTTTACAGATTTAAACAGTGAAAGTGGTATCCTTCTATTATTAAAATTGTAATTGATGGAAACATCTTCAAATTTCAAGATCACATCTACACGTCGGGGAGTATCAGAGGCATCACAAGTACACAGAATTCGGAAGCTCGTCCTTCATTCGTACAAAGATTTGAACGCGATCTTCACTAGCTGATCATCCCCTTCGTACTAATCAACTCAAGATACCAACACTAAGTGAAGTTTAGACATCTTCATATCATTTCAAAAAAAAGTTATATTGATTGTTTACTAGTGTCCAAAACATGATGGCTTCGACTTTTGGATCTTTTCGATAATGTAATAGCTTATCCCAGCAGAGAGTCCAGCGCCAATTAGCACAGTACCATGTATTCGATTTATTCCAGCTAGAAGTTCAATTACCCAGCATCGATTACTTCGGCTGATGAAACTATCTTCAGCCACTAGTCTACTCGTGAACTTTTAACCAAAGAATCAGAACTACCAGAATACTTCCTGCGATCTAGACGTTAGCATTCTCTCGCAATCTTCAGGACTGAGGTAAAGTTCCTACCAGGATCATTTTAATTTTGGCTGCGGAAGCTTTTCATCAATGTGGTAGGAACTCTTAGGCGCGTCCCACGGGGCAAGACCTTGAGTATGAAGCTTTAATAATTCGAGAAAATCATCTGGCACCGTCGGATTGTCGCCGGGTGTCTCTGTTGCTGGGGAAGCAAGAAAAAATGCCTCCGTCATATTCCGAGGAGCGTGATGTGTTGAACTGAGAGTGTCTAATATTAAATTCCTGAGAGGTGATGTAGTAACAGTCTCGGTCCAGATGATATTGACGGTTTTAATGCAGGAATTACACAAGGGTTCAAGGGGGAAATAGTCATCCACCGGAACCTCTTCGAACTTTTGCAGTTTTTCAATGAGAGCATTCATTATAGAGTTCGTGTATTTTGGCGCCTGTATGTAGTCGGCCATCAGATAACAATCAACGAGTTGATCCCATTCTTCGGAAAGTTGTTCTGCCAGTGGTGGTTGTCGCCTGTGGTTTGGATTAAACTTGTGACGAATGATGCCCGCATTTTTGATATGAGCCGTGTTCAGCCACACCATGAAGATTTCGAATGTCGAACATGACACGTCTGGAAAATTTATGATCATGTCTCCATCATTCCATGGCTGCGAAGATGCAGTCTTGAAGTAGAATGATTGCGCTGCTAGAAGAGCAACTGAAACACTAACAATGCTTGCTCGCTCTGGCAGATTGCTTCCAATCACTATCGTAAAAACTTCACAAAATGCTTTCCTGTTCGGATATTAGTTTGTAAGATCTCTTCGAAACAAATGTTCAGGCCTTACATATTAAGTACAACCTTGGAGGCCATGATTAAATCTGGAAATTTCAAGGTTGTTATATCCTTCTGTTGGTATCAATGAGGTGTCTAATAAATCTTTAGTGCTTGGGAAATGTAAGGTAGAAGTTAGTTTGTGGGACTATTTTCATGTAAAGATTGCAGGAAATAAATGTCGAATTTATTGTAGTTTGAATTTGAGGTGGCTATTGAGTTGAAAGAAAAGTTATCAATATAAGCAGTCAGAAAACAAGCGAATGCGCTAGCTCTTTATGAACCTTGAATCCATATTTCAAACTAAGCAGAAGTTGCAGCTGTATTGAATGAATCTATGTAAGTGGAGTGACAGTGTTACGGTGATGATTTATATAAGAATGTATGTATAATATTGAGTTTTACTCAACATTGATCATTCACCAAACTTTCAATCATAGAGTTAGCATTGGTAGATACAGAGAATGAATCGACTTATTAATCTTATTAGCCTATAATTTGGTACAATATTTGAGGCCTAGATACGGATAGACTCTAGAATGAGCCGAGCCGTACAGTACTGCTGGGGCCCTCTGACTTAATTGACTTTCACCGTCTTATTATAAAAAGCTTTTCTCAGCACCCTCACATACGTATCTAATAAGTCTCGTTGAACACCCTTTGACCATTAATTGCACAATCAGTCATTAAAAGTACGGAAAGTCTGCAGAATGTCGGACTTACGCTATCCTACCGTATCACCGGCAATGGTAGGGGACATCATGAATGAAGTCATAGTTCTATATCTGTGAGTTATCAAATTGCAATATTCAGATTTTCTATCATAAAAGTTGACTAACAGCAGACTCAGTGATGATTTCAATGATCTAGTCAAAGTAATTGTAGGCAAGGATGAAGAGGAATTAAGACCTCAGTTTGCATCCAAAGTCTTGGCGTTGAATTCAAAATATTTCCGCTTAACAATCAAAAATTATTCATTCCTACAGAATGCCATGAGCAAACCTCTTATTATCAATCTCTGCGAACAAAACATCGGAGCATTGGAAGCTTTTTTTGTCTGGAATACAACTGGCGAGATTCTTTCCTCGGAGTCACTTTCTCCTGTCACCGCGGAGCCTGATACAGCTGCAATAACGACAGAGAAGCTTGATAAATACGTCCATTTTTGGGATCGGCTTTTGGAATGTTACTTCTTGGCAGATTTCCTGGGTGCTCCGGCCTTTGCTAATGCCACCATAGATGCATTACTCGAAGCCATCGATAATGAGACAAAAGATCGAGAAAAACTGGAACCAAAGTTTAAAGTCTCCGCGCCCCATTTGGAAGTCGAAAATCTCGAAGATAATCAGAATCATTTCGATGGTGACGAAGATGAAAATGATGATGAGGAAGATCGATGGGAAGCAGGTGAACATCGAGACCCCTTTGACAAGAATCTGCCTCGACAAGAGACTAGACAGATGCTTGGTACTTTGCCTTACCAAATCCGACGAATTTACTCCATGACTACAGCAGATTCGCTTCTTCGGAAGATGCTTGTAGATAAAATCATGAAACAGAGCACGGATAATCATCCCTACTACGAAAATCTGGACGGCTTGCTCAGGGAGGGTATTCCAGTAGAATTTCATCAAGATTTGATGAATGAAATGATGCGGAGCTTCACTATAGTCCATCAACTTAGCCAAGGCACCTACACTACACGTTTAAGCGCAGATTCTCGAGCTGCACGAAGGTGCTATTACCACATTCATAGAGTCGGGGAGAGGTGCCCCGAATCCGATTCTGGATGGTGAAACCATCAGATGCAGAGGTAAAGATACTTGATTGGAATAGATTCTGTACAAGGATTTGGGGGCCTGATTAGTTTCAAATTAAAATATGCAAGCTTTTGAACTTTCACAAAACTTGAGGACTTTATAGGCTTCACAGTATCGTCATATAGAACTCAAGGTTGATCCATTCAATAAAACAATATTCATCGTATGAAAATTACACCGTCTACAAAAGTTATGACCAACCGGTAGTTTAGTGATATCGGGACATCGATCATGTGATCAAAGAGGGCACTGTATTAGCTAGCGTCGCGCTAGCTCTACCCTATATTAAGTACTAGCTTCCCATAGATAATAATGATCAAGAACAATACAACCAACATAGAACTAAGTACTTACACTTTTCAACCAAGTTGATACCAACAAGTGATAACTAGAACAATCAGATTCCTTGACTTTCTGACAGTGTAATTATTACGACTGGTGAGCAATGCTTCAAAGCTAACATGAAGAACTTTTGATCTTAATAAATAAATCCACCTAGACGGAAACAACAGATGAATATAACTAAGGAAGAAGATTGAAGATAGCTACTACTCCATAGTATGTTACTATTTACTAGTTTTGAAGCGTCAATTATCAAATAGAAGTCAATTTTGCGGAGAAGAGCCAATTGTAGAAGGTATGATCAATGAACGTGAAATTCTATCAGAATAATACAAATTACTCCTTGATGTAATATAAACATGAACAGATGGAATGGAAAGTAAGTTTCATAGTTTGTTTCTTGTTGTTATCAGCATGAATTTTCGCGGTAGAACTAGATTCTCATGGATCTTAGATCTTTGATCACTCCCACTTCAGCTAGCTTGACTATTATTCGAGAGCCAGCCACGTTGATTAATAATGGCAATCAATGAAAGATCTGCATTATCGGTATTAGAGTAGTAGATTGACAGGAGGTGGGACTGCTCACTGTAGACTATTTCTACTGAGCTTATATGCTAGAAACTTCAGTTGTAACATCATCTGACTGTCTATGGCAAATTTGATATAGAGCAAGCATGGAACAAAGAGAAAGATGACTTATTGCTATACAAACATCATATGTATACAGTCACAATTCATGTTTCTGCTGCGCTGATGACACATAATAAATAAATGGGCACAAGAGATGACTGTGTCAATTGTAAAGTAAGACTATACTATGTACCGACCTTCAAGCAAAAACCGGTGAAAGAATCTCTAAGTCTGTTTACCTCTTCAAACGCATGTCCAACTGAGCGTATCATATTCTGTAAGTAGTATTATCAATTCATCAATCTCAAAGATCAGAAATTTACAAACAAAGACACAGGCAATTATTCAACAGCTCCCTAATTCAATGCAGCTAAAGCTAGTCTCAAGCTTGGTCCTGATAGTATGGGAGTGTAAGCGTGGAGTCTAGATAAAAATCCATTCCTGACATTAGACCATATGGCGAGTCTCAGGCTCTAGGGTTCTCATTAGCGCAATTGAAACGATGAAGGATCTCGAGCAAGCAAAAGTTCAAGAATCTAGTAAGTAAATCTGGGTTGAAGAGTGGGCTGTTTTTCCAGTGCTAACTGACACGTTTCGAACATACACCCGCCTGAACAGCAAAAACGGTCGCTCGAATCTTCCAAAATTTAGCTGTACTGTGATAGAATCCATGGTTTCATTGGCTTTCTCTCCCACCGTAGCTCTGAGAATATCTATTTAGGCTTCCAGATTATCTATTGGATTCCATTTCCTTCAGAACTATCTTAATTCAGAGAAAGCCACAGATCTCAAGGATTTCTTACTCATATTCTCAGCTCAAGAACGATATTTCTAACGAAGTTCTTGTACTTCTCCAGCGGTTCATCAAAGCATAAATCTCAGTTCTCATCTATCATAAAAATGGCCGCCAATGGACTGGGGACAAATCTAGTTCCGGATCACAATCTTGGTATCATATCTTGGCCTCAACCTGACAACGCAATGTCGCAGCTTGACGCAGTAATTGCAGACACAGACGACGCGATTCTGGCTGGAATGAGTGAGAGACTAGAAGATTATATTCGAACATCTGGATATCGTGGTCTTTCTCGTGAGAACATACTTAAAATATCCAGGATACTAGCTGCAACATATCAAGCACCTGACAAGCCAAAAACTACCAATAGCGTCCTAGCACCTCTCAGCGGAGGCTATGACATGTAAGTTATTCAAAATTATAGAAGAAATGATGAGTTTCTAATAACTGGTGTAGCGATGATCAGAAAAACTTTAACAAGACCGTTTTCATTAACGTAGGAACTGGGAAACAACGAGGCCAATTCACAGCAATGGCTGGATTATTGGCCACGCAAGCTAAATTCTTCAAACCTCTGTGTTCTGATATATGGAAATGTGGTCGTGAAGGTGTCATCTCACTCGAAGACTACCAACCTGAAAGTTTCGAAATATTCCTTGCATGGCTCTACACTAAGGATATTAGAAATGCTAAATGCCTGGGGAAAAATATCGCTCGTAGCAATACTCACTTTCGAATACAAGCCCATAAGTATAAATGGTTCCAGTTACTTCGTTGCTACTTTCTTGCCGATTATATTGGAGCACCGAAATTTGCCAATTATATGATGGATGCATTAACCTTGGCTTATAGAGAATGGGTGCGCGGTGGATTTGTCAAGTCGGCGAAAGACCCTCTTTTCAACAAGACAGAGGAGACTCAAAAGCTGGTGGATAGCAACACAGTCGAATCATCACCGCTACGAGCTCTGATCAAGGATATACTCTTTCCCTCTGTTGAAGAGAGACAAAATCCCGTTCCCGTTACCATTTACCGACATCCGAGAGCACCTCCTTCTTTCCGTAGAGCCAGACGTGGACCTCATAATCTCTTAGTTCCTGATCCTTTACTTCCGCCGCATGGCCAAAATATTTAATTTCTAAATGATGGAACGGCTCCGCACCCAGTTTTTCAGCCTGGTCATCCACTGTTTCCTTCTGATTTTCCGCCAACTACTCCGAATGTACGTCCCCCACCACCAACTAACCACCATATGCACAACGCTGCGCCTTCACTCTCCACTGGAATTGGACCTACCCCATACATTCACCCTCATGGACCGCCAACCCATCCTCACAACAACCCAACATACCATCCGATCCCTCAAGGAAGTCCATTTCACGCTGACATTCATCGCTTTCCTGTCTCTCACTGCCCACATTTTGCACATCCTATTCCCGATAATCCCTTCGCCAATCAATACAATATCCGAAACCAACATCCTTTTTTATCTCCAATGCCACTCCCACCTGGACCTACACTACGCTCTCGTTTTCTCAAAGCAATAAATTTCGGCAGAGAAGGAGAAAAAGTCGATCCGGAAAGCGCTGCTTCTGAGTTCAAGAAATGGGAAAAGGCTTCGATGGTTTGGGAACATGAGAGATGCAGATATCATATCCATGCTAAAGGAGAGGATTGTCGGAATGAAGAGTAAAGGGCTAGACTTCTAGATAAACTCTGGCGAGAACATGATATGGCGGGGCGAGACATTCGGGAATGATTTAGGGAGCCTAATCTAGTAATATTAGGATAGGCAGAGATACATCGAAGAGCATAGGGAGCGTCTTCGTTATGTAGCTATCGCATTTTCTATGCTAGATGATACCATAATATAAGCATTCTATTGATATGTTTTATATAGCAAGTGAGACCGCTCCAAGAAACACAACAAAGAACTTAATGGTGTCCCAAATCCTTATACTAGTTCATATTGATCACGGAAATTTTATATTCTATCCCGAGTCATATACAAGTGAATTCTATAATTTGTCCCTAGATAATGAGTAATAAGTTACTTGAATGTGATTAGTAGCATTCAAATTAGCTTTCTCATTTCGATGTTTTGTTTATGAACTTTGAAGGTTCTTTCTAACATATTCCTGGGGACACAAAACCACGTATTTATAGGAGTATATACTTGCGGACTTGTTTTATAACCTGGATGAACTCTTTCGTCTAATCACAAGAGCAAAGAACCACATTTAATATGGGGTAAAAGTATCGGAAGTTTCTGATAAAAAATCTATCTGCTTTAACATAAGTTTGCTTTCGCGTTTCACGCTTGTAAATAAACTTTCTCGATACATTCTCATCTTTTCTATTTCAGAAATTCATAATTCTTGCCTAGTCACTTCTCACAGCTTTATGCAATGAAGTCATTGTGATAAAATATTCTTGACTGCGCTAAAGTTGCACTTATTAAATTCATGAAAAAGCAAATATCACGATTACCAAAATTTAGGTGTCAAGAACCAAGAGATTCCCCAAAATTTGAAGAGAGTCTCGTACATTGATATCGAGGTTACTATGAATTATGTAGCGGTCTTCGTGCTGAAGAGTGTTCATTGTATGTGTATTAGATTTAGCTAGATGGATCCAGATTCTGCATAATTCTATCACTAATGCTTCTATAGACTCTATTTGAATGGATAAAATTCTTCAGCTGCAGGTACTATAACGATTGAAACGGGGAATTGGTTCCCTTTTCTGAATTAAGAGTTTCAAGGTATTAAGAAGATAAATCTTGACGCTTCAACAGTCTTTCCCTTTGTTCTAGCTGCTGCAAAAATCCTTTGGGCAAGCACCAATGACGATTTTCTGTTTCACAATCAAATATTAAAGCCAAGAGTTTCGAACAAGTGTTCTGGAAGAGAAAGATGTTTTGAAATATCTAGTGAGTTTTTATTGAGTAATGAAGACGATACGGACTGTGTCTATCTCACCGATCCTCACATTCATTCAATCTCTCAAGTAATCGCAACCATCGCACTATCATACCGTCCTCCAAAACGATCCCAACCTCTTCAACCCATCGGATATCCCACTGCTGAAGAAATCGTCACATCCCCACCTCCCTCCGCATTCTTCCTTTCTCTCGCACTCTGCACCTGACAGTTCATCTCCTCGACACGATCCTTATGCTCATGATGTAAACATGCCTTAGTACTCTCTCTCCATCCTCTATCTCTAGCCTCTTTTCCCAGTTTTGCATAAGCACCCAATAAATCAATCATGAATTCCATCGGGACCGAAAGAACCCCCTGCGTACTGGTCTCCGCGCCGGTGATTAAAGTGCTAAAGCTGGCAGGTTGAGCATAGTATTTGGGGTAGCGGACAGAATAGTTGATGATCATCTGAACGAGCATTTTTCGCAGTTGCGAACCGGGGTTTGTGGATGCATACAGATGGGAGATTTGCGTAGGCGATCCACCGAGAATTGTTCTCGCATCCGGAGGGAGGAGTTTGGTCTTTCGATTCGGAGTGTTGTTTTGCTCTACTATTTGCGGGGTGGTGGAAGATTGTATTTGGTTGAATATGTTATCGTTTCCTTCGGTTGTGAGTTCGGATAGGCGATCGATTAATGCGTCATATTCTGCGGTTCCAGGAGTCGCGAGAATGTTCTCATCTTCCTCGTCTTTTAGTTGTCTTCGATGGGTTTGCCATCCACATTCTTCTCTCAGAGCGCAGATCATTGTGTCGATAATTTTATTGGCAAATTTGGGCGCGATCAGGGATTGAGAGAGCTTGTAGCATTCTATCATCTGATCCCAAAGCTTACTGTACTGCCGAATGCGCTCGCAAATATTAACACTGGTGATCCCAACAAATTTTGTTGAAGATTTTAATTCGTTGGTTGTATTCCATGATATGAAAATGGAAAAAGCGTCGATTTCGGCCGGTGTGGTGCATGGAAATGGAATGTTATTCGTGCGTTGGTGTTCCAGACGGAGAGCACGAATGTAAGAAGGTGTGGTATCTGGTACTGTAGGTATTTCTGGCATGAATATGCTGCGGAAAAATAGTGAGTTCATACAGAAAACTGCAAGGGGCCAGGTGACACGGATGGGACTGGAGGGAGGTCCAATGGTAACGCTGGTTAGATCATTGTAATCAATTCTAGAGTTCGTTAGTTTAAGTTGAGCTGATAAGCTTAGAGTAACTTACTTTGAAGAGTCTATGGGATCAGACCGAGTGTTTTGGGCAATCCATGGTGTGTTGGTGATTGTGTAAAGTCCCGATACTAACTCTGTTGTTTCTGAATGGATGAAGGAAGCATAGGATTCCTCTAATTCGGGCATTTTGACCAAGTTACTCAATCAAGTATTTGGCTTAATTTTGTGTGATGAATTTCTCTTGTTGTTATGGTCTATTGGCGAGAGATTAAAATCAATATCTTTGATCTTGGATTCTATGATGCTGTGGGAGTGTGTTGAAAATTGTATGATTAAAGAGGATCTGAACAACATGGGTGGTCTCTTCATTCTTATATATTTGACCATGTTACATTGATACGGTTTCTGTGGAAAATAAAATAAAGATATGGCTAGTGCTCTTGGACTAATGAGATTAATAGCCATCTCGCTGCTTGACATGTACAAGAGCTGCAACTATTATCTTAGCGGTATATATGTCTAAGATCTATACGGTCAAGGTAAACAAAAACAGTACATGTTCTTGGACTGGGATACCGTGGCTTATTCGAGTTTTCTTCCTAATCTGAAGGTTACTGATAGGACATTCTTACACCTATCCAGATATCCTATCAGTCCTTTTAGGTTTCGAGAATGATCTTGAACAAACTTTCCAATGTCACTTACTTGATGTCTGGACCCGTTCGACTCGGCTAGATCCTTCTTTATTGTTCAGCCTTCCTCGACGTCTTCGTCTTCTTTTCCTCGTTTCCTCACGTGTTCTTTCATCTGAATTCAACAATAAATAGTACTTATCCGCAATGTAAGTCTTAGTATATAGATTGTGACTAGATATTATCCAGTGGTCTTCGATTGCCTGATATCATCATACTTCGAAGGCCAACTATATCTTTGGGAACGCTCTTCAAAGTAAGGGCAAATTGTATATACAAAATTGCAGATTCACTCATTTGACCGTATAATTCTCATTGGTGTACAGTGAGTTCTTCACTCACTTCTCTGGACACTAAATTCCATTTTTTTTAGTCTAGCCAGCATTAGGAGAGGTCATCCGGTAAAGAAGACAATGTTTTCGGTATTTTGATTCACCTCGTTGCCTGCCGAAAATCGCGTAAATGACTTTGCCTTGAATTACTCAACTTCTTACACACAAACTATTCTCTGGAGTCATGAAATTTCTATATCTTCCCACACACATCAAAACCGCTCAACTCAACTAAACCTCTTCGTTCCCAAAATCCTAAGTTTCCAACTCCCGGTACAAATTCCCAGATTCCCAACCGCGATTCGCCTAAAGATCCTCTCACAAACAAACCTTCGCATACGCTCGCCCCGCACAATTCAATTTGATTCATTTTCACGCCACTTCAGATATTGACTTAAAAGATCCCATCATCCTAGGCTACCACTCCTTATTTGTCTTGCTTTTTTGTTATGGTATTTTTCATTTAACGAAACTTACAAAATCTTTTGCGAATCAAAAGCGCATCATTTCTACATTTTTTACATTTGTTGGCTTTGCGATTAAATTTTCATTCGATCTACATACTGTCAATTTGAATTTGAGTAATTTAACATAGAGCGCTCAATAAAATCTTAAGCCGTCGAACTGTCCTTCATAAATCCAAGAATCATCATCGCTGCCGCCGTCACCATCGCCATCAACCACACACGCGCAAATTTCCTCCCGACTCCTCACACCCACACCCACACCCAGATTGACAATCATCTCACCTCTCCCAAACAAAAAAGCAACAAAATGCCCTGCTATACACCCTCCCACAACGTCGTCCACCCCGAAATCTTCATCGACTTCGAATCCCACTATCGCGAACTCTACGAACTCGTTCTCCACTACCGCAATGTCCTTGGTAACGACTCGATCTTGGGTATTCTGCGCTCTGCTCTCGACGATGTCGATACGCGGATCGAAGATGCATTGCGCTTGAAAACTTTGGTTGTGCGATGTCATTTTTATGGGAGACCGAGACTTCGTGGGTGTGTTTGACTTTTCTTTTTGTAGGGCATGGGGTTATGTGATAGATGGGGTAGAATGATTACTAATGAATCTTTGATAATAGAATGTATAAGCAATTAATTCGAACGTTGAGAGCTATACACGCGGATTTATTGGAGTGCATGTATATTTATGATGGGAATTGAAGTTGAAGTTGAAGTTGAAGTTGAAACGAAGGGGAAACTGGAGGCTGTAGGATGGGAGTTAAGGCTTGGAGAGTTGTTATTTTGGGGTTTGGGATCTTGGAATAATGGGTTATCGAAAATGGGAGTATGGATGAATATAAACTGGGTTATGAGCGTCTGCGATGGAATGATTTCTATGAGAGGGAAGGGCCTTTGTGGATAAACCTTGGGTGTATTATATGAAAGATTGGCTGGTCCATCTACTGATATGAAAGAAAAGTACCATTTCAAACTCTCCTCATTTTTTGATTGTGTGAATGATAGACATTGAAGTTTTTTGTATATTTTGTCAATTTTCATCTCTCATTAGTCTGTCTCTTCGAAGCGAAAATGTTCTCTTGATCAAGTCTCCTCCAAATCTATTGGTCGACACCCGAACTCCTTTTCACTCATACATCAAAAACAAAACCAACATTATTTCTCAACATTTAATGCACATAAACGATGACCTGAATCCAAACTTCAACTTTATAGAATTTTAACTCCCCTCTTTTTTTCATAATTTCACTATCATCTGCACACCAACTACACAAGACCAAAGAGGATTTCAATTCATCAAACCACACCGATTTCTTTCTGGCTATCTGTGCATTCATCAATCCAAAAAACCCAAATCCATCACCAACCTCTCCACCCTCACCACCTAGGCTAGACATGATGTCTTTACAGCATCTCATTCCGCACACTTAATTGACAAAAAGAATTTAATACAGAATTCGAAGTCATTTTCAACCCAAGCTAATCAATCTATCTATCTCCCACATACCACTGACACATCAATCTCCATACAACTTCCTGCACCCGCTTCTCTATTTCATGAACCAACAACGACAGGAACAAGCAAAGAGGAAAAGTCTCAAAATACCACATCTATATCTATCTTCATCCATACTCATCAAGTCCCACTACATTCTATCTGAACTATATGATTCAATTCCTGGAATTATATTACCGATAAAATTATGGATGACGTAGCCATCACATTCGATTCATGGGGGCAAGCCCCCAAACCCCCATAGCTCGCTGCGCTCGAAGATTTAGTTTTTTAGGCTCATTCAAAATTTGGATATGCTCATCCAAACGCAGCACAAATATAATTCTTATATTTCTACATCCATTTCCTATCTCTGTGTCTATTTCTCTAATCCTAGCTCGCGAAAGAATCACTCTCTAATCAGCATTCTCAATCTTTAATAGATTCGTTTCTCCTGAACATCATATCACGTATATGTTATGTTAGAACCTAATGATTCCACCTCATTTCGTAGCTCTGGATAAGTCGCACACCCCACTTTTGGGCCATCCCTCTTTTGGGCCACCTTATAAATCTCATTGTTTTAATCAATTATCTCTTTTTAATCTTCAATAATTCAATAACCATTTAATCAATTGATTTTAGATTTTAGTATATTATTTATTATTTTATAGGAGATAATTATATTGAAAATAATATTGTTATAGTATTTAGTATAATAATAAGAGGTATAGCTATTCATAAAACTAATTTAGAATATAGAGTATTTTATATTATTTTTTAGAATTATATAAAAGGTTATCTCTTTTATCAAAAAGGTACTAAAAATATGCAAAAGATAATTTTAAATTAGAAAAAAGTATTAGTAGAATAGATATTAATTTAAGAAATCTCAGATATTAATTTTATATATTAATAAATACAAGAAATTAATAAAAGTTTTCTTGAAATAAAAGGAAATGAATCTATACTTGGAAAATAATGAATATTCAACTTTTTGTATAGAAACCCTGAGATTCAAATTAAAAGATAATTTAGAATTGATAATCAATATATTTCAAATACTATTACTGAAATTATAAGTAAGTTTTTCAAAAAGTTGAATTTACTAGCTATTATGTATATTAAGTCAAAAAACAAATGGAATATAGATAAAATTGATATTATAAAAGATTAAAGTTTAAATGGTATAATACTTAAAAATGCTAAATAATATTTTATTTAAAAAAAGTAATTGAATATAAAAAGCTAGATTTTTTTTTATTGAGTATATTTTAGTTATAGAAAAAGTATTTTTATCTTTTATTATATATAAAAATAAAAATATTTAATAATAATAATTCCCTATAGAACTTGATAATTATAAGGATTAGAAATTTTATACTATAGAAAATGGGTGGATTACTAATAAAATAGATTTAGTATAATTAAAAGAGATCTTTATTCTTTAAATAGTTTCTTTTAATTCAAAAAAGATTAGATTGTTTGTTTTAAATAGATATATAAGTTATAAAACTATTCAATTTATATTTGAATATTTCAAAAACAATATACATTTTTTATTTCTATTATCATATATATTGTATATATTATAACCTCTCGATTTATCAATTTTCTCTCCCTTAAAAAATGAATATCGATATAAGCTTAATAAATTAAATTTATTATCAAATTCTACACCTATTAATAAAAAGAATTTTCTTATATACTATTATAAAGCAAAACTAATTAATTTAATACCAAATAATATCATTTTAGAATAAAAAGCTTCAGGTTTATAGCCTCTAAACCACACTAAACCTATTATATCAAGATTATTACTTGAAAATAGTAATAAGAAGATTATAAATATGAATCCAGCCTTAAATAATAATTTAATACTTCAATAAAATATAACTTCATCTTTTATTCAATAAGAAATATTTTAAAAAGCAAGTAATATATATAAATATACTTTAATAATAAAATCTAAAAAGGAAATAGATTTTTATACTCATCAATTACTATTTCGAAAAATTCAGAAGACTTTTGATATTAAAAACTATAAAATTATAAATTCTAAATATCAAATAAAAGAATTGGAATATAAATTAGAAAATGTTATATCTAAAAAAAAAAGAAAGGTTTCTATTAGTTCAAATTCGAAGTTTTCAGGGATTAATGCTATATATTAAATTTAAATTAAAGCTAATAATTGTGAAATTGATATAAAGGATTCTAATAATATATATAGAACTAATGCTATAGAAGATTATATTAAGATTAAATAGTTATTGAATTATTAAAGTTTGAAAGTTGTATATAGATATTTTATAAGGTGGCCCAAAAGGGGGGTGGCTCAAAAGTGGGGTGTGCGACTTATATCTACCCAGGTACCCCCAATATACTTACTTACTCCCCTCCCTATCTATCTGCCTACTTACCTACCCACTCTATCAACCTAATCTACATATCAGAATTCATACCAAAATCTCCTTTAATCTCAACCTCTCAATCTCCTAATATCATAGCATCTAAAGATTCTCGATATGTTTAGTATTTAATATATATTCATTTATTCATTTATTCATTTATCTATCCACATCCAATTTTATCTTCCCTCTATCTATTTACTCACATCTTCTTTCATCATCCCTCCATACCTCCATTTACCCGCTCATCCATTTCTCCTTTATCCCTCTATCCACTCAACCCAACCCAAACCCGATCAGATTCATTTATACCCCCCTAAACCCTTCATCGTCTCTTTCTCCCTTCACCCGCCCCTTCACCTCTCCCCCCCTCGGTAAAAATGAATCTTTCAAACCTCCAAAATTCATCTTTAAATCCTGCTTACCTAAGTACCTAGATACCTAGGTATCTAGTAGATTTAGAATTATACTACCTCTCAATACTAGCTTCATATACCTAGATACTTATACCTATACCTAAATACATCACATACATGCAGTGTTACAATATCCCTATCTATGCCTATTCATCCCTATTTATCCATCTCCTTATCTTTATCTTTATCTTGTGCGACACACCATCCACATCCCCCCATGTGATACATCAAAGCCAGTTCTTCCAATTCTTCCAATTCTTCCAAATTCCTCATACCATACTTCCAAGCCATACATCCAAGTCCCGCAGCCTCCAAGTCCTACAGTCCTGCATCCCAAAGCCCAAAGCCTAACGCCCAGATCCCAAAGCTCGATGGTCACGCCGCCATGTCACCATGCCGTCATACCGCCACGACCTGTTGTATCACCACACCCATATCACAAATCCGTATCACCATACCCGTTTCTCAACACCCATTTCTCAACACCAACACCAGCACGCACTAACCCTTTCATACTGTGTCACATATAAACTATGTCACATACACACATACTCAAAGCCATCAAACCAAATCACACTCTCAAAGATCACCTGTATCCATAATCACCTGCATCCAAAACAATCTATATCTAAATAAAACCAAATTGTGTACACACAAATCTACCAACACAAACCCACCAAACCAAACCATCAAATCAAACGATGCCATCATCAATCAATCAATCAATCAACCAATTAAATGAATCCATCCCAGACCTCACTCACCCACCCACCTATTCTTTCCCTCCCTTCCTCCCTCCTCACCTACTATACCATACAATCCCCATCTACTGCCCATCCTACCCATTCAACCCTCATTTTTCATATTCATTTTCATATTCATATTCATATTCATATTCATATCCATATTCATATCCATCCTTCCCACTTCCCCATTCCCATCGCCATCACCATCACCACCACCATCACCATCGCGAGCACAATATCATATGAACATGGGAAAAAAGAAGAAAGAATAATTTCACAAAAACTTTATATTCATGACTAACTAGCCTAGTCTAATCTGCCTCATCTCATCTATTCAAATCTATTACCCAGAAGTGAGTGAGTGAGTGAGTGATAGAAAAGAATGAAACAAAGCAAGCTCTAGACTCTACCTCGCCGTGTGTATCATCTATGTCTGCTCTTATACTATTGCCGTATATCCTCCACTGAACCATCGTGTATGTATCGATGTATCTCTATTCCACCCATCATCATTATCGTCATCAACTCTCTCTAATCAAGTCGGTGCATCTATCCCAACTCTACTTGATCTAGAATCATCATCTCAAGCCAACCACTCCGCTGCACTCTCCAAACACTCTCCAATAATTCCAATCCATTTCTCCGCATTCTCATAATCCTCCGAATCAATACTTTCTACCAAACCTGGGAAAACTGCACCTGCATAACCAGTCCACAATCCTGGTGCAAATACAACGTGTTTGAACCATGATCTACCATCTAAACCTTCTTGATATAAGAATTTCCTCTCGAGATACTTGTATTTTTCATTGACAGTTCGAATCTGGTTGTAAAGTTTGACCTTGGATACTATTTTCCACCATGGAATATCTTGACCTACTTGTTCAGCAAGAATGGCGGCAGTAGAATCATGACGAATCGCAGCATCTTTTAATGCGGTAGCACGATTATGAAGACCTTTGAAGGAAAGTTTAAGGGTGTTGATGTCACCCTTGGTTTCGATACTGGTAGGACGGAAACGAGCTTCTTCATCTTGCTCTTCAGTAGAAGACCCAATCATGATTGAGTCCAATTTGGCTTCGGTTTTGCTGATATACCCTTGTAATGCATTGGCGTAATCAGTGGCATTAAAGGAAATGACCGGTGATTCAACCATCTTGGCCGTGTAAAGAGCCCAGATCTTGGACATAGCTTCATGGTAATGGAATCCTGGATCTCCATAGGTATCCATCCAATAGAATGAATCATAATTAGAATGATAATGAAAGACAGCCTTTTCACCACCTTCATGATTAACATCTGGTCCAAATCCAAGATCAATCGATGGAATACCAGCATAATCTTGAAAAGCGGTAAAATCACTACCACTTCCCATAGTACTAATGAGTCCATTCCAAAGGTCGCCGACAGTTTGTCCTGGAATTGTTTGATTTGGTGATTGAACTAAGCTTAAGACTTCACCCAAAGCTTTATTGTGAAGAGGACTTGCCGATGCCGAGAATTTAGGCCCACTAGTACCAACATCACAATTGATATAGGCAACATTAGCATTGTTGAGCCAAGGTAGATATTCTTCAACCCACTCTGTTGAACCAACCAAACCATATTCTTCACCATCCCAACTGGCAAATACAATGGTACGTAATGGTTTCCATCCTTTCGAAACAGCAACACCAAAACTTCGAACAACTTCATTGAGAGCTGCAGAACCACTATTTGGATCACCGGCACCACCAACAATCCATGCATCATGATGATTTCCGATGACAATAACTTCATCCGACAAGGTTCCATTGATAACACCAATCAAGTTCCAGATAGGCGTTGTGACGTATTCGACATCATTGACAAGGTTGAGAACGAGATTATCTGGCGAGGGACCAATGTTGTATTCTACACCTTTGTATGCCAAGCCAAGATTTCGATCCCACCATTTATTTAAATCTTTTGGTGCAGGTCCGATACCGTTTAGAGACTTGAGAATGGGCAAAGCATCGACGTAAGAAATTGGAAGAGAAGGAATTGAAGGAATTTTGCCATCGACAGGTTGACGTGGCACTCCAGGTTTCGATGGATATCCAATTGTGGTTCTATAGATAATTAGTACTTTGCTACATATTTTTGAAAAGATGATGACTTACGGATCTCCAGGTGCGACGCTAAGGAATTGAGCACTTCCTCTTTGAACACTACTTGGGTTTCTGGCTGGCCCATCTGGGTACGCAATAGCTCCATTTTCCTCGGTATTTGATCCATCATCACCAGGATCGCTGAAAAGAATAGTTCCAACCATTCCCAGTTCTTGTGCACGTTTGATCTTGAGTCCACGGAAGATACCACCATATCTTGCAATAGCAATTTTGCCTTCCAGACTAACGTTGAGTCGTACTAGATCTTCGAAATCTCCGTATGTACCATAATTGACGTAGACGTATGGTGCGGTAACATTTCCGTATGCAGAGTATCCATGGAAAGTTGGGATTCTGGTGTCCAAACCAGTAGTTTCGTCCTCTTCAAGAATATCTTCTTCCAAGCTAGCTTCAAATTTAATCTTCAATTCTTCGACCTTGGAATCCTTGCCCTTTGTCTTTTCGTACAAGGCAAGTCGATGACCACGAGGATAATTGAGATAAACATCATATGCGACGACTTCCGATTCAATGCCAAATTCCTGCCATCTTTCTTGAGTCCAAGTAACCTGACTTAAATTTGTTCCAGCTACATGTGGACCGGATGTATAATATTTACTCCATTCTCTTGCCTTTTCAGCCTTTGGCGTATCGAGCAATATTTGTTGAAGCTCTTCGTAAGTGATGGCAGACGATTCTCCGTGATGTTTATCGTGGTGCCAATGTTTGTCGTGTCGAGGGATAAAAGACAGAGGGAGGAGGAAGAGGACGACGGCGACAATTAAACAACAAGTTGCTGCGATGGTAAAGAATCGACGAATGGTATTATGTTGATATCTCTGTCGAGGCTGGCCAACAATGACCGTGGCGATTAATGGAGTACGTTCATTATTCTCCATTTTCTTTTCATCTAGGATTCTACCCATGATGAAGGTTAGTGAGAGGTGAGAGTGGTAGTGATAGTGTAGAGAGAGAAGAAAGAAATCATCAATCAAAACATTTCCCAGATGAAGAGGCGGTTCTGACGAGAATGCAAGTACCTATTGCGCTATTTGAAAGAGTCCACCAAGCTCTCGGGCAATTATATCATCCACGGAGCAAGTTATGCAGAGAGAGCGGGAGGGAGGGTTGTATGCAGGAGCTAGTACTTAGATGGAATTCACTTCCCACAGGCTAAAGAAGAGCCCTGGAGCTTCCTGATATGTGACGATGATAATTGCTTGGACTGGAGTAGGAACTGATAAGACATCAAAAGCGGAGAAACGTACCTCCGAAGATCAACCTATCAGACGGTATCAGAGGGGAAGAGAAGAATGATATAATTCATAACTCCCGGGTCCATATAATAATCCAAGAGTGGGATTAGAGATTGATTGTTTGGAGTGAAGTTGTACATGAATCTTCATACTTCTCTTTCCAATAACGATGAAGAGATGAGTAAGAAATGATACTGACATAATAAAGAGATATGATTACTTAATACACTTTCATTTCATGATTTCAAGTGATGTAAAAACATAACAATCACATATATACATATATTTACATGGGTCAGAAGTCTGATTCAAGTGATGGACGCCATATGGCGTTAATAAGGCTGACCAACCAATGATATCGAAATACTTAGGTAGGTGTGCTTCCTGCAGACAGTAACACAATCTATCATCCCCAACCACATGTGGGACAAATACCGGTAACGATGATTGAGGCAAAAAGAAAAAGAAATGTGAAGCACGTGACTGAACCGATAATCGGCGTAGAAATCCTGGAACTTTTTCCTCTCCAATCAAATGAATCAATCCTTCATCATTTGCTCAACTGACCAATAAAACCTCTACATTTTCTCCATTTCAATCTATTGGTCTGCATTGGGATAATTACCCATGGTAAATCGTATTAAAGCCGTATTAAATCCATAAAAAGACGGGGATTTAGTCCTCACACCAATCTCAGATCGGACAAGCGGCATCACGAGGAACTGCAGCATTGATATATATCATTTGCCCCACTCACTCACCCACCCACCCATCTCTTCTACCTGATTTGACTCTTTTTTTCTTTGCTCAAAGCATGACTTCTCTTACAAATCATCACTTGATTTATTATGTACCTTCAGCTGGCTCTTGCTGCTCTCTTCTTATATTCTCAACATCATGTATTGAACTTGTCGTCGTTTTCTTAGCTATCTACACTCTTCCACACTCTTGCACAGTTTGAAACCAATATCACGCATCCAAGATCATTCCACGATCTTGTGTTTTCTATGCTTCCGGCGGAAAAAAGACCCTAGATCCGAGGAGGCTGAGAAAGTTATCTTACCGCCATCAATATGGTCAAGAGAAAGAGTACTGGTCCGGCAAAATTGCCCGTGGCCCAACTTACAATTCTGGGTGAGTTTCCAATTTGTCTCGTTGTGTTTACATATGTCCAGCAGATCTTCAACCGTTGATAGTTTCTTCGTTGTAATGATGAAAATCATGGTCATGGTTTATCTCGGGAGGCCGGTTAATGCAAATGCAATATACCCCGCCATACAATGTAACATTGTCACCCAAAAGTTCCTCTCTTTTCGAAGATCATGCATACATATCCTCTACCTAGTTACATCCTTCTTGAGAAGAGTCAATTGAATATCTTTCTCTGCATGGTCACTATTTCTCCTCCCTGCGAATGTGATTGGAATAGAATTTGAGGATGTGATGGAAATTTCTTGCGACTGTGATTCTTCAGACCAAGCTCAGTCAGATGTACATTCCGTCTATACAACTACCATCATAGTGTAGACCGTTCAGTCGACAGTTCAATAGACGATTCTCGATTCAAAAATCCATTTATAGGTCAAATCCTCATACTAATTTGATTAGCCATATGTAGATTCGCAGAACCAGTCGCCTTGACTTCAGTCTTTCCATATCTAGTGAGTTTCGAGGAAATCCATCAAAGAAATCATGTGACTAACCTCATGACTAGCCTGAAATGATTGAAAGTTTTGGAGTTGAACAAAAAGATGTAGCAAAATGGGCAGGTATAGCATCTGCTGTTTTCTCATTAGCTCAGTGCATGACGGCTATCATGTGGGGAAGGGCTTCGGATACATTTGGTCGTAAACCTACAATCTTGGTTGGATTAACATGTACCATGATATTAAATATCATATGGGGCATGTCAGTAACTTTACCTATGGCTATCATTGCTAGAGCACTTCAAGGAGCTTTTAATGGAAATGGTTTGTCCTTCCGCTCGACTTAGAATTCGCATGAGCTAATAACAAATAGTGGGAATTATCCGAACAATGGTAGCAGAAATGGTCCCTGAAAAAGAGTTACAGCCAAGAGCATTTTCCATCATGCCATTAGTATGGAGTCTTGGTTCTATATTTGGTCCATCTTTTGGAGGATTCTTTGCTAGACCAGCTCAAAATTTTCCAGGTCTTTTCGGGAATAATAGATTTTTCCTCAATTTTCCTTTTGCATTACCAAATATCATCGCAAGTTTCCTATTCATGATTGGAATCACGACTGGATTTTTTTTCCTTAGGGTATGTTTCAACAATCAATTCCTCACATTCCCACTGACGAATGCTAGGAAACTCTAGAATCCAAACGTAATAAGAAAGACTGGGGGGTAGAAGTAGGAAAGAAATTAGTTACTTCTTCTAAAGTTCTCTGTTGTAAACCTCGACCAAGACACCACACTCCTGGACATCCAGCCTATGATGAATCATCAGCATCACTTCTCAGGCCTACTTCTTCTGGGTCAGATACCGCTGAATCTTTTGGTGATAACTTTGAATCTTCCAAATCGAAAGCTCCAATTACCCGCCCAAGTCTTCGAGAGGTATTCACACGTCAATCAGTCATTAATCTCATTGCCTATACTTTTCTCGCCCTTCATTCCGTGTCTTATGATCAAATCCTTTCAGTTTTCATGCATCATCCTCGTCAAATCCACGATCCAGCAAACACACAACTACCATTCAGGTTCTCTGGTGGGTTTGGTCTTCATTCCGGCAGAATCGGTACAATTTTTACCCTCTACGGTGTCGTGGGTGGCTTCATTCAATTCGTTATTTTCCCGCCCGCAGCTCGTAAATTCGGTGTATTGAATTGCTTCAAAGTTTGCGCTGTAACTTTCCCAATCATTTGTTTCGTTACTCCATATACAGCGCTCATCGAATCATCAACTTGGCAACAAATCATTATTTTCGCCATCTTGATTGTTAAATCTTTTGCTGTCATCTTCGCTTTTCCTTGTTGTGTCATTCTTCTCACAAATTCGGCAGTCAGTCTTCGTATCTTAGGTACATTAAACGGCTTTGCAGTATCCATTTCTGCAGTTGGAAGAGCAATTGGACCAGCCATGTCTGGAGCCGCTTTCACTTGGGGATTGAAAGAGGGTTATATTATTACTCCTTACTTCTTGCTCGGAGCCATCGCAGCGATTGGCGCGATTCCCATTTGGTACCTAGAAGAAATGGAAGGATTCAGCAAGAGTGGTACAAGCGATGACGAAAGCGAGGAAGAACCACTCCTCACACCTGATGATGAGGAAACCGCAATTCTAGGAGGCGATGAAGGAATCAGAAGAGATCCCAATGAAGAAGCACTAGATGTTGTCGATGGTGCACCACTTTCTAAAGCTATAAGTAAGCGGAGACAATCGAGCGTCAGTAAAATTGAAAGATTGGAGGAAAACATGAGTAGTCCAATTGGAATGATAGGAGGAAGTGTGGGACCTGGAGGAGGGAGAAGATTGAGTAATGGACTTGCGGTTAGTAACTTAGGACAGGGAACAGGAGGAACGAGTTTTAGTTGAGAGAGGATTTATTATAGGGAAGAAGAATTAGGGAGTGAGGGATACTCACCATATGGAGATCTTCGTGAATATGAAACCTGGATTCGGTGGAAGACTTGGGGCGAGAATGAAAATGAATATGAAAATGGAAATGAATCACGAAAAATGTATACGACATCCATGGGAAACGATTTGAGAACAATCATGACATGATAATGAGTGGGATGGATGGAAAAGTCGGGTGATAGGAAGGCAGTGTAAAAAAAAACATAGGTACTTCATTTATAAAATTTGTCCCTTCATCACACTTGTACTTTGCCTACTACATATATATCTGTGAAGAACTCCTAGCTCGGGTAGGTTAATGGTGTTATATGATTTGATTTGATCTGATCTGATTGATTATAATATAACGTGACTGGACTGTCAAGTCAAATTTATAAATTTATAATTGATGAATGAATGAATGATATGATATGATGGACTGGCGCGAAAGCGCACGGGAAATAGTGGTGTTTGATTTTTTTTTTATGAGTGATCGCTTTGGTGGATTTTTATTATTTTGATAAATAAGGTAAATGTACTATTTTATGTTATGTTATGTTATGTTATGAGAAGGCCGGGGGGTTTTTAATGGGATTTTGGAGGTGGAGTTGGTGTTGGAGTTGTGGAATTTTTTATGGGTTGTAGTGGGTGGAGGGTAGAGGGGGAGGGTTTGCTGGATGCATGTTGGGGTGGGGGGTGATGGGGTGATGGATGGAGGGGAGGTGATGAGTGATGGGTGATGGGCGAGATTGGCTTGGAGTTGGAGTGGTTTTGTTGTTTTTTGAGGAGGTTGGAGGAGGTAGTTGGTTGGTTGCTGGTTTGATTGGTTGATTGTGGTATGGACTGTGGTATGGACTGTGGTATGGACTGTGGTATGGACTGTGGTATGGACTGTGGTATGGACTGTGAAATATGAATTACTATGGGTTGGTAGTGTGATATTGGTAATTGGAGCTGACTGTGTGCATTTATATATATGTAGGGAGTGAGTGTATGTTGGTACTGGTCAGTATTTAATCCTCGTCTATGTTTTACCTCCTGGTCGTTCCGTGACATTCACTGTTAGTATCAACTTAATTGGCAAACGTAAATTATTTCAGTCGATCATGGTTGTAATCATTCCTGATCATTATTATCCATAGAAATCTAGTACTCATATAGGGAAAAGCTAGCATCTCGTTAGCTAATGCAGTGTTTTCTTTTATTATATCATCGATATTCCGATACTTACTTAGTATACGGTATAACTAAGTTGGTGTGTATTGATATATACGGTGTAATGAGATGGGAGATAAAGCTTTCAGCTAGTTTATGTAAATGGTTGAGAATACGCGGGACTGAGTTGTAGCTAATAACCGTCTACAGGTGAATGTCTCATCATTCTTTGATGCTGGTTATATAGTACAGCTATGTAGGTATGTGTTCATTTGTATTTAGATGATGTAGGAAGATGGGAGATACGGGCTCCAGATTTGTGAGAATATGCGAGCGAGATTAGGAACCGTATTCTTCTTCAATTTCCTATATGAACTTCAGGAGGCACTGGCTTCTAACTTTTTTTTTTTCTTAATGATATAGTATCAGAACTTGACGGTAATATATCTCATCAATAGAGTTCGAAATACTTCTCAGAAATATTTCTCTCTATCAGAGCAACATTAAAGCCAAACAACAACATCCATTCAATTATTCTTCAGTATGAATTGCTGCGAAGAAGAAACACCAACATTCCTAAAATTCCATGTCCGTAGACAACTTCCAGAGATGCGCATCAAACTATTCGGACACACAGAACTACAAGTCCACTCGAGCATTCTGAAGGAACATTCAGACTTTTTCTTCAAATTCCTTGATTCGCCCGAAAAGCTTGAGTCGAAAGATTCGGAATGGAAGTATAACTGGGTTAGTGAGGTAGAAGATGATGGAGAATGGCACCTTGTTGCTAAACAGAATATGGTAAGTACACATGTCTATCATCTATTTTAAAAACACTAACACATCCCAGCAACCAAGTCTCGCCGACAACGACCTCGGTGACGAAAATGCAGAATACCCAGACCCGAGCATTCTGTTTCATCCTCAATGCGATGTACAGAGTGACAACTGCAATTCAGCCCAAAACATTAAAACCCATCGTCAAAATGGCAGATTACTATCTCTGTCTCCCCATCATCTCGTACCACATCTCCGCCTGCATGTGGACCAACAGCGATCTCCTCGCTCGCAAAATCAGCGAAGAACCCGAGCACTTCATCGAGCTCGCCTACACCCTCCGCAACAAAACTCTCTTTCGCGAATGCGCGATTCACATCGCGGGCCACATGAAATTCCAACAACCGGGGCCTCACGGTCTAATTCTCTACAATGGAACATTTCCCGGTGTTACGAATCCGAAGATCCTCGAAGTGTTAAAAATCATGCGTGAGCGTGTCACGGGCCAGCTTCTTGAAACACAGATGAACGTTTTGATTTCTTGTGCGGGGGATTCGGATTATCTCAAGATTTTGAGTACGCCGATTCCGGATAATATCACAATTCCAGCTTATTATCGAGGGTTGCCTCGAGATCATCGATTGCAGGGTTTGGTTGAACGTTTGATGGAAAATCATTTGGTGTTTAATGTTAACTCCTTTTTTGAGGCGGGGAAATTGGACTCCGTGGGAGCGGATCATTTTTATTGTGGGACTTTGGATGATGAGGAGTTGCCTGTAAGTTACTTTCTATACAGATCTTGAATCATTCTGGGGCTGAGAGCATCAAATTTGCTGTTGGCTGGGGAAGTTGTGTTCCCATACAAAGATCATGGTTTTTATAAAGGGATGGCAGAATTGATACATATACTAACTTTTATTTTTAGTGGGACGTAAATGAAACCGACGACCTTTCTGAGGTTCCCTTGCCTAGCCCGTCGAAAAAAGCGAAGATTAGAATAAGAATGCGAATTGACTGGTAGATGATCGAGGCTTGTACGAGACCCATTGAGAAAGCAACTCATCGGGTGATGTTGAATATCGGAACACTAGCATTATAGATACTCATTGTTTACTGCCTGAGAGCGGTATGGGGCTTATGAAAGGGAATTCTAGAATGCACTTCATCTGGACAGTCTTAGAAAGCTTTATTACTGTGTCTCTTCAAAATTAATAGTGCATCTGATATCCTCCATTTTGATATCTTGATAATTATAGTGATTCAATTCGCTTAGCAAAACGATAAAAAGCTCCAAATGTCTAACATGCAATGAATTGATAGCTTATTCCAATCTCAACGACTTTTTTCTCCTCTGAGCCGTTGAAATTTAATATGATCAGCGAAGCTCTACTTGGAGTATTAAGAATGGACAGAATCGAAGAACCAACTGCACTAAAAGAAGTAACATAAATCTTTTCTCCCTTAGCTGATGCTACAGCCATGATACTGAAACGATCGAGATAGGAAGAGCAACCGGAAGACTTGGTTCATCAACGCAATACCTGGAAATTATCAGAGAACATTTACTAAGAGCTTTACACCACTTGGTAGTATCTCACTGGAGGTGGTTTTGGGTATATACAGGAGACCTTAGGAACTGATATATTTCTTGATAATGTTTATGGTAATATGGTAATGTATTAGTGGACTGCACAACAGGTATTTGCGGTAAAGTCTGATAGGAGTGAACGAAAATGCGTTTAATTTGGAGGCTGTTTTCTTCTCACATTATGGACTCGTAACTAGTACATTGTTCATTTGACAATTGATGGATTGCTCTGGAATAAGAAATCACCCTATATGCTCGAGTGTCTACGTAGAATTTGGATTGTGATCCCATGTACTAGAGAGGGTATCTGCAGAGTAAGAGGAAGGTTTGATAGAGTATTTGCAAAGCAGACTACCTGCAATTTGCTGGAGATAAGGGAGATAAATTTCGCATAGCATATGCAGCAGAAAAATTTGGATTGAAAAATATAGCAAAAAAGATATCTCATAAATCTTTCAAGTCGTAGATATGTTGATCTCGCGTGTAAGATCCTCATCTTTGACTAGGTACCGAGATCTCGTTTAACTGGCGAAAATACTATGCTTTAGACTTGTGTGTGTGTCTTCGAAATTGCCTCGCTAGAGGGATCTCGAGCGGTGATGCGCTGTATGTGTGAATCGAAGCGCGGAGAATCTGATTGCTCATGGCAATCCAACATTGCGCTTCTTTTCCATCATCAAATCTCTGAACCCGACTTCTTCCTCAATAAACCCCCAAAGACTAATGTTAATAGGCTCAAGCTTCTGTAGTGTCAAGAAGCACATCCAAGAGTTCAATGATATTCAAACTGTCAATTTTGAGTTTCTGACTTATGCGGGGTAGCGTTTATAGTAATCGGGATTATTCCCGGGCATTAGCATGACCCCGATGTCGTCTTTGAGTTACGTCTCTTTTGTCATTGATTCCGATTTTTTGGGATCTTCAGATTGGAGATGAAAAAGGATGTACAAGCATTCCAGCAGATGTTGAGATTCCAATTGTAGAAAGATGATAGCCAGACCATTATAAATGTGGCAAGATAATTCATCGTAATATACCAGAATCAAATTTATGATGTATGCCCAGAGTGAGTCAAATCGAGTGCCCACTGGAGGCATCAAAATGAATTCTCGATCATCAAAGTCGTCTTAAAGTAAAATTATTGATAAGAAAAAGGCAACAACAAGCGTGCGGGGTCGATGGGATTCGCGTCTATATATGGTGTTCTTCTAACGTTTACAATAGAAACCCAAAGTCATGGAGACAAATACGTAACTCAGTAGCATAATCCCAAGAAAAGTTTTCGGAAATTTGTAATCAGCTAGTTGGACTCTAGTGAAAATTTTACTCACTGGTTAGTCAAACGCTTACACGCTGGTGTTCTAGGGTACGAATAGGGGGAGCTAAAAGTTTAGTAATTGTCTAAATTGCCGAGGAACACGTAACAAGACATTGTCAGAAATTTTGGGGATAATCATATTTTTTAAAAGATGACTATAGTTTATACCCTCAACAAGAGTAGCCTTTCATCCTCAAATTCTTTTACATTTTCTGATTTTTTAAGAATACAAAAGTAGCATAAATGTCATTTTCCAATGCCGGCTGATAAGCTCCCGATATTTAAAGTCATCAATTCGAGGTGATATTCTGAATATTAGGATGACTGTACGATTCTGAAGCTGAGTATAAGAATTCAATCTTGTCTCTCGTAAAATATGTTAGTATCTTCCTTCCTAATATTTCAATAACAAGTAACAAATACGTCAACGACAACATACTTATCTGTTTACAGATAAAATATAAATTCCTACATTTACTTGGTGAGAACCCCACAAACTTTCTATTCGTGGCGATTTCTTACCATAAAGCAGCGTCGACTTGTATCCTCCCCAAGTTCAAAGTGGTTGTTCTCGTAGTCAAGGAAATTCTTACCGAAACCGCCCCTCAATGCCCATGGCTCTATTACATCCCGATTCCAACTCATACATTCCCCTTCGGGAGCTTCCCAGATACAGAATCCCGAAAGACTATCTTTTGATCGGCCAAGCACGACACCTTCAACGCCAACTTTCTGACTGATACTCTCGATTACGGCTAAGACGAAGGCGTCTTGTTGTGCGCGGTAACTCTCATAATAATTGTCCTGGTAATAGGCATCATATCTAGAGCCTGTTTTAACACAATGGTTTTGGGGATTCGGTAGTTGGGTAATAACTCTTTTGACTCTTCCATAGGTGACGAAAGTGAAGAAGTTTTTGAGAAAGGTCCAATCGCCTCGATCGTTTTGGCAGAGGATAATGCGAGAGGTCCGCTCTTTTGTCCGGCTTATATCGTGATAAAACTGCACATCTCGAATACAGTTGGCGTTGAGCAGATGTCGGACTAAATAGTGCAGAACAGTGCTTGTAGTCGGAGCCAATGGGTCACCAGAATATTTCGATTTTTTGTGGATACGCCCACTATCTACACATTAGCTCTTCTATCACCCCGTGGAGGAGATTCATTGACTGACTGCAGAGTAAGCTCTAAGTCGGATTCAGCCAATTTTGAATCATTTGATTCCGACTCACATGTGATACTTCGCGGTGCTTCGTTGACTGTCATGAGTCCCGTCATATCTTGAATTTCGTTGCATATTTCGGATGTAGGGTTTCTCAGCTCAGCGCCGAGTTCATAACTGTTCAGTCTCTCAAATATTCTTAAGGCGTGGGCGTAAGCTTGCCGCTGGCCTCGAAGTGCTTTCAACAGATTTGGACCCTGACCAGCCGAGCAGAAAGTGCTTCGACCGCAAAAAACAAAAACCATCTCCCTAAGATCATACGGCAGTCGCTCGAGAATGCTGTCTTCGGGCTTGGAATCGATTTCTCGTTGTTTGAGATCTGGTCCACTGATAATGTCCGTAGAATTTTTTTCGAGATCTTCATATTCATCATCACAGCAATCAGCGTTGGTAATTTCGCGATATGTGACTTCCATTCGAGGACTTTGAGACTTCGTATATTCGCGGAGATTCCTGTCTGTATATTGATTGCGCACCAGGCTATCTAGCAATGCGTCGCAGAGAGTGTGGTATGGCATTGTTGAAAAATTGGGAAGATCAGAGTCTTGAATCATGATTGAGAATTGTGCTTGCTTTCTACAGATGAAAGAAAAGTACGAGAGCACACATGAATTTATAGATTTTTGTGATGCAGTAGATGAACCGTCTCAAAACTATCTCAACTATTTTACTTTAGAGATCTACTATACTCTAATAAAGTAGTGAGATCTATAACGCGGGATTGAAAACATGAGTCAAGATTTTCAAAAGTAAACTGATAATTTTTCCAACGAGGTTCTCACAAAGTTCCTTAAAGGTAGCATGTTGATAAATCAATGGAATTTGATAAATGAAATGTTGTGAAGGGGCGACGACTTGGGGAATGAAGCGGGGTGAGTGCATAGACGGCGCTCGTGCTCATATAAAGCAACACGCAAGCCACTTTCGAAAAGTGGCTTTGCTGTGGCTTACGTCCGCAAAAATGTCATCAGAATTCGCTAGAATCACGACCCTTTATAATGACGATTGAAAGAATACTAGAATGACACTACTCGTAGATTAACCATCTTCGTTATGACAAGTGCAAGTATAACATTAAGTGCAATCAAACGAATTTTTTGATGTCTAATGTGGTTCTATTAAGCAACTTATACTTTGACTAAACAACAAAATTTTACTAGACTGCCTATAAATTCCGAACTAAACACGAGGAGAATCTTAAATTAGATGATCGTCGATATAAATTGACTGAACAGCGACTTAAATAGTCGATAGTAGATGCCACGCTGTTATGATAGTAAATCCAAATTTTCCGCTAAAAAATGGTGTCGCTCGTTCGTTCAAATTTTTGAGGTGTCAAATTTAACTAGCATTAGGCATTCAATCGAGGCATCATGGAGATGAGCAAATGAGATCCTGATTATCGACTAAGGAACTTTATGTGATAATGTAGAGAGTATTAATTGAGTCAACAGGACCCAGATAATTTGAAATTATTTAACAAGCATACTATCTCAAATCGAATTCTCATCACCACCCAGTCTCAAAGCCTGGGTCAGTCATGATTGAACAGCTACCATGTCACCTTCAACTCATATGCCATAGTGCCTCCATTTCCAGTCGTCCGAGAGATCATTCTCCATCCCCACAATCAACCATCAATATGCCATTAGTTCTCCCCAGAATTCGAGCTTCCGGTGTCCTCTCGCTTGCCTCTCGCCTTCTTCGCTTTGACTCCCCCACGATGATTCTTTCTCTTCGGCTTTCCGGTAGCTTGATCAGTTCCCTGCCGGAATCTCTGTCCCGATTTCTCTGAGGCTTCATGACTCTTCCAGTCCTCGATAACCTCTTTGAATCCCTTATAAGTTTGATGAAGGGCTAAGATAAAGAGCCAGATAATGATTGGTACGACGAGGACAAGGTATTCCGGGGCGTGTTTCATGCAGCATGAGAGATTTTTGAATATAATCGCCATGTATGCGCTACAACCTGATAGATGATAACCTGTGTCTCGAACAGCGACAGTGGTGCGGGATTGGATTCCCAATGAGGACATGTTTTTGAATGCTAGGATCTTTCGAAGACAGTTCATGTTTATGTTTGATTGTATGAGATGAAGAGTTGTGGGTTGTGAGTTATCTTTTTGAAAGTTCAATGAGGTTCTGAGATGAAGAATCACTTGGTAGGTGGTTGAATAGTTATATACTTATTCGTCTTCGAGGTGCAGTTGAGGGGTACGGTCAAGACTCTTGATTTGAGCTAAGCGAGGTTTCAGGGGCCGTAATTTACGACCATGTACAAGAGATAGAGACTCCAAACAGTCAATTTGCGACAGTAGTACTGCTATCATTCATTATGTATTTCAAGAATTGTTCGCTTTCAAAATTTTACATTAAGTCAACGGGAGCCTTGAAGGATTCGAACTCAGGTGTCGGGGTTGCCGTATACACATGTGGCCTTACTGGTCCGTATTGTAGCCAGAGCATGGTTATGATTACGATCTATAGCTTATACAGTTGAAATTTTTATCGAATCAGTCTATTTGTATTGTAAGAGCAACTGTGGATGTTTCAATGAGCACGATCATGGTCATGATTATTCATGAAAACTTCCAACCAATGATTAGATATCTCAGCCACTTGCTGGTAAACAATATGCAGAACAATTCAGAAATGAACAATCATGAATATCAGAAAGAAATTTCTGCAGGGTCACTGAAGATCAACGTGCCAAGATGTGAATGATACCTTAAATCTCTTTCTGTTTCTGTGGGCTTTCAAATTGATGCAATTAGCGAAGAATTTTACTATCTTTGAGATGAGAGGGTAAAATAGTACCCAGCTGAAATCATGCACAAAGCGTCTCCAGTAGCAAAGAGATTAATGTGTTTTTGAGTTGGATTGTCCTGTTTAATGCAATGATTCTGAGATCTCATCTGGCGTTGTCAGCAACTGAGCATTCCAGGGCTTGGGTTTTAGGACCATTGAATTCTCTTCTGACGGTGTAACCAGAATTTTCGAACTACTACCAAGATTCAGTGAGTCTGTTTGAAAAGATTTCGAACATAGTGCATTACATCGGACTGATGGCTGAGATGGCCGAAAAACGGCAGATGTGGAAGTCTCAGAGGTTTGAATCTATCTTTGTGTACTACTCTTCGATGCTGGTTGTCACTTTCCGACGGGAATGATCAAGAGCTCTTTTGTCTCGACGTTTGGTCTATCTGAGAAACATTCAAGGTCAAGTAAAAACTGCGTCTGATCGCGTGTCACTGGAAAGATTATGTTCTTGATGATAGAACCTGTATGGCTCATATAAATTGGGTGTCTGGTCTATGTATTGAAAATCGAGTATATGATTCGTGGGATAAGTACTCTGCGATAACCCAGAACTTGGAGCAAGGCGAGATAAAGATAAATAAGCAAGATAGGATGCTCAGAGATTAGCCATGCTTTCCCAGCAAACAATCTTTCTAGACGCAAAAAGAATCAATATAGTCAACCATAACCCAGCTTCTTTGGAGTGAAGTTATGCCTCGTTGACGCGTTAGTTCAACAATAAATGATTGAAGAGGGCATATCATTCACTGGCGAAGCAGATCTAGTCTGATCAGTGGCTATCCGATCATGTGCTTCACTTCGCGCGCAGTGTTTTCCAGCAACCGCACATTTCAAAGTGAGAACGGAGAAGTCAAAACTGAGGGATTCATAGCCATATTCTTGATGGAAGGCTCTTACGAAATTGAAGAATCGCAGGAAATTTCTTGAGTGCCATAACTCATACCTTTTGAGTTTCGACATAAGCGGTCCAATTCTCGTACTGAGACATGTATTCGCGGGACTCAGGACTCTCTCTCAATGTATTCCTCAGTCAGAAAAATCATTGGGTCAATATTCACTTTCGAGGACGACTAGCCAATCTCAACAAAAAAACGGGATCACGAGATTGCATGCTCATTTAACTCACTCATATTCACTCAAAGATGGCGCAGTCTTGAAAATTTGAATCTCGCTAAGATCACGCACATTTGTAAATATTTCTTATTTAAGGATTTCCTCTTGTCGATACGGTTCAGTTTTCTCCATCTTTCTTACAACCACAAACTTTGCGAAATTTGAAGTCATGTATATTTACATTCTTTCCATTCAAGTCGCTGGTTGAAATGTCTCCCACATTTCAAAGACAAGTAAGTCAACGTTCCAATTTCCATTCGCCATTTCTAAATCATTCAATGCTTTTTGGACCACAGCTGATATCTATATTCACAGGATGCGGATCGTGATGATCGAATTGACCCCGATATACCACCGGTAAGATTCTGTCCTCACACACTGTCTCGATCCTTCCCGTCTGCCGGCCTGTCTCAATCACGCATGGTTTCAAGTGAGGTGGAATCACAGTCACCGATCGAATTCGCAGCAATACACCGAGGACATAAGCAATATTTCTCTAGGTTCCTCGGGACCTTTAACCTGCGTACACGGTGCCAGGGGAAGCTTCTCCTTGGAGGATTGTGTGTTTTCAGCTATCATGTTGTGTGCAAAAGTCTATCCTGGTGTGGAGACCAGATCTGTAATGGGTCGAGGTGGTGGCTGATTTCCTGGTCTGTGTGGCTTTCGGGTCGCCGGGGATGGAGGTACCATTGGGATTCACGACTTCCCTTCGCACTGTCGCATGGCGAGCGCCAGATTAATTTCCAAGAAGATTTTGCGAGATGCTGGGCGGGGAATTTTTCGTTTCAGTGTGAGATCTTACTCAGCATGGCACATCCGCTGACTTGAGGTTCAGGAAAGATGGATCAGTAGAAAAGAGCTTCTCAAATGGAGATCAAGCACTCATGAGAACCAGTCACTCAGTTATGGGAAGAAACTGTAAGTTGTCGTGTTTGTCTCCTATTCGCTTCGTGGCAATATCTCTGACTTTATAAATACAGAGATGCAACTGAGCAAATCAGAGTTATTCAGAAGCAGCACGACCTCAATATCAGTGAAGTGGGTTTCAAGCTTGATATGGAAGTTAGAACTCGTCGCCTCGATCTTTCAAATCAAGCCAAGGCTATGGATCGTCAGTTGGAACACAGACAAAACTTGGCTCTTCTTAATGCACAAATGGTACGTTCATCTGCCATGCGCGGTATGGCAACTACAAGAAGACTAACACTCAAATTCATCCAGATTATCTTAACGTTTCTCTGTTATGTGACTTTCTTTTACATAATGTCGCTTTGCAAGTCAGATTACTACTATACGCTGTTGGGTTTTATGTTGCTCATCGTTCTGGGTACATGCAAGGTTTATCATGACGGGCGATTGTTACCAGGAATACCTATGTAATTACACAATGTATCGAGAGCTATGAATAGTGGATCTTAATAGTTGGTGCATGCAGAACCGTGTCCTGAATCCACAGGTTTACCTTCGAACCTTTGCGAGAACATTTTGTGAGAATCTATCTGTCATGTGAGAACTTCTTCAATCGAATGTTTAAACTTCTGTCAATTTTCAATGAATCTACACCATGCCTGCCCAGTAGGAGGGATAAAAAATCAGAGAACAAATCCTCGACTCGTTAATCCAGGTCCGAAACAATATTTTCTTTGAGGAATCTCCGTATTATTGCGCATCAAATCCAGCATAGCAATCATGAAGATGGCATCAAAAAGAAGGAATCAGACGTTAGATTATATCAGTAAAAACTAAGTACAAATTGCGTGCGATAATGTATCAGCAATATCCAATCTACCAATCCAAGCCACCTGTTTGACCCCGAAAAGCATCGAGTAACAAAAGATGTCCAGATAAAAATATGGCCCGCTCACATCGAAGGTGCTGCTGCAGGGTTCTCGCTGTACTTTCAGTAGCGCTTCAAATAATTACAACCAGCATCCCAAGCTACCAGTTATTGCCTGGATAGGAGCGAACAACAATGAATAACTATGATAATCTGGAAAAGAAAGCAAGATTGGCGTATGCCTCCTGGGTTTTAAGCACTGGTTTTTGATGACGAGCGACAATCAAAAGAACTTTGGGCCCCCGATTTACCATACCCAGGAGGAAGATTAGCGGTGCCCTGGTGACGACCCACAAACCACTTTCCCAGTATGCCAACCCCTGAGTTGAGGAATTCAGATCTCGAATGATAGTTCTGTTTTGAGTGACGAGAACACCACCGCTTATTAGGCTTTCTTTTCTTGGCTTTACACTGTCCATTTGGTAAATAATCCGCTGGGTCATGGGAATCTCGTTTTTCCGCTTCGCAATAAGAGAAATCCCATGTTGATAACTGATTATGATGTGTTCCGCATGCTCCAAAGAGGGCATTCTCACTTATCCGCTCCTTGCATCCCGGCAGACGACACTCCATGTCAAAATCCGCTGGCATCTCTTCTGTCGCACTACTGTTACCTCGAATGGCCTGCGGGCTTTCAACAGATGCGTGATAACGAAGGCATTCGGAATAGCCTTGCAATTGCTGTTGGGGTAGCATTGATGCGTTTGGATGAGAGCTGTAAGGAGAGCTGTAAGGTCTCGATCTTTCTTTGGCCTTGTGTCTTCTCCGAGACTGCTCTTTTTTCGCATGTCTAGAAGATGAGTTACCTAGCTCTATTTCTGACCTACCCAAAAGAGGAGGTGAAAGTTGTATTGAGGTCGGAATACCAGTCGGAAAATTATGCATGAAATCCGTATGCTCGTTGCCTCCATGCTTCGTATTGGATCGTTGACTTGGTGCTGAGGGCTGACACTTTCGACTGCCAGGCTCTTGAACGCGCTGTATCTCACTCAGAGGGTAAGAAGCTTCACGAATTCTTGATTCGGAAGTTGGATAGTGCTGCGATTGACTAGTGGTACCAGAATGCGAGCGAGCTGCAGGAACGTTGAAATCAGCTGGCGATCTTAGGTCCGTTAGGTTAGAGGTCTGCATAGAACGGTATGATGGTTGAGCAGCTGATCCCAGGAACCAGCTGATTGGGGGTAGACGGTCGCTATTTGTCGAATGTGGTGGTTGAATATTGCTTTCGACCAGGTGTAAAGGAGGGAGTTGCATGGTACTCTTATCTGGGCCATATTGGTATGTTCCTAAGAAAGTGTCAGAGCTGTCCATTCCTGAGTTGGAGCCTAGCTCAATTCAACATTTGGCCGATTTTATATTAACCTTGAATGTCTCTATTTCTGAAGTTAGACTCGCAAGGCTGACCACCGCCATAATTCTGCCGTTGAGGTTGGCCATATTCATCGAGTCGGCCATAGTCACGGCCACCGCTTGTGAGACTATAATCGTTCAAGGACATAGTCAGTGGGTTGGTATCTGTGATGTTGAGATCTAATGCTGGAAATTTCTTAGGATTGCTTGAGGGATTGTTTGAAAAATCAAGTGTAGCAGGAAGCAAAAGCAGGAAAACCTTGGGCGATCAAGACGGGTATATGTCAAAATTGTGCGAGTCACTCATTCTAACGGGGTGATTGTTTTCCATTGCCAAAATTCGTGAGTGACTGTCCATGTCATACTGGAGGCTTGAACTTGCTGCAATATGAGTATTGCAGTGTGGGCAGAGTCAGATGAGAAGATATCATAGGAAATATTCATAGCAGCAAATCCCCGTGGATGCAAAAAATGAGAGTAATAATTCAACGTTTCAAATGATGACTCTTCAGAAAGAATACCACTGGGCCAAAATGAGTATTGGAAGACAAATCACTGATGGAATGTGAGATACCTACCTGAGTAAATTGTCAAATTTTGGGAGTCCTTCGAGAAGGAATTCATACCAGTGTCGATATTCTTTGGCAGCTCAAGAAGATGGTTTCTGATTCAAATCTGGGGTCAAAACATTGGAAGTTTGCATTTCTCTTTCTTCTTCACCTCTCTGACGTCTTAGAACGACCCAATTCAAAGCCTTTAAAATGTTCTCAATATCACACTGTAGGTTATTGGTACGCAAATTTGATAATGGTGCGATTTTCCGCAGATAAATTATGTATTCACTGTCCTAACAATGCAAAGTCATGTGTGATTGGCTATGTATCTTCTAACCTCACACACAAGATTCGTCAGTCATATCTATCCACTCGATTTCGAATTTAGTATCTTCTCAATACCAGGACAGCTCACGAAGTCATTTAGGCGCATATAAGAAAGTCCAATGCATTTATTAACTATCCCCTATATCCAAAAATAGATCAAGCAAGTTGTCTTGGAAACATTAAGCCTTTCGTCAAGCCTCCTAGGTGAGAATGGGAAAGTATGATCGCTCCATCGACACCAACCTCAACGACAATAAACAACCCGAACAAGAACCAAACTTCCGGAATTTTGGAGGCCATCAATCACAGTACTCATCATGAGCTACATCCTTAATCAGTATTTTCGTCACTGCTTGCGTTCCCAAGAAAATATCCAACGAAAAGAAAGAAATTAAGAAAAGTGCAATGAAGTGAAAGGAAAAAAATTGATCACAGCTTTGGAACCTCAATGTCCCCTCATGCGATGTAGTCCATCACGGATTCATAACGATCAGGAAAGTTGGCAATCTCATTGGCGCATCCAGAAACCACAAATCAGATTTTCTGTCGCGATCAGTGTAGGCAATAGTATTTCCCGTATTCCGTATACGGGTTAGTTTAGTGGTATGTATCGATTTTTTTCGAAATATATACGTATATAGTACAGAATTCAATACTACTGAAAATATTCATTATTATTATTAATATACTAAAATACTAGAATCCAATATAAAATATATATTTCTATTCAAATTAGATTAGAAATAAGGAATTCCTATTTAGTTTGAAATAAGGAATAGAAATTTATTATTTAATATAAATAGGAATGTATATTTTATATTAAATTTTAATATTTCAATATATTGTTAGTATTCTTTAGTATATGAATATATATAATAGTAGTATAATCTCCTTTCTATATGTACTAACTGCAATATCAATATACTAATACACGCCACAGTTTCACTGTAGTATACTATTGCCTACACTGGTCGCGATGAGGAGTTTGATGTTGGCTGGTCGCTGGATTGTGTGATGGATAGAGCAACAAGTATACTGGACCTTGAGTTCATTGCTTATGATTTGATGATTCGAATGGTGTTCTGTGCGAGCTTGAGTCTGGACTGAAGCTCCAGACATTTGTCTCCCGGAGTTTCTCTTATCTCCATTCGCCTTTCTTCTGGGATCCGGTCGTCGAAGAGGCGCCTGAGGTCCGGGGGTTTTTTTTCGAGGTTTCTTTCGTGTCACGAGGTACTTTCCGTTCATTGCTCGACGGGGCTGCTTTTTTGTCTGCTCTTCTAGGTATCTTGTGTTTAGCGGGTCTGTTTTCTAAGGATTGACCCCAATCAGTGTATGCAGCGTCTATACGACGAAAACATTCATCGCACATCGTATTGGTGAGAGGGATCGCTTGGCCGCATTCAGCTTCGCGTTAGCCTATCCATTGTTTGCAATATTTGGAATCTGAGCTAGACATGTTGCTATGGTAAGGATATTAGCGTTATTTGTTATAATCGTGTTCCAAAATCTACGATCCTACCTAGATCAGCTTGCAAGGGGATACTTTAGTTTTTTTGAAAGATTAAACGAATGAAAAATGAGGGAGGGCAAGTGTTTTCTTTGATATTATGAGGAGCTTGGAATATTGAGAAAGGTCTCGAGAATTGTCGTTTAAGATTCTGGGGTTAAAAAAAAGTAAAAAGGAAGACTGCGTGCTACTCGAGCATTGATATGGTGTCAAGACCTGTACGCGTGACTGCATGTTTATTCAAGTGATGAGTACAAAACTGAATCTGACTTAGTATGAGTTGTAAGTGGAAAAATTCTAACAGTGTCATGACTTTTCAAATCTAATATTACTTATTGGGTCACGAAGCCATAGAATCGATAAAATCGATCGATCTTTCGCATTTGCCATTGTCAAGGAAATTCTTGAAAATATTTTTTCACATCATTAACTGTGCAGGATTCATACTCTCAGGGTTATACCGACTTTGTTCTACGCGCCATTAATGACTTCTAGTGCCTCCCAGTGACTCTAAAATACTATTTCCATTTTGCATACTGGTATGTTTGCCATGATGAAAGTTGTCATGAACAAATTGATCCGTTTCGAGTGAAAGTTTACTCAAAACTGTATACCAAAATCATGGTACACATGGAAAGAGCGTAAACGTGGACGGATATAATTTCATTTCTAAACTACAACGCAATCAAGACAGACAGCTCTTGTATTCCGTGTTGAACCTATCACCTAATTCCATAAAGAATGAATATCAATATCTCCAACCCAAATACCACTCACTATATGTGACCAAAGAAATAGCAGAATAAGATCCCCGAGTTTCTAGGAACGTCTAAAAGTTTAGACTTGGAAAAACCAGTGCGCGATTCTACTCCCACCTTCGAAGGAAAACAGCAATGAAAAAGAAAAGAGAATTCCAATACTATCAGTGCCTTGCGGCCACATCAAAACCCTTATACACTCAATCCCCCCCCAAGAAACCTTGAACGAAGGCCAATAAATTTCGACGCCAAACCATAACATCTATCTATCCCCGGAAGAAACACAAGATCGCTCCAAAACTATAAAAATCGTGTTATAGCCCCTGCATTCTATCAATATAAAGTTTTGAAAAGGACTATCGAGGGAAATATGTACCTACCAAGTGATCAATTCTGATTCCTTTGAAACAATTTAGGATGTCCTTCAAGAAATATAGTTTTTGGTAGGCCTGGCTCTGGACGATTAATCCATGTTTGTTCTTGGGGTATGTTCCAATATTTGTCATTGTCCCTGTTCTCACCACAATATTATCTTCAATTGGAATTGTGCAGTAGCACTGAAGTCACATATTGGGAGGATTGAAGTATCGTGGGTCCGAAGAAGAAAAGGTGCACTTGATAAGTTGTGGGCAATGTCCCTCGGTTATTGTACGCTTAGGCTGTCGGCACGGCTTTGAAGAGGGCTTCATTAAATGACGATGCTTACGCAGTTTATTAGCTTGTCGTTGTACTTGTTGTGTCGGATGATCTTTATTTATGAGTTTAGAAGGTGGCACTTCAAGTCTGCTTGATTGAGGATCAGAAACTTGAGGTGCAGTTGAATTGACGCTCTATTGTTGCATCTGAAGCTGTGCTTGTTATGGAGAAGCATCCAATGATGAATGAATTCAGTTTGATTAACGTCGTCTTGAGTCTATAGCTGGCTGCTGATATTTCTGTGGCTGAGCCCAACCGGTGTGTGGAGCTGGACACCTAGTTCAATCTTTCACAAATCTGGAGAGATAATGCATCCAGAGGAATATAAAAAGTCCAACGCGAATATTAATTAAGTCCCACAATTTAAGTGGTTCGGATCAGTATAACTCTCTATGAACGGCACATACATCCCGATATTATCCATCCAAACTGAAGGCCTCCACCCCGATTTCATGAAACAGAAGCGAGTTTGAGCAACAGATAAGATCACAGTATTAAATTCCCCAAAACTCAATAACGTCATCGCCACACACCCAAGCGGTGAAACAAAAAGAAACAAGATCTGCCATATCCCTTCCACAAATACAAAGGTCGTCGGTCCAAATTCTAAGTCGCACAATCAACCCTACCTTGAGAAAAAATAGAGAAAAAAAGAGAAAAAAATGATACAGGTCTTATATCTTATCTCCTCGTCCCAGAAAGCAATATAGTTGTGTCGTGTCCTTTATCGTTCATTGCCTCCTCCTTCGACGGACTCTGCGAACCCTACTCTGGTTACCTCTGTGGCTGCCGGATACTCTCTGACTATCTCCAGCTACTGAGTGATTTTGATCTTCAGATTGGTTGTCAGAGACATCTGTCATGTTCTCCCAGGATCGCGGTGAGCCATCAATCGCGTCAAGAAATTGGCTCGGAGTTGTTACAAGCTGGACAGAAGGGCTTGAATAACGTTGGCTGCTTGGCGCACTAACTCGTGCGTAGGCTTCTCGATTCGTGTTCTGTAGGTCTGCTGGAGTCTGGACGTTACGGGCGGGTTGCAGTTGAGTTCCTTGACTTCCGGGGGGCGGAGCCCCTTGTCCTAGCCACTCCCATACTCCTGGTTGATATTGGTGCCATCCATCTTCCAATTCACGACTAGCCGGACGTGATTGTGCATATGCGATTCCATGTCCATGTTCTACATGTCCCGATGGATCAGAATCATACGTGGGAGGAGTTTGGGCTTGGTACCCAGCGACTGAAGGGGTTTGAGCTTGGTACCCAGCGACTGAAGGAGTTTGAGCTTGATACCCAGCGACTGAAGGAGTTTGAGCTTGATATCCAGCCATAGAAGTCTGAACCGGGTATCCAGTAAATGGAGAAGCCCTTGCTAGATCTGAATCGAAGGGAACGTACTGTTCTCTGGGTACAAACCGTCCATCTTTGGAATATCCAGCTTCTGTTGCATAATCGTTACCTTCTACCCAGACACCCGCAGGAGGACTTTCTGTAGTAGTGTATATCATTGGAGGACTGTTCTCTTGGTAAAGTTGGCTTGCCAGTTCATTGGATGGCGAGTATGCCTGCATTTCATCTGCTTCTCCCGGTCTATCTCTTATCACATATGGTACTATTTCCTCCACCAACCAACGGTCATACTCTTGAAGGTTTTCTCTCTCCTGACGATTGGAATGGTTAGACATGTTGCTGTAAACCCAATCAGCACTAAATGCAACCGTATGTGAGTTTGAGAGCCGATCGTCTAACCTGAATCAATCAATAGATAATGCTATTGATATTCTCCAGTTTGTGTAAAGGTAAAGTTGCAATGGGAATCTGTCTCCGAGACCTTGGTCTTCAAGACCTTGAAGATTTTTTTTCTTCGAATTATCGTTGTCTTTGATATCGTTGTATGTTAGAAGAGAAAATGAGAAGAGGAGAAAGGGACAAATCCCTTGCTATTTAAGCATCAGAATGAGAGCCAAATTCCAATGCGTGGTACTCACTGTAGGAGTCATAAAGGGAAATGGGAGTGTGATAACTCATACATATTTTATGAATATTACCATTCTTTGAGAAGACTATGACTACGCCGCCGATGCATCCAAGCAAACTGATTCAATGAGCCATAACCCATCAAATGGTCACATATGCAATTATGTGAATCATAGTAGGAGAACATTCTTCATCAACTTTGTAGCGCTTGTACCCTCAATATTCATACTGCCTCTGGTTTTTCAAGCCATTATATCGTCTTAGCGACTGTGAAGAGCCTTTAAGATGTGGTATTCTGTGGTGAAGGGCATAATTGGCAAATTGATACTTTGAATAGCCTTCCTCAGATTCATAACTCCGATTTGTCAGCTTCCCCAGTACAATTATCATTAATCTGCTTCCTTAATGACACTAAGGACCACCCCTCCTTCAGATTGAAATGAAACATTTATACCCCTTCGCATCATTGTTCCTTTGATGAAGTCTCATTAATGGTTCTCAACAAAATATTACTGTCACATTTGACTCCAGACAGGGAAATGATGCCTTAATATTCATGTTCATGAGATTATTCAAGGAGAGCATGACTCCATTTTAATTGAAAATCGATTTACCTCATGCATATCTACATTACTCTTATGATTCTTCATTGTACGACAATTGTTGAGTTCATGAAAACTAAAATTGACTGAATATTCATTAGATAAACATCACGCGGTATGGATATTCTAGTCGCATGAATCATTGAACTCAAGATTTGGAGCACAAATATGTCATTTCAGTCATTGCACATTTCTTTGGTTCCGTTTGGCCAAAATTTTGGGGTTTTTTGGAGTCATAATTATCATTTTTCTTGAAGTCAAACCATTGAAGTTGTTGATGAGTGTTCAAATTCTCAATATGCCATTCATCCATCATATTCATACTTAATCATAACCGATATCCCTACATCTTGCACAACCCTGTATCTTGCACAATTTGATTTATTAAACTAAAAATTGATATTAAATTCAAATATCATTATAATGATTTTAAAACTTGTATAATAGGATCTTATATTTATCAAAAAATAATATCAGGAACTTAAAAGATTTGAAATATTCAATTAAATATTAATTGATTTTGAATAACAATATTTTAAAATATTAATAACAAAATAAAAACCTATATTAGAGTGAATTATATAATTGAAAAATGATTTTTTATATTTTTTATTATCATTATTATTAATCAAAAGTTTGAAATTTCGAAAAATATTAATAATCAAGTTTTATATCAAGTTTTAAATTTTTATATAGTTTTAAAAAAAAAGAAAAATAATTTAAAAATACTTTTTAAAATATTATGGAATATTTATTTTGAGATTTTAAAAAAACTAAATTGTTAGAGTAGATACTAGCAATGAATCAACTAGGTGAAATGTAGCACAAAGACTTTTCATTAATTCTTCTAAACTTATGAAAACTATACAATTAATTTATATGTGTGTGCGGGCTCCCTTCGGCACACGGTAGGCCCGAGGGCTTACTATCACGTGCCTAATGGAGCCCTTTAGTCCATGACCGTGACATAAATTGATATTTTGATTCAATTTATAAAAATATATTTTTATATATTAGAAAATATATAATATAATAATAATAAATAATATTAAAATAAAATATTAAAATAAAATATTAAAATAAAATATTATTTAGAAATTATAATTAATTATATTATAGAGTAATATAAATAAGAAAAAATAATAATTAAAATAATTGATTCTTATATTTCAATCGAAAAGTCTATTATAGTTCCTTTTTTAAAAGAATTTTATTTCTAAAAAAGTCTTTAAATTTTATATATTTCTAAGAATTTTATAGTTTATATTTAATTTCAAATTCATTTTATAATATTTAATACTAGTTATTAATTTTAAACTTAAATTTAATTCAAGATTTTCTTTTACAAAATATTTGAATAAAAAATCTCTATTATTAATTATATAATTTTAATTTTTAAATATTAATATTTTTAAAATAAATGATTATATATATAAGTATATAATAAAATATGGTTTTTATTATTTAATTCTCAATATTAATATATAAATAGTATATTATATAATTAAATTATATTCAGAATATTATTAATACTTGAGTTATAAAAGATTTTTGTTTTAAAACAAATTATTTATTAAAATTCTTATTATATATTAATATAATTTCGAATTGTTAATATAAAAATTAGCTTTTTTTAATTCATTATATTAAAAGATCTTCAAATTTATAGAATATATTCTAAAAACAAATTTTTATTATTTTTATTATTAAATAAATTAATATATAATAATTTCAAATTAATAGTTTTAATATCAAGATTCCTATTCAATTATTAATTACAATTATGATTTTATTATTTTATATATAGGAAATAATATTATAATATTATTATTTTAATTTTCAATAGAATTTAATGATTGGTTGATTATATATCATTTTTAGAATATTATTTTCAAAAGAAATAAAAGTGTGCAAGATGCAGGGTTGTGCAAGATGTAGGGATATCGGTTACCTGCACTGACGCATTTCTTTCTAGAAATGACTAAAAATCGTCATTCTCAATGCACATGATTCATGAAATAATCAATATTGACACATTTATTACACTCATACTACTCGAGTTCCCACTCCTAAATGTGCTTAAGTAGTCCCAGTTCACCCCTCTGCTGCACCTTATTTTCCTCATCACTCAACCACTTCAAATACCACTGTTTTGCGCATTTCTCCTCCAACACAAAAACAAAAACTTTTTGCCGAGAAAGTTTTCCGTTTCCACCTCTAATCGTCAGGATACTACATCATACATTTCACGCAGATTAAACTTCAATTTACTAAAAATCTTTTATCATATCTTCGTGGAAACGATCATAGATATCTCACCGTCGACTACGAGTTGTATATTTGCGACATCTATACAAGCAGACTACTCACATCACTTTGCGATCTTCATTTGGTATGTTCCCAGTGCTTTGAACATGCCTTTCAAGAACTGACTTACCTATAATAGAAAAATAGCGACCCCTAATCCTCATTATTATCTGTTTTCTCCTGAATATACAGATTCGACCATTTGCATAAAATGCCAACGACAGAACGATAAGCCAAATATCTGCTCATGGTGCACGTATTGTATCATGCAGCGAGAAAATCAACAATCTTCCAGTCAAGAGATTGTGGGTGGCCATCGCTCTCACCATCACACGAGGCCCGAATCAAGTTCAAATCGCAGCCGTACAAATCACAGTCGCTCTAGCTCTGGTGAAAACTCCGAATCACGCCGTAAGAGAACAAAGACATCCTCGGGTCGAACGCCAGCAAGGGAATCAGCAAACCGTGGGCAAGAACTGGGAACAAGTAGCAATGCACAGGCAAAAAGACCACGGACCAATGAGGGCAGTAGGATTGCGGATCGCGAGTCTTCTCCCGCTACCGGACATGACTCGAGAAGATATGGGTAAACTTCTGCATTCGGAGATGCCTATTTAATGAACGTGCAACCCGCAATATCCCCAAATTCATATACACAATATGATCACAGAAAAAGCACCGGACTGGTCGCTGCTCAAAAATATATTCCACCAAGAGGTCCTCAAACTACAGAAATGCAGGGAATTCAAGAGAGAATGGCTCGGACGTACGTCTCCGCTCCAAGCATACCAGCAGTTCACGATCCTTCATCACGAAATTCTGCACTAGCACCCATGTTTAACAACCCTTTCCGTTCCAGTGGAAGATTTGTTGGTTGGGGTGGTCTTCAAGAAGAACAACAGTGGCAGCAACAAGAACAACAAGATCACCAGCAGTATCTGCAGCCGAATGCGACACAACAAGGTGTAGCTATACCTGCACCTCAAACTTCGACAAGCTACTCCCAACAATCGCAGATAAAAGAAGAGGTTCGATGCACCTTTCACGACGAATATGGCTTATGGTGTGGTCGACCAAGGCTTAACAAGTCATTTTTCTGTGACATCACGGGCTCTAAAGCTCACAACGATGCTAATAGCAATCGAGATTATTACAGAGGAATGAAAATTCTTTCAGGATCGATAGGCATCTGCCCACAACGAATGGTTCCAAATTCTGCACAAAAGTCAGTATATATATGTAACATGAAAAATTAACCCAGGCAGGGAGCACTGTGGTGAGAACACGCATTGCATAGAGAACCTAAATAAGCCTCAACCAAAAACATACTGTGAGCCGACTGGGAATCAGATACAAACAGAGTATTACCCAGGCTGTCACCCGGTCCCTGGTAAAAAGCTGAATGCGCGGAGGGCTAGAGACTCTAGGGAATCGGAAAAACAAAAGTATTCTAAGAGATAGGTCTTTCGGAGAAGATTTCGAAGCTTTTCATTATTTCCTTACAAACCTTTCCTTCCATTCTCACATCCAAAAAATTCCCACTATCCCTCCCCCTTCACACACTCTTACTTCTACAATTCCTTTACAACCCAAAAGTGTTTTACTGTTATCTCATTGGCTGGATACAAATTTTTGAATTGAGGGTCGGTCGTCCTTTTCATTGCTTCTCATGTGTTACTCGTAACTCTTGTGATGAATCTTCAAGGAACATATTAGTTTGCGTCGAGTTTAAGAAATGAATTAATATTACTTTAAATTTTCTGTTTATGATGTGACTTTATTGTTGTATGCTTCTGGGGTTTGAATCATCTCGTCTTTTGATTTACAATCAATCCATCTCATCATCCGACACTTCACACCCACTCCACAATCAACCTACCTACGAATATTTAACCTTCACACCTAAGCCATCCATCCATCAATTAACCCCTCGCGCATTCCTATACTCCCTGTCCCTATCTCCCCTCGCTTATTCAGGGGCCCACCAGCCAAGCCCTTGAATCTCTGTGCGTACATAATCACGTGATTCGAAAGCATTCCCTCCCTCCTCTCCACCGATAATGGCACAGCCTTCGAACGACTTTGACATTTCTTAAAACCACGGGCATTCATTCATCTGAGAAAATGGCCAATGATTTCTGGGAGTAATAATTTTGGACGCACTGACAAGTCATTTGGAAAGACTCTATCCTTTTCAATACTGGCTCCCCACATTGCACCCATCACACCTCTCATGCTCTGGATCATGCTCTCTACCCATTCTATTTCCCTATTCCCATTCCTATCCCCACTCCCATGCCACTATCACTACAGTACTCCCTCTCTCACATTACCTCTCACTCCACCCCTTACAATCCATACGGTAACCTTTAATTTTACCCACTAAATCTCACACTGTGCACTTCAATTTTCAACCTTCAACCTTCAATTTTCTACTATACCAACCTACCAACCTACCAATCAACCATTATACCTACCTACCTATCTATTTACCAACCCTCTCCATCTACATATACACACACCTACCTCTCTCCCTCTCTCTATCTCTCTCCCCTCCCTCTCCTCTCTCTCTCCTCTTCCTCTCCTGTTCTTACTTCATCCCTTTATCCCCTCTATCTCCCTATCCCCTCAAACCCCCCTCCTTAACTCCTTTTCCATCCTTTTCCCAAACAAAAATCCCAGCTACAAACTCTAAAACAACCGACAAAAATTCCAATATACCCTGCACTCACAATCATAATCATAATCACAACCAGAGTGCAAGTCTTCAAGTCTCCAATCTAAACACAGGGAATACCCATCTTTCTCTAGTCATTTAAACTCACACATATCACATATATCAATCACATCACACTCAAACATCACAAAAACCAAAACGTATCACATCACTTCATATCAAACTACAACAGAAACCACATCACCAGCCCCCAAAAAGAATGAATTTCATAATCATATTCACATTGTTAATCTCTACAATCTCTACTACGATCTCCAACCCACTTCCTCACCATCACCACTCGTTTTCCTCTTAATCTCATCTCATCTTATCTGAATCCAACCAGTCCCCAACCCCAATTCCAATTACAAAACTCTGTAGCTGATCAATACAAAGAAAGTATTCATTTCAATCCCTCATATCTCAACACCAAACGCCCTAGCAATGCAAGGATAGAATCGCGCGCAATTCCTTGCGTCTTTGGACTATGTACGATTTTGAGCAAACGAAGGAAGTCAACTAGACCTCTAAAGCCAAACCAAACAACGCCACCCAACCCCGATGCACTGTCAAAAGGGAAATTGTACCATCATATTAACCTCAACATGATCCACCGAATCCTCATTCTCTCATCTCCAACCACCCTTTCCCATAGCACTCATAACACTTTCTCTTCCTCTCGCCTCCCTGTTCATGCTACTACCAGCAGCCCCATTAACAGCATTAACTCTCAAACTTCCACTACCTTCACGACCATGCCCATGACCTCCAGACACTGATCTACCCGAATCCGTTGCTCGTCTACTATGGCCATGTTTGATTACTGGAGCCGTTCTCGGACTCAATACACTGCTCAACCCATCCCCCTTGTCGCTCTTCACCATCCGTCTCGCATGACTAGCCGTAAACATTTGATTTTCGCTATTCGGGCTTGTTGCAAGCTGAGCCGCTGTCGGGCTTCTTGCTCTTCTGATTCTTTGACTTCCCTCGGAACTCGTATGATTATGTCCCGATCTAGAAAGACTACCATGTCTCTTGAGCGCCATACCAATCTTAACGCCATCCAATTTTCCAACTTTATAATTCTCAGTTTCGTCGCTCGAATTATTGCCAGCCGTCTCGGCAGCTTCATCTACATCGCGAAGGGGGGATCGATTTGGACTAAAACCGTTCTTGAGGATTCTCAACGGAGAATGTTCTGTATCCGAAGACGTTGGGGAGAGATTGGTAATTGTTGGAGGAGGCGGTGAAGCCGAGTGGGGCTTTTTGGACAGGAATCCTGCTTGGAATCGATTGTTCTTGGGCTTAATATCAAGGGAAGTTAGTGGAGCCGTGGGAACAGGTGATGAGCCCAGGGGGTCCGTGGAAGCCTCGCCTAGGTATGAGGGTAAAGGTGGTAGGGTAACGGTCTCTTCGACCAACGATACATCCGGAGTGGATTCAAACTTCTGGGGTGTTTTCTCGAACTCGGCCAAGGCTCCGGAATCGTCATCGTCTCGCCATCTGACACTTCGCTTGGAGGTCTTCTTCGGTGTGAAAGAAAGTCCTTTCTTACCTACTACTATCTTACGACGCCTCGGTGAGGATTTCATCGGAGATGGAATTTGTGGTGCCACTGTTAGAGAAGGCATTTTAATTGGTGATTGTGCTTCCCCATCAAAAGAGAGATTGATCTGCTTGTTGCGTTTCGGTGTACCTCGTTTGGTAGGTGCGAATTTCTCCGTGATCTTCATAGACCCATCTGGCTTTATTATTGAAGCAGCTGCTGTAGAACATGTTTCCAAAAGTTTGGAAATGGTCTTCTTGCCATGTTGCACAGCATCCTCTTCAGACATACCAATTACGTCATTAAGCGAAGACATGATCTCGAATTGGGCAGAGAGCAGCACTTGCATAACACCCGCATCAACACCCTTTTCTTGCTCCAAGACATATTGGAATGAATCTCGTGCAGCATTAGCTTTCAAGAGTTCTGTTTCTCTAGTCAGACAAGCGATATCGTTGCCATCCTCACGTCCATCAATTTCAACAAGTTGACGAACGCTGTTTTGTAAAGCAGAATCGATAGCCCGTTCCCAGTTAATTGTGTGCATTCGTTGGTGATAATGTTGTCGGCTATTTTCCAATTCGAGAAGAATACCTTGAGCCGTCTTGCGCATAGATGTCAAGTTGGGAGGCATTTCTTCATCATCCCGAGAATCACAAACGTTATCGAACGATGCGATCCAGGAGGATAGTACACTGATGCGACGTTCGATTTGTCGAAGTTTCTTCATCTGGTTGACCTTTTCTTGTCGGTCGTTTACTGAGTTTTCAAAGGCGGCACGAATACGCGCTACACCCTCACGTGTAATGGCGTCTCTCTTTTCCGCTTGCTTCCTGAATTTCACGAATGCAATGGCTTCAGCATCTTTCTGCTGAGCCTTCAATTCATTGATCATCGCCATCTGCTCATCAATCTTGACCAAGAAATCCTTGACATGGCGATTGACATTGAAAACGTTTCTGGTGACCTTGGTTTGAATATTCTTGGCTCGGTTGGCGTATCTCAAGGTATTTTGTGTTTCGTCGAAATGCGCACTGGAAGGACTGACACATACAATCATGACAGTCTTGCAGTTCCCACCGAGAGAAAACTTTAACAATCTCGTCAATTTCGAATTTCGATATGGGACGTGATTCTTCTTTCGGGGATCGCAAAGAGCATTGATACAGCTACCAAGGGCGAGAAGGGATTTGTTGATATTCGCACCTTCAATTAATCTTTCACCTCGATTTTTTGTCGCACTCGCACGTTCACTACCGGCTAAATCGATGATACTCAAAGTCGCCATTGTATGGGGTTCGTTTACTGATGCGTTTCGATCCTTTTGCGCGACATTGATTTGTAGGACTGCATGAGATCTAGAGGATGTTGCATTGGCCGCCGTGGGAGAAATGGTTCGGTATTCGTTTCCTTTGACAATCATATCCATGACTTCCTGAACGTCTTGGGGTTTGTGAGTCGATAACCCCGCGACTGACACCGCTTGATTGGCATCCTCTCTCAACATTAAACCCCCTTTACTACCCCCTGGAACCAAAAGATCGCGGATTGTCTCGTTATAAATTTCCAGATAGGATAATGTGATTTCTGTTTGTTTTTCTTCCGCTCTCTCGCTGATCTTCTCGAAGAGCTCCTGCATAGTTAAGAAAATAATACCAGGTTGTTGGGCCGTTCCTGTGATCGTGTGAGTTTTACCACAACCAGTGGCACCATATGCGAAGACTGTAGCATTATAACCATCAAGTACATTGTCTAAAAGACCTCTTGTCGTTGATTCGTAGACATCCCCTTGTGTTGTATTATCATCGAAAACCCGATCGAATGCGAATGTTTGATCTTTGACTCGTTTGCCCATGTTCGATACTACTTTCGATTGAAATCGAGTTATAGGGGCATCTTGTGGAGGGTCGAATACACTGCGAATGTCAGACCTTTAGAGTGCTATTTCTTTTGCAATACGTACAGGCATCTATCATCAATGACCTTTATGACAGGATGAATTCCTCTCCCACCAAGCTTTGGAGTAGGAGCTCCCGCCAATGAGCCCTCTCCCAGAAATGATATGCCATCATCCGTTTTTGTACTATGGAATGTAAGTATTCGATCAAGGTATAGTGCCATCGGCCTCCAGAAGTTGGGTATGTAGGTACGAACATTTGCGCGGCTTCTTGAATGGTAAAAGGTCGGACACGAACTGACAAGTATTAGCAAAGGGTCCCCCATATGATTACCATGATATCCATACCAGTGACAGAGATCGAAGACGCGCCTGACGACATCTTATCGGTGTCAATCGTGTTCCTCTTAGATGTATTGTCCTCCAGCTGAAGTCAATATAAACAGACCGCCAAAGTGAATTCAATTATACAAGATCGACTTGGATGTTAAGTAAGAATTAAAGAGTGCAATGAATGCGAAAGAAGAATCACAATACAGCTGTATCTGATTAGTATTGACTGTTAAAAACAAATACCAGGAAGGAAAGTCGTAAAGTGGTCGTATTTGTCGAATTTGATAATGTCCATATACCCATGATATGTCCATCCATATGTGTTTGGGTTTGTTCGTGAAACTTTCATTTCTCGGGAAAACATGGTTGGCCCGTCAACTCCATCCAAATGACCCACCTTCCGCATGAATTCTTAGCGCGACCCTTGAAAGACTAATGCTGTGCCTCCTCTACCGCTCCTGACGCAGCCTTCCATGCAAGGCTATCCTTAATTCATATATATGTCTTCAATCTTATTTCACTTTATTCAATCATGTGTAAGGTGGGAGATTTTGGGATCTACTTGAATATCTAGGTATCCTGGTACGCCTCAACGCCCAAGCTGATCATTCGTAAAGGGATTAGACTAAAATGAAACAAAACTACCCAGTGTGGAATCACCTGCCTCGAGCGTTCTTGGATATAGGGGCTCAAGGGAATGTGTCCGTCTGATGAATGAACCATCACAAATCACATCGCAAAATGTCACACCGTTAATTGCTCGAGATTCATTATTATTTGCTGCTATCTGGGCTTCCTCTCCGTTCACACCTCTGCACTCCTACTTCGCCCCCTCTCGTCTACATGATATAATACAGGAATCTCCAGGCAAAAGCCAATCCAAACAACCAAATCAATACTATACAATCCACCTACCTAATATGTAACCCCTTTCCAGCGCCCGATAACTCCAAGTAAGCCGACCGGCCCGTCCATTGCACCATGCTTTTCTATCTTTCCCCATCCTTGATACGCCAGTTTGCCTCATCCACCATCATAATATGCACAGAAATTTTAGCCACAAGTAGAAAATTCAAGAAGATTAACCCGTTGAACCATTCACCCCAATATCAAAAAGATTCAGCGGCCAAGTGGGCGCACCAGCGATAGCTCCCGAAACTTGACCACCCAAATGTCCTGGTTCACCAACTCCTCCACTTTGAACATCGCCCATCGATGTATTCAATTGTGTTGTGTCACCATTACTCATATCTCTTCCTCCTAATTGCATTAGAGCACTCGCCGAGTAACATTCTTGTGGCTCAAGGTTCCCTGTGACCGTAGATGTCCAATGTTGCCAGGCTTGTGTTGGCGCTGTGTTGACCTGAGTCGAATTTCTATGCCATGTATTAGGGGCGACCTGACTTGCCTGAGCAGCTAACGCAGCAATTAATGGTGCTTCTACCGAATCACTAGTCGGGGCCGAGTACCCTCCATAGCCTTGATTCTCTGGTTGCGCATATGTCAAATCAGAAGTATTAGAAGCCGATTCGAGATATGGTGAGTACTGAGTTGCAGCTGGATATGGTGTCTGTTGATGAGACATTTGTCCTTCGGAGGGGGAGTAGTTAGGTGCAGGCGCACTCCCCGTGGCAGAAGTTGGTTCATTATAATTATAATTTTGGGCAGTCACCGGGTAACCATTAGTCCCATTGGTATTCGATGTTTGCTCCGAAGATCTAACTTCTTCCTGGCCATTGTTATTCGAAGTGTAACTCTTGTCATTCTTAGCAGGCAAATTTCGACTTAATAATCCGAGTGTTCCATCGGTGACAACTTGCACAGCTTTCTTGAGCCGTGTTCCGGAACCTAGCATCAATTAGTAAACTAGTTTCAATCCAATGAGATGTCATTTACCAAGAAGTGAACCTATATCACCCATAATATCCAACCAAATGTCCATTTCCTCTCTCAATGCAGCCAAATCAGCTGATGAGGTCCCTCCACGCTTCTCCCATTGAGCAAAGAGTGTAGTAGTTAGTGCCATAACGAAGACTGAGGTATTGTACCAGGTAGTATCAAGACTCTTGTACTTCTGCAGTTGGCGAACAACTCCTAACATTTGCCGAGAAGACTCTACACAAATTCTCATACTCTCCGCATTGAAGTCTGGATCTGTGGTCATAGAAACTGATGGATGGCGAAGAAGAAGACGGAACTCTTGAGACCAGGATTGGGCATAGAGAGCAAATACTCGTCCTTCCTGTTCGTTATGTCCCAACTCCCCGTTCACAAGCTCTGGGGGTAAGTCATCTTTCCAAGCACGGATCTTTGCTTCCAATCTGTTGACAGTTGCAACATAGGTACTCGGTTGACGAGATATCGAATAGATGGTTGAATAAAGCTCCAAATAGCATGGTATAAGTTTGAAACCTTGGATTCCAATCTCATGATTACATTTTATTGGATTAGGTGGATCTATGCCCTCGCCAGGAATATAATCATCATCAATCTGTGACGGACATTCAACATCGTAATCTTCATTTCGAAGGGGCATTGGACGGCCAAGCTTGCCGCTAAGAGTAACATTGACAGCAAGGATGACCCAAAATGTTCGTCTGCGCATTTCGATGTCGAGTTCACTAAGCGTGTTCGATTCAGGTGCCCATCGTTTAATTGATCGGTGAAGACCAAGCTCAATGGCAAGAGTCATTGCCATTCTGGCAAGCACCCAACTGGCTCCCGGCTTAGGAAAGTTTCGAAGATGCAAGCAGATTAAAGCCAATGCTTGAACATCTTGTGCCGTGTGACTACATGCCAGTTGATAAAACATTCCAAGACAATAATGGTAATGCGTATTTGATTGAGAATTCAAACTTGCTTGTTGTTCCGCATCTTCCCAATTTCTGGTTGCATACTGAAAGAACATGATGGCGAAGAGCATATGAACAATGACATTCTCAGCAGTGGTGGGGCGAAAGGTAGGATCATCATACATGCGAGATAACTATATTGTCAGCCAAAGAAACTCATATCTCGACTGTAGTACACGTACCAATCTCATAAAAGTACCTCTATGGAGTAGAGGACAATACGGGTTAATAACACGAAAATACCATTCCGCATAAATGATGGCCTCTGAACGTGCTGGCAATTCAACCTTTTCAATCCTTGGATTTACATTCCAAGCCGATTGAAGAAACGACTGATATGATTTATTGTATAGTTGAGGATGGAAAATCGAAGGGTCTGGTTCATCCATGTCTGTTGAACGAAAGTCCGCAATATCAATTTCCATGCCCAAAATCGACAAAGCCGTCCCTTTGATTGCGCTCAAGTGAGAACTTCCAGGCGATACTCCGAGATAATTATCACCCATACATCCAGCGCGATACGCAGGCAATGCGCGAAACATATTAGTTTCTTGCTGCTGGCCATTGTTTGCCGTAGTTGAAGTTGGTGAGGTATAGGCTGGACCCGTCGTGTTCCATGTTGATTGCATGCCATTTGACGATTGACCATAACCATATTGTCCCGATGCTGAATCCTGATAACCATTCGCAGGTTTGATATCCGCACCGCTTTGCATTAATCGATGCTCCAATTCCTGAATTCGAAGGTGCAAGTCTCGATTCTGTTGTTCAATTCCCTCGACATAACCCCGCGATGTCGCACGACCTGTTATTCTATCTGTCGTTTTACATTCGTTATGGTTTTGAATACATGGCGAGCAACCGCCTGCCAAGCCATCGCATCTTATCTTACGAACCTATAATTAATCAATCATCATCATTAGTCAATTGAATCGACAGCTAAAGCGCGCAACACCATCGTTCATCCCATCTTTCCACTGCCCACTACCGACTAACTAACCTTACAACGGTCGCAAGCTTGACCAGTTCTCGTTGACGCCAACAACTTCTTCTTTACGGTATTTGAGAATTCTTCAGGATGTTGTTCCGATTTAATGTGCTTAGCAACCGGCGCATTTGAGCCATTTGGTTCACCTGAAGCATTTCGTTTTGGAGGCATCGTCGCAATTAATGCGCCGGAAAACGCCGTATTATGTACTGAGGTGGAAGAAGCCGTTGGACACCCAATCCGTCGGTTCTGTCGGTTCTCAATTATATTGTCCGCCGATACTTTGGAACTATTGGATTCTCCTAATACTGATCCTTGGAATTGCCATGAAGAATTGGTATAAGAATTCAATAAATCAAATTGTCGATTGAGTCGCTCTTGGTGATTAGTTTGAGTATGAGGTGAATTGAATTGCGACAATTGTACACCGAGACCACCATGAAATATCATTGTGAGCGGCGAAAGCCAATAGAAATGGATTGTGTTCTTTCTTCGTGGAGCTAATACCGATTGAGATGGAATTGGATAAGGTTTAGGCCTTGGCGTTGAGGCATCAACTTCTCCCTCATCCAAGATTCAAGTGATGAAAGAGTTCATACAATTGAGCCCAGTATCACTCATCAACCAAAGTTCAACATATGGGAGAGAGATGAAGAATAATCCTCATACATTGATGATAGGAGTAGATCAAATCCGCATAGGTAGTATTATAATGGTAAAGATAGATATGATGGCCATCTATGATGAAGGGGAATACATATGTCAAATATATTGATGAAAATTTGATAGTTGTTAAAGATAGAACATCTAGATCGACTTTGTTGGAAGAAATATGCACATGAATGCTAAGTTATTCTATTTCCAGAATAAAGAAAATGATGTGTTAAGCTTTAGGATTAAGGGACAACAAAAGCTTCTACATACGTCGTCCTAAAACGATATACTAAAAGAAGAGGAGGAATAGGAGTATATTATCCTCTCGGGAGGTTAGAATCGTAAGAATAACCTTGGAACAAGAGCTTCCTCATGCATCAATGATCAATCTAAGATTGATCTCCTTTCCCCTTTTTGTCCCAGAATTCTGGGGTTTTCCGTAGTTTTATATCTCAAATAGCCCCCTTTTATATCATTTTTGTATTCACACTAAATACACCTACCCATAGCATAGAATGACAGAAAATATTCCGAATTGCTTAGAGACGCCTCACAAAATCCTACAACTCATTCCAAATGCCGTGCTCGATTCTGATTCTGGACCGTATAGAAATGTTCATGTAGAATGTTTGAACTCCTTGCATCACCTCAACCCCTATTGCAAGAGCCGGGGAAGAACAACACATATTCAATCACATATCTTGGATCTGAATATCAGACTCTGGTACTGTCTCCCCGCCCCTCGGGGATGCAACACAGCCAGCCACCCGTTACACAATCCCCTTTGCATTCCTTTCCCCCAAACCAATACACATCACCCGGAAAATACCCAGCCCCAAGCAATGACACTCCCCTCGTTCCATAGGGCCAATTTGGAAAACATGGCTTACACGTGGCTGTTTCTTTGTCCCCCGCATCCCTCAAGCATTGAAAAGGTACAACGACGAGAGTCTCAACACATCAGGAATGGCTTGGCAAGTTGGCCTCCTGTGATTGAAGTATCACAAAGGAAAATATTGGCTGGTTCTGGAACCGTCATCTTTCCTAACAAATTTAGAAGAGAAAATCCTTTACTGTCGGGATTCAAGAGGTCGCCGGGCACTTCGTATTGATGGAATAAACCCACCTTTAGCGAGGAGCGCGAAAATAACCTTTGAGCCAAGAGACACTCCGTTGATAGTCATCCAATCACAATGCATTTTCGACCGTCTATTTTCGTATTAAAAATGCGTCTCTCTTGAAAGTTGGAACAGAGAGCTAAAAGAAGAATATCGATAATTATCTAAGTTCCTCTTCGCAGAAAAATTCTTCTGCTCATCGCGATGAATCGTAAATTTGGAAACTCAAGCTCGAGCCAAGCCAAGTATCTCAGTCGTAACAAAGCGAACAGTCCGAACAGGTGGGAAAAGAAAGCAATTGTGACACACGTTGGCATGATATCGCAATTTCTATAGATCTTTCATATCTTTAGTGAAAATGCCACCAGGTGCGACCATCACCACACTATTAGCGGTGCCTCAAGCTCCCTAATCATACTTATATCACGTGATCAACCACATTTCCCCAGGAATATTACGGACTCACCATCTCCATGCGCAAACGACCAAAATCCAGTTCCAGCCAACCAAACAACAATCCCCCAATCCCCCTTTCCGAAGATCACAACAGAAACTCCCACATCATTCACACCTCGAATCCCAACCATGGCGCCTGCACTTCTCCAAACCATCCCCCTAGAACATCTCCCCGAATCGCACACCCTCCACATCGCCTTGTACCGCAACATCACCAACGCTTCTTTCCTCCACCAACAACTCCTTACCGGAAACACCGATTTCGAATATGCGTTTATCGACGCGACCGTTGTACGTTCTCTTCTTCTTTCCCTTCTCTTTCTTCTCTCAAAAATCACTCATTACCCCTCCATTGCCCCACCATCAGAATCATTTTTAATATTGTCACGTGACTAATCTCTAGATTGGGGAATGGATAGGTCCTTTCGAAATTACATATTTTAGCAGCAGCATATAGAGCGATTAATGATGCATTGGAAGAGAGATTAAAGAGTCGAAATATTCATTCGGAGATTGTTTTCTCGCTGAGTATGAATAATAATGTATGTTCGCTTCTGCTTCCCTCCTATTTTGTTATCACCCTTTTCCTTATAATACACTCGATCAGTACATGGTCACGTTTGAAGGTACACTAAATCACACAAAATGTCATTTATTGCGCACTTTCTTCATTACTATCAATATATCATCCAGCAAAATTCCCCCACGAATAGACTAACACACCCCTAAGATTGCAGAATCTTTCCGTCGCTTCGGTATAACCCCAACTACCACCTCTCTCCTCGTCGTCAAAGTAGCACCCGCATCCTCCGCGTCTCAAATATCAGAACATCTTTCGTCTGTGATTGAAGGTGAACCTGTTCCATTTGATGATGAGTCTTTAGCGAGTATGGTGGATATTGCGAGAGTGAAGAAACTTTACAAGTTGAACGCTCTTGGCGGTGGCGCGAAGAAAGGCGGTGCGAATGGCGTGAGTGGAAAAACTGAGAATAAAGTGGATGGGACGAAAGAATTAGAGATCATGGTTCTGGGTGCGATGGCGCTGAGGGGTGCTACCAATTAGCGAAGTTGGTTAATTAATGAAATCGTTGTTATTGTAGTATGAAAACTTGCGCATTTAGGAATAATGGAGCCACCAGTGTGTCTTCTTATTTGTTTAATTGTGATGATTCAACCCTAAAGTCATGCGTGAAATATCGACCATTATCGCTACAAATCTTATACCTTTGGCCACGCCTAGAGTTGCAGCGGTCGGGATAGAAAGTCATAAACGAGAAAAGAAAGAAAGAGACACGGCTTTCTACAGGTTACAAGCAAGAAATAAAAGTTTCATGAGTGAGTTGAATTTAATATTCCGGATGCATTTCGTGTGAGGATGGTTTCATTGTGTGGACGAAAATCAAGGACTAGGAACACTTCATGTTCGGACTACAATCTAGAGTATTCAGATCCTACCCAGATTCTTGCGGTCTTACCAGTCAGTCTCAGTTGTATCCCACTAGTAACAGATCAGCGTTGTTTTTAAATAATGAATCAATACCCGTTAACACTCAAAACTTACAGGAATATCTTCCTCCTTCAATTCGATGTGAAGGAAGTTGTGAATATATTCCCCCTCTCCAGCTACTGCAGAAGTATTCAACTTGAGGTTGTTCTTGGTGATGTCTTCTAGGATATCCGAGAGGTAAAGAAACTTCTGCAGTCTCACGTGGTATTGTACAAGTGAGTCTTTGGTACCAGATACCGAAGCATTTAGAAATCTTCCGGCTTCTTGTGGGGATTTTTTCATAAGTACGTTTTGTATACTTCTCGCAAGGGTTGTTCCCACTTGGTTATGTGCATTCTCAGCCAGCCTTGCAAGTCTTTTATCCTCTATTTTTGTCTTGAATGGTAGCTGGTTGGGAGGCCAATACCCAGAAATCAGAACGAGACAGTCGTTGAAAAGTTCGCGATGTCTTAGTTTGAATGCTAATTCCAGCAATACCTCCCTACAATCGTATACACTGGCAAGAAATTTCGGGCTGCGGAAGAAAGCTGAGTAGAGAGAATTTGACACCACAGGTAGACAACGGTAGAAATCGGCCAAGGTTGTAATCTCTTGCAGATGCTCCGTGCTTGTAATTTCGTACGGCTTTTGGTACATGCTCATGATGATATTTTCAAAGGCCATAATATCCAGATTACCACAACTAGTTGCACTTCGTTGCTTCTGTAGCATGTGTCAGAATAGTGGATACAAATAAGCCTGACGGTGGATGTCTGAACTATGCATGGCACACTCTCGAAGTCATGTCGAAGATATTGCAATACGGCAATCTTCTTCGACATACAAAGTATAAATGGGAGACTGAAAATGTGTTTGGAGACCCAAATTATCTCAAGGATTCAATCCACTGGGGCGATTCTAGTATAAGGTTAATGCCATGATTGCACATGCAAACAGGACTTTGTTCAAAAACCTTTCAACAATCTATCATCTTCACTACTATATATCAAACTTCCAGTAAATCAAACTGACCTTGGATTCCTGACCTCTTCTATCAACAACATACCAGCTCCCATCTTCCTCAACCTTTGCAGTCCATTCATATTTCCACATTGCACTAGGAGAAGCCGATTCCTTGTCAGGAGAGTCCATAAATTTCCGGAAATAAGCGGAGTATAGCTTCAAAATACTAGCGTGAACTCGCAATTCTTTAAGCTGAAAAATGGTGATCCGAGTGTCGGGCTGCTGTCCCGGTAAGGAAAATGTCACGACTTGGGGAGAAGGCATGCTTGTTTCTGACTAGATGTAAGCTTTTGATAATAGGTAACGGGCGATTTTAGACAAACAAACAAACAAACAAACAAAGAAACAGACTGAATCGATTGTCGACCAAAGCTGATGAGCGTATTTTTGCGCGGCTGCGCAACGTTCTAGTTCCAAAAGATTCCCGCAAGCTTTGACTGAGGTACAAATATGGTATGAATGTCTGTGAACGGCACTTTGAATATCTGACTGAAAAAAATAAAGAGATCAGAAAGGGATGAGCAAGAGATGAAGTTAAGAATGGAAGTGCTGATGATATGTCGTCAGGCGGGGAAATGCAGGTGTCCGGAGGAATCCTTGGAAATCCATCCTCATTGGGTGCATCACGTGTTGATGACATGTTAGTACATTACTATGGTTACACTGCAGGGAATAAGCGTTTGAAAATCTTGAAATTATAACCAGCAACTACATCTTGGCTGAAGTATGTCAGAGAAATTGAGTCAGTGGTACTATTCGGCATCTAAGTGTGTGTATGATCTGGGTAAGATTAATGAAGTTGGCAGTTGCAATTGGACCTTAAGCGATATATAAACACTTCTGCCCGGACTACGCATCACACGAGAAAGACTTCTGAGTATTAATATTGATCAATCTACTCAATCTAATGGGTTGATACAATCCACGGAAAGCCTTTGATATCATAAGGGTATTCAAAAACATGGTAATCGAGAAGACAGAGGTAGATTAGATGAGAACTCTCTGATAGAAAACTCGTACTTGCTAGCTTTATGGTGACTGCTACCTATTATATCAGATATCCTGAACCCAAGTTAGGTAACGAAACGAAGATTTTAAGTATCCATTCTCTACATAGAAAAAATAGGGGCCAAACTTGCTTACTCTCATAAATTCTACAATAAATCAATCGATAATAGAATTTCAAAAGTCAATAATATGGACTAAATTCTTGAACAATCTTCATTCGTGAAACTATTCAAACCTGGAATTCTCCGAATTGAAATGGAACAATCGGGTTGTTGAAGGCCTTTGCCAGGGGTCAATTCCGGCCTGTGTTTTCTCCTACGTAGAGCTACTCAAACCTCACACCACCATCACCATCACCATCATCACCTAACACCAAGACCACTCATGTAGCGCTTTTAAGTAATTATCGAATCATTGAGCCATCGAAGTGGAGGAATCTTGATTAACCATTGACGATCGAATATCAAACAGCTACCAATCGGTTTCGGTAGTATCCCACTACAAGATTAACGTTAGTACAGAGCAAGTCAAGTACATTAATTCGTATATTGTGAAGTATTCAGTTCAAAAGTTTAAATGAGCTTACTGGCAGGTCCTCGTCGCTCAAATCTGCGCAGAAAAAATGATAGTCGAAATAACCGACTCCTGCCATGGCTGAATTATCCAGCTGCAAGTTTCCGGAAAGCACATCATTTAAGTCTTCGAAAAACTCCTCTTCCCGGTCAAGCAATTTCCTATAGAAATATGGCTGGCAAAAGAAATCTTGTTCCAGTACTTTGATGCTAATCTCTTTCATCGTCTTGAACAACTCACGACTTGAACCAGCCTTTGTATACATTGCTTCTTGGGCTTCTAGATGATTTTCGAAGATTTTGTTCCGTACAGCCATCAGTACCTGTTGTAGAGCCTGTTGTGTGTTGAGATTCTTGTCCTGGTACAGTAAAGGAGACATTCGTTGCATGGTACCAGCAATGAAGATAACACAATCTCTGAACAATAGGGGCTGACGGAGCTTGTACGCTGACTCGATGAGATCGCGTGCTTTATGAATGTCAAAGTTGGGGCTCATGGAGAAACAAGCATACAAGTTATTTGACGCTGCTGGCAAACAACGATAATAATTTGCAAGCTTCGCAAGTTCAATCAATTGCTCTGGATTAATCTCAAATGGTATGCGATAAATGCAATTAAGCATGCTGAGAAAAACTTCTGTTGCTGGCTCTGAAATGCCTTCCGATAATTTCTTTTAACTTTTTTTCTAGATCCACCCCAGTTAATATTTGCACCATGCATAAGAGGGTACATATCATTTGAATCTCATACTTTACTATCAGCAACAACATGCCATCCAGATCCATCATCATCGACCTCATCGACCCATTCATACGCAAAGGCTGCTCCAGCTTTTGCAGGTATCTTATCCGGAGAATCCACGAATTTCCGAAAGAACGCAGAATGCATTTTGAGTAAAGGTGAGTGGGCATGAGTTTCTATCTTTTCGAAAAGACGAAATCGGGTATCTAAAAGCTGGCCTGGGACTTCGAACTTCTTGATCTGTACTTGGGGGTGCTGAGCCTCCATCAGATAAAGCAGCTCCTGCCATCGTTGTTATTTGTTGGTTGAACTTTGGAAAAAGGGGCGAAGGGAAATTGAAGAAGAAAACCTTAGCGTCGTTAATATGGCGGCAGTGCAGACGTACTCGCGTGTTCAAATCCCTATATTCACTATTAGTGAATCACATGACTGATACATATCTGCCGTTTGTTTTTTGTTATTGAGGCTGTCAAGGTCATTAGGATTATTTAGATTAATAGAATTGTTCAGATTGTCAAGATCTTAGGATTGGTTCCATTAATTCTTGATGTCTAATTAATGCTGCAATCAAGAGACCACATCTATTCGAGAGCATTTTCGCAAACACGGCCTACCCAGATATGAAAGAAGTCACTTCGTGACGTGGCTACGCAGAAATTATAAAAATACTCACAAGCTGTCTAAAGAATATCTGCAAGCTTCATCATCCGCTCTGCGAACACTCAATTCACAGCCTACTTGCAAGTGCATTTGGAACAATGTACCTAAAAATTGAAGTAAAGTTCAAGTCATGATCTAAATCGACGGAAGAACGTTCAATGGGTACACTATCTGTTATTGCTATCTAGACTAAATACTACGTTCACGATATATGGCATCATTTAAGATACACGGCAAACGGCCCAGATGAGCTAATGCTTAGCGATGTGACCGCACTATCATTGCCTTTCCCATGTACCATATCGAGATATTATCGAAGAATGATACTCCGTTGTAGATTCAACATCTGTAATCTTAAGATCTATTTGTTCATTAGTGTTGAATTCGATGTGACGTTTGACATATGTTCTACCCACTAGAACTAGACAAGATGAGGGATACGTACAGGCAATATCTCTTGGAGATGAGGAACATGGGTTATTTACCAGTCGGTCTCAGTCGTGTCCCACTAAACAGATAAGCGTCAGTAACTTAAGAGAAAAATGTGCTCAAATCAAGGGACTCGGTGTTACATACTGGTAAATCTCTGTCCAACAATCTTGCACAATAAAAATTATTCTGATCACTCATACCACGGGCACCCGCTTCGTGACTGACTTCACACGGTAAACGTAACTCGCATTGGAGCACGTCAAAGAGGGCACTGGCGAATTCGCTGTCGTGCTCCGACAGAAGTCTGAAGTAACGAGGCAAGCTCAGCTGCCCTTCTGTTTCCTCAAAGCCAATCTCCCAACAGTAACCTAAAAATTTCAAGCGTTCTTCGCTTGGTGTGCATAGCATGAGACGTTTCTGGGCTTCGACTACTCGTCGATTAACCTCATTACGTGCTTTCATCATGACATCATAGATCACTCTGTTGCATACATAATGATAATTTCCGGAGTTAGGAGGCATATAACCAGCAACGTGAACGAGGCAATCTTTGAACAGAAGGGATTGACGAAGCTTGTAGGCAATATCAAGAAGCTTGACGGCATGTTCCGCGACATATTCATTATTGCTTTGATCGAAACAAGCGAAGAGATTGTGTGAGACTGCCGGAAGACAACAATAGTAATCTGCCATCTTGGTGACGATGAACAGTCGGGTTACCCAAATCGTATATGGAATACGGTATAGTGCGTTGAGCATCTCAATGAAGACCAGGACCTCCATATCCCAGAATGTATTTTCCGATAGGACATTATTATTTGCCTTCTGAATTTTGGTCAACGTTAGTTGTCATTCAAGACTAAACAATCTTGAAGATTTAGTGAACCTACCGCGTGGGATTTTTCAACCATGTGCCATTCGCCATCCTCCTCAATCTCACTGACCCATTCGTATCGAAACTCTGCTGACGGCTCTGCAAGCTTTTTGTCTGGAGAGTCAAGAAACTTGCGGAAGAATGCTGAGTGTAGTTTCAGGACTGTAGAGTGTAGGTGAATTTCTGTTTCATCGAACAGAACAAATCTGGTATCAGGTTTCTGATCCGGAATTGAAAACACCTTAAGTTTTGGGGATAGTCTATGAGTCTGATCCATGATTGCTCCTGTTCGACTATAATAGTATGAATTCGTTGCTGTTAGGGTAAATGAATTCTGAAGTAAAGACTATGAGTGTTAAATATTTGACAGAAAGAGTCTTGAAGGAGAGGAAGATGAATTAAATAAGCCTAGGGGCGCTAGTTTCGCCAATTTAGCCGGGGTGGTGGAGACGTACGGCTGCTGATACTAAACGAGCGTATAATATGTTTTCCCGGTCACTGTATCAGTCTAATTGTTCAGTAGACATTCACTACTAATAATAACTCCCCAAAATGCTGATTCGAATGATTCATTTCTATATATTAACTTGGATCAGAGGGCAGTAAGAAAGAACTGCGCCTCCATGCTTCTGACCCTGAATGTAATGCTACCAGTGCCCCCGCTAGGGAAGCTGCTTTTATAAATATCGAAGTTATGGCATATACCCCGCGGCAGAGTTTTTGAACATGATCACCGAGGGGGTAGATGAAGGCGGCTTCCTACTTCTCTGGGCTTTTGTTCAAAATATTAACATTTTCTAACTTCTTTCCTTTTACGGCAATCCACACAATCACAATATCGCATTCCCAGAACAAATTCACTTTTCAAATTTGGCAGAACATTAATTTACCAAAACGCAAATAATTTGAATATGAATTGCGTGCATATTAGGACATTGGCGTATATTGTCTTATTTCTTGGGTCTTTAAGGGACATTTCACTTTATCTGTAGTATCGAGCGTGTAGATACCAGGAGATCGAATGGCATCCAATATGATTCCAAAGGAATCGTCTTGTGTTCAAGTCTCTGCAATGCTTGTCTGTCTAATTTGAAGACTTTCCTTCCTCTATTCAATCATCACTTGCACTCACGCAGCCAGCATCTACAGCCAAACCGAAGCTTGCGAAGAACGCAACTCTGTACAGCTGACATCCGCATACATACATACTTGATTGGTCATTGACATCTGAGCAGGATTGGAATTTCCCCATGTCTTCATTCACACAGACTTATCACCAGGAGAGCATTTGCGTATATTTTGATCACGCAAACTATCTTTGCAGATTGTCTTGCATAGTGTTATTCTTGGATACTCTATCATCTTAGTTGATAAGAGTATAAGCGGCATGACCGTTTATATGACCAAATAATCAGTGAAAAGAGCAAGACCCTTTTCTATGATCTGATAACTATCACACTCTGCGGAAACCTCTGCGTGTAGATGTTATGTGCTTTTGCGAGCACAGCTACCTATTATAACACTTCAGTGATCAAACTGTGATCACACCTTTTCTCCAGCACAAACACGGCTGTAAAAAAAACAGCTTGATCAGGCCTTTCAACGCATTATGCTCAACATAATTACAGCCCCATCGAAAACTTTTCTCACCAATCGGTTTGGTTAAGATCCCACTGATATCATAATGTTAGTGTTTCAAAAACCTCCAAAGCACAAAATCGTCGCAGTTCTTGGACAGAAGGCCATACAGGCCTACTGAAAATCTATTTAGGTAATAATAAAATTGCTTACCAGTAGATCCTCGTCCTTGATCTCTGCACACAGAAAATATGACTGAACATCGTTAGGTGCCTTTCCAGGAAATACAATATCCCCAGCCCGTAAAGACTTGTTGAAGATGAGTTCGTTCTTCAATATGTCACTAATAATAATCGGCCAATTCGGTGAGTAGCTGCAAAGCCTCGGTATTTTTGATTACCCATAACTTTTCGTAGAAAATCCCAACCAAGTTTATAAATGCTGTTTCATGTAGTTTTTGGGTACGTTTGATTTGTCTTGGCATCAAATTCAAGCTTGGGTTGTCATGCTACGTGTGAAAAGTCAGTCAGCCAGTCCATTCGCGAAATTCCAAAAACCTACTTTTATATTCCTGGCGTCAAACAAACTCCAGCTTCTATCATCGTCGTAGACTGTTACCCATTCATATTTGAAACCTCCAGTGTTTTCATCTTTGTCATCCCTCCCAGGTGAATCTAGAAACCTTCGGAAGAAAGCACTATGGAGCTTCAAAATCACCGAGTGAACATGGAGCTGCAGTCCATCAAAAATACTTAGTTTAACATCGACTTTATGACCGGGCAAATGGAAGGTATGAACGGTTGGGGATGCTGGTCCGTACTCTTCGTATTCAAGCTTTCTCTTTTTGGCTGGATGAATTGTGAAGATTACATGTGTGTAATAATGCTGCTATTCCTTTGACGATTTGAATTGATGGGGACAAAACTGATGATATCTTTGTTATTGTAAAGATGGAAGAGAACATTGTTTGCGAGAAGGTGGAGTAGTTAAGCTTAAATATTAGCATATTTCTGAGTTTGTTACAGATGGTTTATATCCAGTACGGCAACATTTAGTGGTAGCTATTGTTGATTCACTTGAATAATAGCAGGGCTAGAAAAACCCTTCTGAATGATTAGCAGGGTTTCCGTACCCTCTTTCAAAAATCTATTGTAGTGTCATCTGACAATAGGCGAGAGAAGAAAGCACAGGCATGATCGTTTGATGGTTTTTCTTTCTATACTATATTATGTGTTTCAGTATTTACAACCTTCTGACTTGGGTTGATGGTTTGATGAATTTTCGAGCGTTGTTCTACTCTTTTCTTGGCCTCATTTTTTATGAGTTCGAATTCCAAAGAGCAAGAAGAAAAGACGGATAGGAGATTACACTCTTATGACTAAGGCGATGTTATGAAGCGAAGACGGAGAAATAGGAAGTCGCGTCAATGTCAGACTCACAGCTTGCGTGCATGCTATTCAACTTAGATAACCTCATTTATGACTTAGAGTCCTCATCTTATCACACACGTCTACTTAAACTTCCTTCGGTGGGTCCTGCGAGTGATCTCTCCTACTCTAATACATTCCTTTGGTCGGATATGTACACGACAGGCGCAAGACTAATTCCAAACACCGGTCTTTATTGGTATAAATAATGCGCTTCCATTCCAGCTCTTGATCTAAGGTTCCATCACCACAATCGCCAGCTCTCTTCAAATCAATATTAGCTGGGGAGGTTCCCCAAGTTTGCGAATTCAGGCGATTTGCCAGTTATCAGATTTTGAAAGGAATACTCTTCTGATCACTTGCGGGCATGTGATTTTTGGAAGCGCATGTTTGGACGAAAATCGATTTCCTGTAAACTAATTCTTGATCGATATGACATCAAACTAGGCAATTAATGCCCGATGTTAACACATGAAGATATTGCAATGGAAAGACTAACTTGCGCCCCTTGGCATGCTTCTTTCCAAACTTGAAACGTTTAAGCTTCTGTGCTTCAAGACTTTTGATTGGTTGACCCTTACCCTATCGCTATGAGTATCTGAGCCTCAGGAGTTTCCTCTTCTCTCAGTCTAAATTATCACATCAAAGAGTGTTGGAAAGCTTCATATCGTCAATGGAGTCACAGTTTCCTTTTCGCGATTCTTCATGAAGAAGGTGCATATAGCATGATTTGATTTTATCTTGAAGCAACGCTAATTTATCGCTCTTTCTATATACGTACCAAATCTACATATCGCTCGACCCGCACCGTCGTAATTCTTTTCCAATACGAAAACATCACTGTCAGATACATTGCATTCATTATCAAACATACATTCTACTCCGAATAAGCCAGAAATAGTACAATTTTCATCAGACTTAACCCAAAATGTCCAGCTCAGTAATCACATTGTCTGCGGTAGGAGTAAGTAGTGAGAATTTTGAAATCGATTGATTATCTGATTGACATTCATATAGCCATTACTTCCCAGGAATCTAGACTTTAAGAAAATATTCGTCGGTGAAGACCAAACCATCCACTTGATAGCTTCGAATAGGATACATATCATAGGCACACTGGAAGGAATGCTGTACAAGCTCCGCGGAGAGAACATTGAGTCGATCTGTTATAGAATTTTAATAACACCATTTGAAACATTGTTTTGTGCCGATGTTCTTGGATACCCAAACACACTCTTTGTTGCCACTAAGGAGAAGCTCGGCTTCGTAGGAAATTATAATTCTCCAGGAGAGAGAGATTCTCGAGTTGTTTCTGAAGGATTCTCACCAGAATCCCAGTCAGACATGGAAATACCCAACAAGATACGTTACACTGGGGGCATCGTGGATTGCGAGGGGAGAGTTTGGTTGATGACTTGTAAGGGAATAAACTCCTCTGGCCAACTCTTTCACCTTGATAAGGACTGGAAACCAGCCAATCCTCGATACGTGAGTACCCAGCGTTTCAGTGGAATATGTTGGAGCTTGGATGACCGAACCATATACATCCATGAGATGGCGCGAAATAACTGCATACTTGCTTACGACTTTGATATCGAGACAGGCATCATTAAAATGGACAAACACAGGCTATTTTATGAATTCGAAAATCCCAAGGAATATCCAATGGCTTTTGCGATAGATTCAAAAGATCATATGTGGTGCGCAGTAGCTGGGACCTCAAGAATTATCAAGATAAGCCCACAGAGTGAGATTGTGGGAGAAGTTCATTTGCCATATCCTCATGAACCTATCGACTTGCAATTCATCGGCAACGAGTTGGTTATCCTTACAAAAAGAAACTTTAAAAGTGATGGAGTTTTGCCGATGAGTGATACTTCTCATGAATTGGTAAAGAATAGCAAAGAAGCACCGCATGGCAACATCTTCACTGTGGATATTGGCTACATTGGTAAACCAAGATATTTCTATAAGTTGGACCCAGAGGAACTTTCTTTGTTGAAGAATTCTGGTCTATCTTTTGGGGAAAATTTTAGAGTTTCTGAGGGAGGTCTTGAGCGCTTTGTCAGTTCGATCTGGTCTGACATATCGCGAAATATATAATACTAGCGTTGGTCATGTTCTTGCCATTGATATTTACCAATTGTATCGGGTTTTGGGCGGCTCCAAGAAGAAGATGGTCAGCATGTTGTACGTTTGTGCTCCAAATAGGAATCTTGCCATCAGCGGGTTTAACCGGAGTTGTGGGAGTATTAGCGATAGATTCAATGCGTATAGGTCCCTATCATGCAAAAATGATAATCCAGTTTGAAGAGTTAAAATTGAGCGAAGCCTTCGATAGAAATTGAATGAAGTACATTCAAGCGATTGGAATACTAGATGCATAGGCATAACTAATTTCAATTTCTAAGTCTCAAATCTACTCATTCCCCTTTAGGCAATACAATGACAGGGAAAATAGCTTTCATGGGCACCGTACTACCAGATCTAGCATAGGATAATAACTAGACTAGATTATAGACTATAAGCTACCAAATTATTGCGTAATAGGTTACAAACCAATCAAGGATCACTTTCTGTTCTCCAAAAGTATTATTGCATATCTTACGGGTCTATAGTACAGCTTTGATCCTGACAAGCTTGTATGTACTTGTATAAGTAGTTCACCCCGCAAAATGCTTAATCTGGTACTTGGTCGTCCTATTTTCCATATTTTGAATATATCTGTTACATCCAAACCGCAATATCCCAGGTTGATTGTCGTCATTTTTGTAGGATAATGGTCATTTGGGGAGAGAATTTGGTGTCCGTAATCCATGGCGAATGGCTTTCACGAGCATCATGGATTCTTTATAATAGGAGGAAACACAAACTCAGATAGTGGCTATTGGTCGTAGGGGATACTTTCTATGAAGTAACAGCAAAGAAAAGAAAAACATAGCTAAGACAAACATGTTGGGAGTCTATCTTAAACACATTATCAGTGGCGTCAAGTCTGCCGTGATTGAAACTGTAGTATTTCTTGATCTAATATACACGTCAGCCCCGCAGAAAATGAAACGCTAATTATGCGGTTTCTTCAAACGTCACTGAAAAAAATTTCGAAAACAGCCCTCATAGAGATTTTCTCAAAGATTCTAAAACATCTCGGCTAACAGAGAGTCACACTGAGGTCCGTGAAAGACATCTTGACTGAGAACATTGTAGATAATGGAATTGATGAATTTAGAGAATAGCGATTCTAGAAGATTACCCAAGTTCAGAACTCTTCTCGAATTCGAAGTGGTATGCCCTGCACTAAACTTAGCGCATCGCTGGTCGAGACTGGTTCAGAAAACTAATGTGTAGCGCGATGACTAGAGGTATTTGGCACCCGTCAAGTGATTAGCCCAGTCCAGATAGAAATTCAAAGGTAGATAAAAAGAGATTGAGCCCTTCGAAATTTACTGAGCACTCAACAAAAACTCTGCAAAAGACACTCTCAAATTCCTTTACATATTTCATTCCTAAATTTGAAGATTTACCTCAATTTCACTACCTATTATCGGTCATCATGAGTTTTCCAATTCCACAAAAGCCTGATGCCGATGGCAACAAGATAACCGAGCCTATTACACTTCACCAACCAGGCTTTGTGAATGACGTCCGTCTGAATGTCTTCGGCCAAGTGTATTATGCTCACTCCATCATCCTCAAACTACATTCCAAATATTTTCGGTCAGCTTTAGAATGGGGAGGGAACCATGCAGTTCCAACAGGAAAGTTGCTTTATGATTTTACCTCTGTAGTTGATGAAGATGGATTTTGGCTTATGGAGTTAATCAAATCGGTACACACACCAATCCAAGAATGAAGATGCTTGTCTAGACGATGAACACTAACATATCGTAGACATCAAATTTCGATAACCTCACGAACACAAACAAACTAAGAGCCGGGCAAACTGAAGAAGGAGAAAGGCGTGCTTTCGAAGCCGTACTCTTCGCTTTTTACAATAGACCATACCTCATTCGCGACTTTGAAAGTTTCAATGACATCGTCCGCTCGGCAGAATCCTTGTGTGCGCGTCCGGCCCTTTCACATACTCTGGATTCCGCATTTCACAGAAGTCCCGGATTTACTGGTACGATCTGTCAGAACAGTGACTCTTTGATTCGAATCGCTAAACAGCTACACCACCCTATTCTCTTCCGGGAGTGCTTAGTTTACGAAGTTTCAAAGGCAAAAAGTACCGCTGGCAAAGAACATTGGCAATTAAAGTTCGACGACGACGAAGATATCAAATCTTGTTTCCGTAAAGCACTCCATAGTGTTGACTATATACGGAATTCCATTGATTGTGGCATCGATTTTTTTAGGAAAGACTCGAGGGAATGGCGAAGAATGTTGATGGTGAAACGTGGTATGATGGATGATGTACTAGAGTACCAGAGTGCTACCTATTACCGAGAAGTGATGAGGCGTTTGGAAGCTAAAAAGTTAAAGAATATCAATATGGAGTGGTATCAAAATTTTCTAACTTTATTATCAAGCAACTTGACTCTTGACGGAACTTTAGGTCGTGTCGGCGAGGAAAGAAGCCCTGGCACACAGAGTAACAAAAGGGGCTTCTTTTGTGCCAAAATTCGGGATGAAGATCTTCCCTGGGATCGGGAAAGTGTGGACTGGTAAAGATCCAAAGTGTCGATGTCAATATTTTTCCACATTTTGGAATATAGCGTCTTATTTTGGCCATATATTGTCGAGATTTGGAGAATCATGAATGATAAACAGCGTTTAGAGTATATGGGGTCAACTTCTATAATACTCTTTCTAGAATATAACAATAATTTAAGGAAAAAGGGGCTTGCAAGTGATATTGTTCTATCTGGCTGTGAAGCAGATTGCGGTCTCTTGAGCCATGGAAATCTCAAAGGTTTGGGAAAGCTCGATTCAAGATAGATATTTGATAGAAATTAAAGTCTAAACAGCCCCAAAATACTGTGAAACATTTTTCGTGTAGTAACAAATATCAAGATATCCCTTGGGGTTGGGATATTGGCGATTGGAGAAGGCGATAGTAGTATGACGGAGATATCGAGCCCTGGTTAGTGGATGTAAATAATGGTATACCAGCCATCTCTTCGCGCGCTTATCCTTGTGCACCAAGCGATTTGCGGGAGGAATAAGAGAGAGTAAGTATACTGATACTCGTTGTCGCAAATTCAAGGAACGTTCTCCTCGAAAAACCGGGACGTCAGTGGAATCAATAATCTACCTTCGCTAGTAGCAATTCCAGACGCTGATACACAGCACGATGAGAATTGATTTCAACTAATCAATATGGTTGTTGAAGAACCAAAATGAACAATTTCATTTGAAAAGATTCCATATCATTTCGAATTTTTAGAGAACTTTATATCCTCAATATCCACAATTATCAATTGAGTCGACGTCGATGTCGTGATCTTCCGCAAATCTAACCCCCACGAATCCAAAAATAGAAACATTAGTCTGCCCCACATTACATCTTGCGACGTCAAATCTCGAACAATCCAAACGTCTGACCCCCTTTCCCTCATTTATATATATCTTTCTTCTCTTCTCTTACATCTCTTATACTCGCATCATGCCAGAATTCAAGAATGTCACATCTGCCGCATCCTCGCAGATGTCGAACTCTTCTATACACAATCTTTCTCTTATTTCTCATTACCATTCTCTTTAAATCTCGATTCCCCCGCGAATCCCCGAAAGAACCTCTAAATGAACATCTCGATACACCAGTATACGAACATGCCTCACCCTACCGACTCCATGCAAATCGCACACATGAAGCCAATCTGGAGAAGCAATTGATCGAGATCGAAGAAAGCATTATATCTTCCCTTCTCGAGCTTGAAAAGGACATTCGAGCGCCTAAAAAAATATGGCAAATCACTTCCGCAGCTGAAGCGCCTAATTGGAAAGGCTGGACACAAGAATGGGCGACCAAAAACCCAAAGTGGGAGATAAAACAATATACCGCATCACCCGGCCCAGATATCCTCCCATATTTTCGCTCCATACCTTCGATTTCTCAAACTCTTTCCGCACATCCAGAACTCGAAGTCGATTTGTTTAGATGGCTATTACTTTGGTATCATGGGGGCTTTTACTTGGAACCGGATATTTGGCCTCGAATGGGCATTCAAGAATGTTTCGATATGGATTCTATCGAGCATCCTTCTCTATCCTTGCCTCGACGATATCCGAATTCAACAGGGAGATATGTCGAACAGCGAGAGCGATCCAGCCCCATAAGTTTAGTGTTGGGAATCGATATCGATGAACCATATATGGCGCCTCATATCCGAGAAAAATGGGGTTGGTCGAGGACATTTAGTTTTGCTACTTATGCCATGTGGGCACCGGCAAGATTCGATCCGCTATTGAGAAAAGCGATCGTGAGATGTGTTTCACATTCTTCTATGGCCTCTATTTTTGGAGAAGAAGTCGATTCAAAGGAATCCGGGGAAGTTTGTGGGGGTGCCATGTTAACCGATATTGTCTTGGAGATGTTGACCGAGAATTTGAAAGAGGTACACAAAGTACGAGATATGGATGCAGGATTGGAGAGAAGAGTTACGTGGAAGAAATTTCGCGCTTTAAGATTTCCTTATTGGTTTTCGGCTAAGGATTTCAATGACAGAAATGCCGTTGAAGAAAATTTGAGGGGTTTGGGTATATTGCCTATTAATGTTTGGGGAAGTGGTCAGAGACATAGTAGGTCGGGAACATTTGGTCATGAGGATGCTTGTATAAATCATGTTTATGGAAGGAGGCCTCCTGTCTCACTTTGGCAAAAGGTATTTGGATAGGTTATCATTGGGAAATTTTTGTATAAGTAGGTATTTGTACGATTTGGACACGGATATCAGTTGCATGAATAGGCGTTTGGTTGGGATTTGAATAGTCTTTCATTGTTAAAGAAAACTAATTAGGGGTGCCATGGAAGGTGATCCGTGGTAATATGATACCAGGTCTTACTAGATGCTTGAAAAAGAAGGAGAGTTTATTAGAGAAAAGAAAAACGAGATATCTACCATGGATGTCAGCATCCTTCCATCGAAAGATTTGCATCCATGGCTCGATCACAAAATACAAAATGAAAGAAACAGAAAATGCCTAAGCGACTCAATTATATTGCAATAATCAATCTTCCACTTGAAGAAGACAATTTGGACAAATGTGAAAAATGTAGTGATCACAACCATCGAGCGAGTCGATTTGAAACCAAGCAAACAGTGCGGAAGGAAGGTTATTCAGCAAAGCAAACTTTCAGTTGGAAGCCCCTCTGCCAGATAGATCACTCTCACTCCCCACCAACTTATCCCTTAAGCACAGTACCCATCCGCAGCCTGCAAATTCAAGCCCCCCTCCAACTCACACGGATCCTTACTAAAAGTAACCTGCAACCCCTCATAAATACTACTCGTACCTCCCACCTTCCCGGCCCCCTCTCTCAACCTCTCAAGTCTACTCTTCATCTTTCTCGCCGCGTTCACCTCTGCAAAAACCACCGTCGCATTCCCCCCATTATACACAAATACCAATTGTACATTTTCCCGCCCAACTTCCTTCTCACACAGTGTTTGAAGATTGCGTCCCGTGAATGCAAAAAAGAATGCTTTCTTTACGATTGTCAATCTGCGTGAGGCGAAAGTAGGTGCGCTCATAGAGATGATATCGTCATTAATCGGAAACGGTTCGCCGCGCACACAATCCGCGATAAATCTAAAACGATTCGGGGATTGAGCTTCTCGTTCTGCGAGGAGCACGGAGAAAAAAGATTGCGCGTCGGATGCATGCTGGAACACGATACCGGAGAAGCGTTTCCCGGTGTCGGAATCGATGCCGAAGCGGATGCAGACGACGGGGCCTTCGTGGATGGCGTTGGAGATGTCGGAGAGGGTCATGGTGGAGGGGATGTTGAGGATGAGGACGACGCGGGCTTGTTGGGAGAGGGCTTCGTGGATCATGGGTTTGCAGGCGGGGAGGGAGGGGATGCGTCCGATGCTGTTGAGACGACGGCCTGAGCGGGGGGTGGAGGGGTGTAAGTCGACGTTTCGATGGTTGGGGGAGGCGCTGCTGACGATGGCGGCCCAGGTTGAGACTTGGGTTTTGAAGGCGGTTTGGGTGGTTGTGGGGGTGAGGGAGTCTGAGGGACTGGATGCAGAGTTTTCGGAGATGGAATCGAAGTGTGTTTGAGTTGGGAATGGTGATTGAGGGGGTAAGAGAGGCGAGATGCGACGACATGTTATGTTGTTTGCTCCGACGAGGTTTAAAGGTGCAGGTCTATTTTTGCGAACCATATTCGGGGGTGGAAACTCGACTTCGGTTTCAGAGTCTGCTGCTCGGATCTTGACGATAGGCAATTTGGTTCGAGGAGATGGATGACCATGCATGGTTGATGCTTGATCAAGAGTGCCACTGGTATAGACGTATTGTGTATTGAGTGGGACATTTCGATGTGTAGCATCCAAATCACCCACTTCAAAATCCTCAACGACTCGATTGTTTTCCAAGATATTCAAGCACTCATCGACGTTCAACCCCAACTCATCCAGACCTAAATTATAGAGTCTCAACAATGAGCTTGAAGGCAATGCCTCGGTTGTGTAAATCGTATTATTATCGAACACAAAACCGTGAATTGAATCTTTGGCCTTGAGGCAATCTTCCGTATTTCTCATAATCACAAAGCGAAAGGTAGATTTGGATGCTAGATCGAAGATCATAGGACATTTTTCGACGACTCCATAAAGCTCGAATATTGAGCGAAAAGTTGGAGTTGACCATTCTGGTGGAATACCCGTGATATAGAGAGCGCGTCGTTCAAGTTGTTCTTGACTGTAAGGTGAAGGAATGCCAGGAACGTGGGTGTGTGGGTAAATATTGGCGTAAGTGAGATAAACATCTTTACTTTCTTCAAAGTAAGATCCAGTAGCGACAGAGTATGGAATGAGACTGAGAGGGTTTGGATTGCGAACTGCAAGGGGATTTGCTATTAAATCGTGATTTGCCATTGTGTTGATTGATTGACAATCGTTGTTGATGTTGTTGTGGTTGAAAAACGCGAAGAGGTGAGGTGAATATATATGAGTTTTAACGAGAACGCAAATAAAATTTGGAAGCGCGCCTTAGGTTTGTGGACTTCGGTCAATTTTTTAATGTTTTGAGATTAGTTATGACAATTAAAGTGAATGTTGGGATGAAATATTCCTAGAATTAGACGCTACTGCAAAGATTGGATCTCTCTTGCAGTAATTCTAGAATTGATATTTGTGAATAAATTATTAGTATCAGATCAAGCCTTACAGTAACTCTCATCTGAACTTTCCACAAGAAACTCACTTGTTGTCTCAACCTGTTTGAGATTGATATCTTCCCATTAATAACAATATCATTCTCCTCTCTCACTCTTCTCCTTCTCTCTAATCAACGTTCTAGCTTCCATCATCGCCAAACCCAGTAGATTCTTCCCCCATTCTTTTCTCTTGCCATCCAACGTTCCATCTCTCTCCTGTCTCTGACATTCCTTCACTCCACCCTTGATCCCAATACCCCAAATCTTATCATAAGGACTTGCTTCTACCAGTTCTCTATCTCTCGTTCTCTCTAACTGTTCTCTCAACTCTTTCCCTCCCTTCGAGAACTTGAACACATTCCCTTGAATGACTATATTGAATTTAACTTTGTTCCATTCCTTTTCATCAAAGTTTTTGACTTTGCGCCCCAGAGATTTGATTTTTCTAGGATTGGTTGTGTCAAGAATTTCCATGGAGGTGGTAACGTCATCGAAATGGAGAGCTTTGTGGTACATCATGTACCTAATAGTCATAAGTAACAGATTATTTGCGAAATGGGGGATACTAACTGTTCGGTTGAAGTGAAAACACGACCATTCTCGTCCGTAAATTCACAGATGTAATGCTGAGATAGAAAGGGATGATCGGCATCATCTGGATGCCAGAAAAATAGTGGTCCATTGTTACTCATCTTGGTGGCTTGTTTGGATTATCAAGACAGTAGAATTAAAGGGAGATGAAATCTGAGTAGAATTAGAATTGTATTCGAAGTCAAGTAAAGACTGGATGATTCGAGAAGGAGTTCGTTGTTTTATAAACGATATGACGATATAAACTAAAAGAGCAAGGTGCATATAATGAAGTCTGAGGTTACATGCATGCAGTAGTCAGGTGTGAGTCAAACGGCGTCCCCGCATCCCAACTTATTTAGGGCTGAAATTGAGTTTCTTTAGTGTAAGCTAGCTCAAACTTTAACATCACAAGAAGATCTACAACTTTTTATAGGCTAGATCCGGAGGCACTGTACTCAATTAAATATGACAGATATTGGCTGATGAAATCTGAGACTGTGCGATGGTAGATAACCGTAGCCTTACCCGTGGGGAGTTTCTCGGGTTACATCAATACGGTGCACCTCGGCTCGGGTATTATTGCTTTGCCGAATATACATCATACTGGGGCATGTAGTACTGCTTTGCCGAGAAGCATTGAACCAATCAATACATGCAGAGTCAGAGATCACACAGTATCTTACACAAAACGATGTTTGTATGGATATCTGGAAAAGTCCTTTATCAAGTCCACCAAAATGAGACTGGGCAACCCTGATAGGCCTTCATTCGCCGAAATAGAGACGAGACTTTGATAATGTACAATATCTCGATACTCTTTCGACTTCCGTCTCAAGTAAAAACGAATATTCATGCTTCAACCCACCGCAGTATCAGCTGGTATTTTTGCTGGAATCTTATCTTGAGAGAAAAACCGCGGTGCTTCGAGTTCTGAAGTTCAATCTCCAAGTCATTCCCCACGATACCGCGTGAGCTCCTGCTCATGCCTCTCCTTTGTAACTGCTTCAAAGATACACAGTATATTATACGCAAGCTGTACCAAATCTCACGAGTATAGACTTGGTGACTAGAAGAGCAAAAGAATGTTCAACATCATCCATAATACTCACAGGATAACAGACGATAGTCGAATATTCCAAGAGATCCTGGTAAGTAAGATGGAAACAATGTGAGTTGTGATTAATCAACATATAATCCGGTCCATTCGAACTCAGAGTTATAAGATTGAGATCAACAATCGGATTCACTATAATCAATTTTTACCGAGGAAATTGTCGAGTGAGAAGGGAAAAGGAAACTGCATAATAGGATCGAAAGAATACACAGATAAATTAACGGCCTTGAATGAGAGTGTTCAAGCCTAAAGAAATATGACATGGGGAACTTTTAAGAATATGATAGGAATCTTAGCTTAAACAGAACCAGAGGAATAAAAGAACTTGAGCTTTAAGTGCCAGCACATATTTTTTTCACTGTTTACCCGAGAGAGAAATAGATGCCCATATCTATATAGAAATACAAGAGAACTCAAGAGCATCTGAAAGAGGATTATCGCTTCTCTATTGCTCTCATGGACGAAGTGATAATAGTGATGCGGACTCTATATTCAGAAGATTCTTGATGATAAATGCCTGGTTGAAAGGTGTCGAATTTTGAGGGACACAGAATTGGCACAAGAGTTCCATTCTTAAACTAGGTAGATAGCGTTGAGCAGAGATGGTCATTTGATTTCAATCTATCGTCCCATCCCAGTCGACTATCTGACATTCATGATGAATTGCTTCCGGAATAGCTCTGCGTAATAAGTTTCGATCATCTAGGTTCCGGCAGAAATGACACGAGAAGTCTTTCGTGGCTTGAGTTATGGATTTTTCTGCTATTTGCCCATTATATTGACTGAAGGTGAATCATGCTAATAAGAGATGCATGCAAAATCCAGTGGATGGGACTCAAAAACGCATGATAGGAAGGAACAGTCTATTGATCAAGCGGAGGTTCGTTGATCTAGAAATATAGGGGTGAGCTCAATATGTCAATAAGAGAATTATGCAATATTGTTATGCAGTCTTCTACAGAACATAGCTAGATTTGTTTCATCAAGCAACGCTTACATACGCTTCTATAAGAAGCATTACTATAATATGTAATTCTAAAATTCATCGCATGGTGAACTCTTCCAAGATGCTCACGAAATTTACTCGATTAGGCCTACATGAACCTGCCAAGCCAATCTCTGCTGGACTCTTGAATTCACCCAAACAGCTAGTCGCTTCGAAAGCTTCTCACAGGGATACCAAATCGCCAAGTAATTACTGTGAGGGCAAGATATCGACTGATATTAGAGTTGTTGTATGAATAATAACAGCGAAACATTCACTTTCGAACACCAGCTATATCCCAGACAAGCGATTGGCGTAACCGAGAAACAATTCATTTTTTTCGGTTGAATTTTCTTTCATCTAGTGTACAGGAACGGTACCTAGGTAATGAGATCTCCCTGCCATTCTCTAGGTAGAATTTCCCATCGGGAATTACTATTAGACATCTATGCTGTTCCTAGGCCTTAGGGATCGTAGTAGAATCTTAAAGAAGTGGAGAAATGAAGCGAATATTTCGAGAAGAGACATAAAGGTATCTGCTGTTTCGAGCCATCTTACTTTTACTATTACAATACAACAACAAGTATCACAACAAGCTTGAACTTTCCTTACAGGACGAAGATACTCACATCGAGTTTGAACTTTATTTAGCAGGCAACCTACATACAGCACGTTTGAACTTTCTAATAACAAAGACACTTCCACAAGTTTGACATTCAAAGGTAGGTTTCTTTTGATGTTTCCGGTTATGCTCTTGGGAGTATATCTGTATTTGCTTCACCTATTTCATCTCTTAATCTTTACACATTTACTGACACGGAACTTAGTAGATGATTAGATCCATGATGGAATCCTACAAATCTTCTATTAGAAAGGTGTTCGGTATAGTCTTTACCTTGAAGACTTACCCAGACACGGTAAGTTTATTTCATACTCCCCTACTGGGATTTACTTGAACACAGTATACTGTTACCAACAACACATACCAACACATACTTACTTTCCTCTCATCTAGATCCAAAGGACTAAACCTTCGGAATCAAAAGTCGATAGCGTAGCTCATCCACCACTCCTTAAAGATGGCACTATCGAAAATGAATACACCATGTCAACAGAGTATCTCCAAAAGGAAGCATACCATGATTCATCCATGAGCTATCAAGTTGCACAAATTCTCCTTTGGGTAATTTGGTTTCCTTTACGTCTCACTAGGTTATTGCTTCAAATCTCAATTCCCTGCTAACATACCCTCTAGTCCTTCATCGCCATTCTCATCGCTCCTATCCTCGTTATAGTCAACATACTCTTTCACTTCCGCGACTCCAAGTACTCGTGGGCTGCGATTGCTGGCTGTGTTTTCTTAATCATATCACTTATCTCCTACTTCCTTCGCAACAGTAAGGAGCTTGACGAAAACTATTCCGTGCAATGGGGAATGAAGACTAGAGCTACTGCGCAAGAAATTCAAGATCGGATATATGCCAAGGATCGCAATACGTAGCTCTCTCTTTCCCAATTACCAATATGGAATCACACGTTAACACTGGTGCTGCAGAAAATTTCGCATCGCTCATCTTGCTCAGATTCAAAGTCTTCAGACTATCCCTGAGAATCAATATCCTAGAAGCTTAGGCAATATGCGACATCAGATGAATGAGAAATTTACCGCGGCAATGAAAGATATGACTTCTGAGACGAGAGTTAAGCTTAATACTTATGTATGTATATAGTCCCAGCCTTGCTGTCACATTACTGTCTTCTCTAATTTATTTCTCCCTTTCATCCTTCTCCTTAGCCCCTGTATCTCTCGATTAAAGGAGCTCGAGACTAATATACACCGTAGCTCATAATCTCCGGAGCTCTATCCATAATCCCTTATTGGGCCGCAACTCACTACTACAACAATCCAACTTCTTTCTCCGAAGCGACAAATCATTTGGTATTACTTAGCAAAGCTTTCGTTGTCATCATCATGTACACGACTGTATTGAACCAAACAAAATTTTGGATCGAGGAGTTAGAACGAGAGAAAAGTTGTATTATGAGAGGATGGGATATTGTAAATTAAGGAACGAACAGGAGATGAAGAAGGAAGTTGACAGTGTTATTTATTTCTGGTGTTGGGGAAAGGGGAGGGTTTGGATAGGGTTACTGCAACTGCAGGCCGGACCTGCTTCTGCAGTTTGGGGGATGAATATCTGCAAGGAAAGTGTTTGAAAGTGATGAAGGAGTGGAATAGGCCATGAGAAAAATGTCCTGCTGAGATCTGGGGTGGGTTGAACTTTGTTTTGATACTTTCTTCTGAATTACAGTATTGAAGCATGAAATCTTGATGCTGATAACAACAAATATATTTAACATGTTTTGGTTCTACTTGACGTTACAAGAACAATCTCGTGTATGTAATACGATTTCAATGATGCAAACAACATCTAAGGAGCATTTCTTGTGGATCAGGGAAGAGAACGATCCTCAGCATGGTAACTAGTATGCTGTGACGCTGGCACATATTCATTCCCCAGCCCACGCATTGGGTTCTGCTCAGGGAAGATTCTGACATTATATCAAAGAGGAATTTGATGCAGATATCAGGTACATAGCTATATGTCTATCGCACCACTGGAGAACGAAGACTACCTCCGAATATCATAGAGCTAGAGTCGAAGATTACGCAACCCCATACACTCGTTGGACAGAAAAGTACTTTCGCCAGAATTCAATTCCTCACCCACATCCATTCGACCTCGAATTTTCCTATCAAAAGTTTCGCAGCTGGAATCTCCCAATCAAATAAAATAATACTTTTATCTCCTCAGACTCTCAATATCTATGTCGTTCACCACAACCACAAGAAACACACAATGCAAGCACAGACCATTCCCAACCTCCAAACCTCGGCTCGGCTCATCCATCCATCCAGCTTCCCCAGATTTTCGGAAATGGTTCTTCCTACGCGTATCTCCCCGCATGTGCAAGCTTCATATCCGCGACCCCTTTATTTGGATTTCTAATCGTTGCTCTATTCATGCTTCTCGAGTTTCAATGTCTATAATACACTTCTGTCATACCTCTTGCTTTACATTTCCAATTCCAGTTTCAGTTCCAGTTCCAGTTTCATTGGCATCTAGAAGTATACACAAAGTCATCACAACATCAGCGTTTCAATTCTCCACTTTCAGGACGTTGACAGTGAGAAGATCACATTCGCGTTATAGATCCTTCCACACCACGAGAATCAATACATCTCCACAAAGTCTAGGAACATTCTCAAGAATACGAAGAAGACCGAGAAATATGACATTACCCGGATCTCGATCTCCGAAGTCTGATTTGGAAAAACAATATACTTCATCTACTAGTAGTTCTAAGGTAGATAGGAAAGCCAAGAAAGAGATTGCTGTTCCACAGCCTAGTTCGAGGTGTGTGATATATCGTTCCTATATTCGCTTTGCTATTTTCTTATCTCATTCTCATACAATACCCTTACATTTCTTCACTCCAACTAACACCCCCCACAGTATCCTCCTCATCTCCCCCCAAAACCAAATTCTTCTCCTCCATCGTATCCGCACCTCATCTTCCTTCCCCTCGGCCCACGTCTTTCCAGGCGGAAACCTCGACCCCTACCACGAATCACCCATCCCGTCTCCCTCCTCTCCTTCCCGTCATGTAGATTCCGAGATATACCGTCTTGGCGCTATCCGGGAATGTTTCGAAGAGAGCGGAATTCTCCTCGCTGTCCCTTCCCCATCCGCATCTCCTCAAACCCCCGAGCAAAAAAGCACCAAGAAAGAATCTCTCCACATCGACGAAGAAGAAAAGTCGCGCGCAAGAAAGGAGATTCATTCCCGGAAAATCAAATTCTCAACCTGGCTAGCCCAACAAGGAGGAATCCCCGATATCGATTCTCTCCACCCTTTCACTCGCTGGATCACCCCTTCTAATCTCCCCAAACGTTTCACCACACAAATGTACATCTATTTCCTCCCTCTATCTTCACCCTCCTCCCCTTCAACCTCAACAGAAGTGCAAAATGAGAGTGTCCCCACAAACCAAGGAGAAGAAAAAGAAAAAGAAAAAGAAACCCACACAACCCCCACCCACGACGGCGGCATCGAACACACCGCTGCCGAATTCGCCTACTGTTCAACATGGCTAGACAAAGCCCGGAAGGGCGAAATTATTCTCTTCCCCCCACAATTCTACCTCATGGAATTACTTTCTCAATTTTTGCTTCCCGCAGAATCAAAATCAAAATCACAATTCTCCATAGACGAACTCGCCGCGCAGAGAACCCAAGTCCTGCAATTCCTGAAAGGAGACGGAGGTGATGCGTCGGGAATTTTCTGGGGCGATAAAGCAATGAGTCCGCTTTCGTTGGGGATTAGGAAGAAAAATGGGGATGGGAGGGTGATACTGGGATTGGATGGACAGGGTCCGGAATTGGAGGGGAGGGGGAGGAAAGGTGATGCGAAGAGAGTTGTGCTTGTGAGGTTTGGGAAGGAGGGACCTAGGGAGGTGGAGGTAAGAGAGAGGAGAGAGGTTTTGGAGGAGGAGAGGGGAGGGGATGGAGAGGGTGGGGGAGGGGGAGGAGCGAAGTTGTGAGGGGTTGATGTTTATATGTATACACATATATAGACACATATATATAACACAACGAGTATCCAATAATCCAAACTACAACCCAACAACAACAACAAAGATTCTCATATCCCATATATATCCCATCTCCAACCCAATCACAACACTCAACACTCAACACCCATCATTCAAATCACATAAGATACTAAAATAATGCTATAGACATCAAATTCGATTAGATTAGATTAGAAGATACTCTGAACTCTTAAATTTCATTTACACCAACTCATCTCAATTCAACTCAACGACCATACCATACCACAAAATATAACCTCACGAACAATACCTAGGATCTCAAAAATAATCAATAAAATCGTACAAGTTAACCACTGTGCTTCTTTCAATGAAATAACTAGAAATAGATGATATGCCATGCATCGACTATATCATATGATTGTAATGTATGTGAATCATAATCGTAATCATCCTCTCATACTCATTTGGTTCATGATTAAAAGAGCATCCCTTCCATTCCATTCCATACCTATAACGCCCGCATGATTATTTCCAGTACACATTTCCCATCATCATGAATGAATATCTGGGCTCAAGTATCATCATCCCATTTCAATTTCCATCCCAATTCCATTTCTCCCATCATCTCAAATCCCCCCATGCCATCCCATCTCCACCTCCTCCATCAAAGCTCCTCCTCCTCCCCCCCTGCCAACGTCCTCTCATCCGCATCCTCATCCCCCTCATCATAAATCTCATAACTCGGCCACGCCACCTCAAACTCTCCCTCTTCCTCCTCCTCGCCCTCTCTCAAAAACCTAAACGCCAACACCCCTCCCTCCTTCACCCCCACACTCTCCGGCGTATCTCCCAATCCCAACTGCAACTCCGTCCAGCCCGCTTTGAGATCATGTACATCGACCGGAACCGCCAGCGCGATATTCTTGACCGATTCTGGGAGGGGAATTTTACGCTCCGTGAGAGTGGTGGTGGTGGAGGAGAGTGTGGTTGTGGATCTTGCGGCGGGGTTGCCGGGAGAAGGGAGAGGGGAGAGGCCATCTGGATAGCGTTCCTGCAGGGTGGAGAGCAGGAGAGTGAGGATTTGGGGGAAGGTTTGCGTGGGTGGGACGAGGAGGAGAATAGTGTGTATGGTGTGTTTGAGGAAGAGGGTGAGGTTTGTGTCGCTGGGTGGGTCGAAGGTGCTGAGTTTGCGCTTGGGTGGCTGGTGGGAGGGAGAGTCAGTTTTGGAGATGAGGTGTGGAGGAGGGGGAGGGGAAGGGGAGGTTCACTTACCATTTTGAGGGTTGGTTTATTGGGTTTTGTTGTATTGTATATATGAATTTGATTGAATCGAATTGAACTCGAATTAGACTGAAGAGGTGTGTGATGATTTATTGATTGAACAATATAATACCCAAGAACGTCTTTTGTATTTGTGGTTATTTTCGTTTTAAATTGAGATTGAGATCTATTTCTTTGTAAGAGATGGATGGACAGAAGATGGAAGATAAGTAGGCGGATTGAGAACAGACAGGCATCAGCTTGGAATTATTGAACATCTCTTTGCGACGCGATAAACTTTATCAAATTCGCGAAAGCAGCTGATCTTTAAAAAAGTGATTTCTTCATTCTTCAGCCTTGTGGGTGAGGTTTAATAAAATACAATACAATTCAATTCAATATTATACAACCTCACTTATCTATTGACACGGCAGTTTACTTCAATCTCCAATTCGTTACATCAAGCAGTCAATCAATCCATCAATCAATCAATCAATCAACAAATCAATTCAAAACCATGGATCCCTCCACCCCCTCTCCCCCAACCACAGATCTCACGACCCCTCCCCCAACCCCCGAAGAACTCCTCGAAGCCCAAATGAAAGCCTGGCGCAAAGCTTACCACGAAGCTCTTGTCCTCGATTCGCGCATGTCCATACCCTACGGTGCACGTCTCCCACTCTGCACATCGATTTCATTTCTCTGCGGCATGGCGCTGGGGATCTCTCACGGTTCTCAAGCTGCGTCGTTACGTTTCCGCGCTGAGAATGCGCATCGCTTGCCGACGTCGCCGACGGGCTGGTACTTGTATCATAAGAGTAAGAATTATAATACGGGGCTTGGGGGAGTGAAAGAGGGGTTGAGGATGGGAGGGAGAATTGCGTTTTGGACGGCGGGGTTGTTGGCGATTGAGGATATGTGTGATAGGTGGAGGGGGAAGAAGGATGTGGTCAATACTATGGTGGCTAGTTTGAGTGTTGCGGGAGGATTTAGTTTATGGAGTGAGTTTTATTTTATTTTGTTTATTTTTGGGATTGGGATTGGGTTTGTATTTGGTTTCTGGGAGAGTTGTGCTTGTGATTGTGTGCCGGGGAGTTGTGATTTCAATATAAATCAATGGATTATTGCACCAATGGTATTTTCTCATGCGTTGCCAATTCCTCTCTTTGGGCGAAATGAGGATTGGCAAACGTAAATGGAAAAAGGCACAAGACGGATGATCGATGGGAGAAGATTCAATATATTTGAGGGATGATCAATACTAACATAACTTCTCCTCCCAGATCGATTTCCTATAATAACCGCAGCCAGAACCGCCAAAACAGGATTAGCATTTGGTATAGGATATGGATTATTACAAGATGCCGTTGGGTATGCAAGAGGTAGAAGATTAGGATATATAGATTTCTTAACAGGAGGAACGACAGGAAGAAGAGGAGGAGGAGAAGGAGGAAAGGAAGAAGAAGATCTGAGACAGAGAACTACCGAAAAGACAACAATATAACAAGACAAAAGATGATGATGATGATGATGATGATGATGATGATAATAATAATAAGTGGTAATTAAATGGTAATTATATCCACTTCAATATTCATTCCAGACTTTCATCTTCATTCCTCTTTTCCATTCTCGTATCATTATTGAGGATAAAATAGATTCATCTCCAATTTATAAGTAATAGTTGAGTTGTGTCAACATCAATATTGCATCAATATTCGAATAGTTTTTGTTAGTTTACTCCATCTTATCCATATCACCGACATCCAAGCACCATCGATTCGGTTTCCATCGGTTGTAGATATTCCCACAACTATCTGGAGCATTTAAAGCATTTAAAGAAATGCCATTCGACCAATCATCTCTCTGGATTTGAATGTGGAGATCCTGATATACTTACGATAAGCTTGGATCTCATGGTTGTCGACGGCATGTTGGTTTGGAGTTATCGATAAGCTTCATCATTTCCATTTTCAAGACCATTTCCATGTCCATTTCCATGTCCATGTCTCCTCTTCGTCTCTTCGTTGTATGTTTGATTATTGATTATTGATTAATGATACTGACTGACTGTACTTACGATTCACTCACAACTCCGATTTCGCTGCTTTTGATTTCTTCTTCATTTTCTTCTTCAATTCTTTTGTATTTCCCAAGTTCTCTTTTCCTATTTAAATTCCTCATCTATCCTCATTTCCTTCTCTCTTCTTCTTTCTCTTCATTCTTGTTTGTTTGTACATATCAGTCCTTCTCGCAATCAGTCAGTATTCATTGCGCAACTCAGAGGAAACCGAACAACAGAAAGAGAAACATAAGGCCGTATTGATACATTTATTTGTCTACTTGTCTAATTATCTGTTTATCGACTTCAAACTCCTTCACACTTTCCATCATGTCGAACTTAATATCCCGGAAAGCATTACTATGTTCTCGAAGACCATTCCTGATTGCGCCTTCAAATTATAGAAGATTATCTTCTAGAACATCACCTCTTCAATCTACTTATACTGGAAATCCCACTTCGGCTTCTGCTGCTACAGATGCGCTTCATCCAATACAATGCAATACAAATTCAACATCTAAATCAGCTACTATGCCAAAGATTAGTCCGCTTTCAATATTACCTCTGAGTAATGTTGTAAGATCCTTGGTTATCAATACTATTTCTTCTTCTCCCGTAAGTCTTATCTACTACCTGAGTACTTTAAATATTCCCCCTTTAATTCTAGAGCGAAGCGAAAAAGCCTCCACGGCAGTGGCCCCCGGGGGGCCAGCGGAGCGTCACTTTGATCTAATCATTTTGATGTTTTTTTTGTCTTTCCTTTACTATTCCCGTCAAATATACCTATGTATCAAACTTTTACTAACCATTCCATCTTTTAAAAATAGTTACTTCTCGCACCATCCCTCAAGATAATGACCATCCTCGCCCACTCTCAAAATCCCATCTTATCACCCGATCGCAATCCCATTTTACGATTCTTCCTCAAAAATACCTTTTACAAACAATTTTGTGCTGGTGAAACCCATGCTGAGGTTCAAAAGACAGTTCGCGCAATTAAAGATCTTGGTTTCAAAGGTGTTTTTCTCTGTTATGCAAGAGAAGTTGAGAAATCTCCAGGTGCCAATATCGATGTGGAGAAATGTGTCAAGAATGAAGTTTTACCTTGGGCTGAGGGTACTTTGGCGACTGTTCGATTAGCTGGACCGGGAGATTTTGTTTCTATCAAGGTTACTGGAGCGGGAAGTTTAGCTCTACAAGCTTTGGAAGCAAAGGGAGTTTGTCACGATACACTCAAAAAGGCTATTGATGATATTTGTGCTCTGGGTGCAGAACGAGGTGTCAAATTAGCTTTTGATGCGGAACATGCTGCGGTGCAAGCTGGTATCGATCTTTGGACATTGAAATATATGAAGAGATATAATAGACCCGGCAAAGGAGGAGCAGTCATCTATGGCACTTATCAAGCATATCTCAAAGCCTGTCCCCAAGTCGTCGCAAACCACATGGCCATTGCGCAAAAGGAAAACTTCACCCTCGGTGTCAAATTGGTTCGAGGCGCATACATGGGATCGGATCCTCGCGAATTGATCCACGATACCAAGCGCGAAACAGATGAATGTTATGATGGCATTGCTGAGGCATTGATTCGTCAATCTCCTAATGCGATCCTGAAACCGGAAAATAGAGAGGAAAAAACATTCCAAGCTGTGGATTTAGCACTCGCAGGTCACAATTTGGAATCGGTCAGAAAGGCACAGTTGATTCGTACCGAACAGGCTCAAAAGGGTGAAGAGAGAATCGAATTATGTTATGCACAATTACAAGGTATGGCCGATGAAGTATCCTGCGAACTCGTCGCGGAGGGAAAATTAGCCGAATCGATGAATTCTTCCAATGCACAGGACTCAAAAGTTACAGTTCACGGAGGAATCAATGAATTGATTGGGAGAACGAAAGGAGGAAAAGATCAATTGCATTTGAAAACCGATATTCCAAAGGCGTATAAGTATTTGACTTGGGGAACTACCGGAGAGTGTATGAAGTATCTTTTGAGGAGAGCGTATGAAAATCGAGATGCGGTGGGGAGGACCAGAGAGGGAAGAAATGAAATGGGTAGGGAATTGGTGAGGAGAGTTAAGGCGGTTTTTGGTGCGTGATGAGATCAGTTGATGATGAGATCAGATGATGAGATGAGATGAGATGATACGGATTAAAGTCTTTTTGATATATGGATTGATTGTATTGCATAGCGTGCCCTGGATGGATGGATGGATGGATGGATGGGGCTGGGTTGGTTTAGGTTTTTTTCTTTTGTTGGGCTGCATCACCACGCACTTTTTGCATCTTAACATCTTGTATGCGAGCGTGCTTTTTTATCATAGGTACATATCTACCTATCTACATACCCAGTTTGTAGGTAAATCCATAGGTAGTTAGGTACTAGGTACTACAGTAGGTAGTATAGTTAAACAAGCGAATACCAATACTTTTTCGATCTTTTGATTACCCATATCCATATCGATATCCATATCCATGTTATGCGTAGGTAGGTAGGTAGGTACGTTTCTCAAAGCTATTCATCTATCTAGGTATTCATTATGGGGGCAAGCCCCCAAACCCCCTTTTGCTCGCTGCGCTCGAATTTAGGATTTTTTAGGGTTAATTTTCGGACTCGCGTTTGAAGAAGAAGGGGGAGGGATAAAGTTGGATTTTTATGAATTTCGTTGATTATTTATTGATTATCAGTGCTAATTTATTATAAATTGCTGATTCGTAATATAAAACTTCAACTTCAACTTCAACTTCACAGCAATCCCCATCCTATCCCATACATCCACAGCACTACCACAATCCAACCCTACGAATTCGCCCTCCCCAAGCCCTCTTTATACCTCTTCAAACACCTCTCCCTACTAACCTTATGTTCCACAATCCTCTCGGGATACCCCATTTTCCTCGCCATCTTCGCCGCCTCTTTATCGCCATACGGTTCGTGAATCGTCTTTCCCTT